TTTTCAAACTTAACCAATACTCGAATATAAATTAGCGACTGCGGGCAGAATGAATTGTTTATGTCCGTTGCATTGGTAACGCAAAACATGACCATATAAGGTGTCTTTGAATTTTGAGAGGCAAAAAGAAAAAACTCGGTGCTCTGATGATGACACTTTGTTCACAAGAAAGAATTGAATAATTATACTTTTGTTTGCCCATATTTCTCACATAACCCTAAATGAAAACGGTTTTAACAAAAATTATGTCTAGTCCGTGTGTAAATTTTTTATTGATAAGGTACTTAATTGGACGATTTTAAGGAGAAAACTCAGGCTGGTATTAAAAACATAACCTGCAAGGTTATACCCATGAACCGATTTGCACCAGGTTCAAGATAAACAAACAACTACTGAGGTGGACAGACAAAATCCTCTTCGTAAAATTTAAAAAAAACTCGGGAGGGGTAGTGGCTCAAACCCCCCCCCCCCCCTTGTACATCCAAGTGTTAAGTCACAACCATTGGCCTATTCTCATCCCCATGGCTACTAATTTTCTCGAGCCGTCGCTCGTATCTCGATTCGACGAAAAGGAAACGAGGATTCTACAAACGAGAAAAAAATCCTAACCTAACGGCATGTCACCCAGGCACGCTTCTTGAGGTTAGAGACCAAGAGTTCAACTGGGTTCGATGACCAGGTGCAATCACGTTCCCAGAGGTCATGGGTTGAAAGAGTATAGCAAAGCAGGGGCCTTACCCCCCGTTTCACGCACGTACTAGTTTTATTAAAATTCACGCGTCACGTATTTAGAAGGGAATACTTCAAATCTCTCTTCTTGTGTTTAAGGTTTTAGGGAAATCTTGATGCCGTTTACGAAATGATATACGGGTCAAGTATATTTCAGGTCACGTATATTTCGTGCACCTCTCTGGTTCATAAATTCACGAATCACGCTCGCCCTTTTGTAAGATTTACGCTTCACTTAGTAATATTGGCCTTAAATCATCACTCGTCAAATATTTTTTTTAACGGAGACTGGTAGTTTTCATGATTAACAAAGCCTATCGTAATTCATTCAATTTAAGGGGGCAATACTGGAATACCTGCGGTTTTGTCCTCTCAGTGATAATATAAGCGGCAAGTTTTTAAACATAGCGCTGTGAAAACCTCACAAACTGCTTAGAAAAAATTCCTAAAAAATCTATTTAACAGGTGCTCAAAAATTGAAAACATTAACCGATCAAGATTTATGCATAGATGCACACAGCGTTAACAGAAAAAAAAAACGAACGTTATGATTCATTGTTCGTGTCATTATGCCAGTGAAGTCACAACCCATTGTCCATCATAGTGTAATTCTTGTAGAATATTAATTGTCAATATTTGTCATGATCGAGATCATGAGTCACGAGCAAAAACGGCACGCGCTGCTAAGTGTAACACGTTGTTAGGGTGTGGTGATTATTCATTTGTCGGCAAAACTACGATAATCCGCAAACAAATCTTAACGAAATATCACGAGAAGGTGTTGAAAAAATTTGTATTGTGTAATCGTATCGGGTTCTTTCAGGAAGATTTTAAAACTGTGACGATGGTCTTTTACAAGGACCACCACAAAAAAAAAACCTTAAATACTCTAAAAAGACCTAAGAAAGACTTATTAAGTTTCAGGACTTTCGGACGGGACACAACAGAGACGGGAGCTAATTATAAAACTGTTGACGGCCAAAATGCGGTTCACCAGGGTTAACGAATATAGTGTATAGTATGCCGGTTTTTAGACAACATGGTCAAGAACCAGAAATAATTAATATAGAGTATGAGAACGGACACGCTTTCAACTGCATGGATATTTTGCACTGGAACGCAACCTATCCAAAATAAAGAGCAATACCATTATTTTACATGCACTTTTGTCCTGGAGGGAGGGGAGGAAGGAGCTTATTATGAACCTGAAGGTTTTAGACGGTAGAGTTTTTGAGGGGTAAACAAGGTAGAAGCCCACTCAGTCGGAGCTTATCCCGATTTCCATGTCGCATGAAGCGACTAAGAGTATAACCACTCCCCCCTGGATGGGATGCTAGTCCATTGCAAGCTTACCCCTCAGGATTTCATCACACCTCCGTGACAATTCGCTGTTATCCGTTTATAGTCTGGGGTGGAGAAAGACACACCGAGAGAGTAAAGTGTCTTTCCCAAATACACGACTGACAGAGTGACCCGGCTAAGTTTCGAACCTGGATCCTTTCGAACTTGGTGTCCAGTGCACTGATCTCCAGGCTATTGCTTCTTCTACGGTTTTAAGGGGGGGGGGGGGGGGGGGTAATTTAGGCGTGAACGTCAATATTAGGAAAAGGCCTTGCGAGGATCCTGCAGTTCTAGCCTAAAAAGATTTTAAGAAGACAATTTTGTTAAAAATTTCCTCGAAATATGAAAGTCCTGAAATATTGCCCAGTTGCTGGTTAAAATGTAAAAAAATCTTCAAGGCCGACGAAAGTGCTTCAAAACTCCAACGCAGCTAGCAAAGACTGGGCATGAAGAGAGCAGTTGCATTTTATTTCTTTTTGAAAAAATCTCTATCATTTAAACTATTTAATGAATAAATTTCATCATAAGAACAAAAATAAAATATTCATCAGATTTCACACAATGCCAAACACATAAGTCTGCTAAAAATAATTTTGAAATATATTGACTGAAAAACATTGTCATGTTAGTTTTCGGCTATGATACACTTCTAAGTCACAGTTTTGTCGACAGCACTTATCTCGCCCACACAAAGGCACTTGAGTTTAGCAAAGTCATTGAAAAATCTTCATATCGTGCCCAACCAATCGTGCTTCATATCGGGCCAACCCAGATGAAGGGTATTGGAATGGCAGTTGACGCACATGCGATGTTGTGACCGGCGTTCATTCAAAGAAAGAAGGAATTAAGCATTCCTTCCTTCCTTTTTTTCTAGTAGCACAATTAACTTCTTACCATTTCAAGTCCTTAGCCGTGAGAAACGCAGCGAGTTATTTGGTTATTGAAAATATCACGTTCGAAGTGTGACTGTTTCCATGTTAACAAAGATGTTAGCGGAAGAAACCGCCCACGTTAGAACTTATATGAAATCAGCGTCCTATATTTATTCTGCGGATCACTCGAGAAATTCAATTTACTGCATCAATGCACAGATTTCGCAAACTCATGAGAAAATCATTGTTGCATAACATTCAAAATTTTTATACAGTCTATCACATGTAATGGAAAAAAGCAACAATTATAGGTACCTACAAGAAGCGTTGGTCATCTTGGGATCAAGGGCGCGTTAATAGCTATGATTTCTTCTCCATAACTAAAGTTTTCTTTTTTAATGATGACCTTTGAGTAATTACTATGATCAATATAAATTAAAAAAATCAAAGACTTCACAGCGGCATAGAAAGACCGGAAAACATGCCAATCAACAGCTGAAAAGATGAAACATAAAAACATTTATTTACGCGGCACATTTATCTCCTAAAAAAATAACTTTGGTGAAATGTTAGACTGATATCATCCATTGCGGGTCGAGCCCGGGATTAATGCGTTAAGAATGTGTTCAAGTGACAGTGTTAATACATGATTTTAATGAGTCACAAGTTGAGATCAATTATCTTCTTAATAAGATAGTTTTAAAAGTTAACTTTGGGAATGAATCTTGACAAAAGCTTGATTTACACTGTTCTGATTAAACCGATTTCTTCGGAATCCTGATATTCAAAGGCCCATCAATTTTGATAGCAATCCGCTCTATTACACCTGTAGCGTGGACATGCGTTATATTGACTAAAGAGACAGATCCAGAAGCTACGCATTAAAGAAATTACGCAACCTTCAAAGGGCAATGAATCCTCCAATGCTTTATAATTGTGGCTGCGTATTAAGTTTAGTTGATTCACTCAGGAATAGGTTGTTATTATAAAAAAAAGCAATAAATTTTCAGTCTAAAATTGTGCGCTGTTTCAGTTTTGTATTTAATTAGTTTCCATGGTGTTTATCCAAAAACATAGACGCAAAGAAGGAAAAAATAGCTACACCCTACTTGAATTCAAGTTCTAAAGCCAACATGTTCGCCGGTAATTATTTGTTATGTAGATATGATTGGCATTTTCCAGATCCTGAAGAACCTCACGATTAACGCAAACCGCAGCCCTGTTGCACAGTAAATAAAAGAAAAACGCTATATTGATGAATCATGACACGTGATCCTAAATCGCTATAAAAGAACACACTGAAATTGTTTCAATCATTGGATAACAGCAGAGGTGACTATTGCAGAGGAAATTGGAAAGCAGATCCTTTTTTTATAAACACTAGCCATAAAGTTCCTTAACCATGAATACATGCAGGCTTTTAATTTTGGTAGGTACATCCAACAGTTTATAATCTCTTGATATTGACACCTTAAAGCAAAATTTTAGCCAAGTAGTTTGTTTGAATAGGAAACCACGATGATATCATAAGCTTACAAATTGTCAGTTTTATGCTCTGTCTGTAACCCTGATTTTGGAGTGAATGAATCAAATCAAATCACCTGCGATGTACCAGGCCTATAAGAGAAATTTTCCGTTAGTATTGCACCCCCTATCTTGTGCTAAAATCTCATTTTTTGCGTTAGCTTTAAATTCGTTTCGCTTCCAAAGAGATGGGGCTGGCGTCAAACTTATACAAAATACTTTGAATCATAACAATAACCTTTATAAGGAAAGGAAATAAATGACCGAAGTGATTTGACGTCATTTTTCAATTTCCTCTTTCTTGTGTTCGAACAGAAATCGCACCTGACTAGTGTTAAAATCAGCTTTCGTCTCCCACGTACTTGTGTTCAAGAAAAACGCGTTAGAATTTTTTTACGTTTAAATAAATCGAACGAAATTTGAATGGACTTACAAATATATATGCAGTGGCTGTTAGGTAATTAGCTTCCTCTGAATCTTCTAAGCCCATAGATAGAAGTTTATATATGATCTTTGATCGCTTGATCTTCTTGTTTACAGGCAGCAATCTGTGTCATATTCCTGGTGTTATTTGTTCAAGGAAAGAATGAAAACGAAGTCAGTGAGTCAGATGTGGAATTGCAAGGTGTGTAGTAATTACATTGTAGGTGTGTAGTAATTACATTAATAAAAATGTCTGTGGTAATCACATATAAACTTTAACGGCCGAACTGGAGACTTTTTATTTTGTTCAAAATAAAAAAAAGATAAAAACCAAAGCAAAACAATGAACTAGAAAACAAAATTAAAACAAACAAACGAATAAGGGCCCTTTTAGACTCTGCTGCTTTAAAATGAAATAAGGCCCAGCGTGGTAATTTTGTGTAGAGTTGCTTCTCACCGACAAACATTGTTCGAGTTATCGAGGGTAAAATTATGCGGAAAATAACCTGACAGGAAGCACAAATTCAAAGATTTGAGTCGCGTTGAGGGGTTGAATTGTCGGTCGACAGTACAGTTCAAAAGGTAATAGCCCACAACTGCACGCAGTTGAAAGTTGAAAAAAACAACGCGACAATAAGACTTGCCTTCAATCAATATCTCTACATATCGACTCCATACCGTAGAAATGTCTTTGAAAACAATGCACGCTGGGAAAACTGGGAGTACATCAAGTCCGTCAAGGCTTACTGGTAAACTTCTCGGGAAAAATAAGTTAACAAACGCGTAATATAGTTTTTTTTTTTTCTCTGATGCTTCAGCTTAATTTTGTTCTAGCGATCCTGTTCTCTTTCTAAGTTGCTAAGGACCTCTTCTCCTAAAGTTAAGTTTGGACCGCTTTCGTAAAAAACGCTCTAAAATTACGAGATATGTCGTTTTCATTTACTTCTGAAACCTTAACCTCTGAGTTTCGACTTCATTTGTTGACCAAATATATTTAAGCAGCTCAGCAAAAATGAGTTGAGAAGTAAAAAGAGTTCAAATTATAATTCGAAAAAAAGTGGTCTAATCGTTGTACTTTAAGATGTTCACAGGATTGATATCGCCAGGATATAAAAATAATTAGAACCTGTTCTGTCCTGCTTGCTATACCTGTACAATTGTTTTTTCATATCATGGATGTGATAAAAAGGAACCCTTCATTTAAACAGATTCAAAGCAAGTTGAAAGCGAACCTTAGGCCCTTTTATCCCTGACTGAACCTATGTATTTATAGAATTGCTTGTATTTTCCAGGCCATAATCTCCGAGAAAAGAGGAGCTATTGGTTGTACTCCAGAAGCTGTCTACTCACTTACTGTAAGGAATCGCTCTGACAAAGGGCTAACGCTCGAAACGTCAGCTTTTTTACTCTTTATGGTGGCCAATTTACGTTTTCAACTCAGTTGTTAACACTAAATTACTCACTTACTGTAAGCAGCTTATTCTGTTTTTATCAGAAAGATTTTGCCAAAAATTACGATCAAACTTAGTAGCACTCTGTGCACTGTGATTGGTAGTTGTCGTTGATCAATCAGAGAACAGACGCACGGCGAAGTCATGGAGAAATCGTATTCTTTGCTTTGTTCAGCGTGACGCGCAGTCCTGAAAATATTTAGAAGATTTATCCGAATATAGGAGGTGAAAGATCTGTTAACGAGGAATAGAAGGAGGACCGGTTCCTTGCGAAGAGAAAAAATACGTCAATAGGGACATAAAATTCAGAGAGTCAAGCGAACGAGGGAATTTTTATTTGCCTTTCTGGTATTAAATGAAATATGTATTTCCCGTGTGTCTTAAATCAAATCACAGTCGCAAAACGTGGTAATAACATCAGGGGCACACAAGTTGCTCGGTGTACCACCTTCTTTTCTCTTACCATGTTTTGATGAAAAAAAAAAAAAAAAAAAAAAAAAAAGCGCCAAAGTTGCATCAAACGGCTCAACATCCGACCAAGGGAGGCTTAAGACATAGGTTACTCATTGAACGTTATCTAAAGCAATTGTCTGTGTTATTTTTTTCATCAGTGAAGAAGAAGAAGTGGCTACTCAAACGTGTACTGAAAGAAGTTGATTGTTTGAATAATAAAAAATGCCGATTTTATCAAAAGAAGCTTTTTGGTAAGTATTATGTTTAGTTACTAACCCTTATCAATTCCAGACCTACAACAAAATTCTGTCAAAGTAAATAGATAGAGACAGCACTTTTCCATAAAAAATCTCCTCCCCCCCTCAGGGTGATAAAAAATGACTGGTTTCTAATGATTCTCTCGTTAACTACACTGAGACATTTCTACACCAATTACTCTGCCCTTGTTAGGGGAGCGTTTAATAATGATTTTTTTTGTTTACCCTCTCAATAATACAAGTATAACGGTTAGTACTTTGTTCAAAACAAGGACGCACTGTTAACAGAGTTGTACCTTGTCATATCTATAACAGGAGAGATTTTCAAGCCACCCACTCCTGCTCCACCTATGAGTCCCACCCCGTCGCCTTCCTCCAGTCCTGTGATGTCCGTAACCCCTTCAAGTTCACAAGTTGTATCTTCGATGCCGGTCGTATCGCCCACACCATCCTCCAGCAGTGTAATGGTTTCACAGACTGTTTAGCCAATCAGCCCTTAGTCTCCGCAGCAGCTTTTCTACAGGATGTCACGTAACTCTACAAGAAGTCACGCCACGTATCTTACCCCCTTCCCCCTTAGCGTAGAAAAGAGTTGTGTAACATCCTGAAATATTGCTACGAAGAAGAATCGTCAATATCGAGTGTCCGTAACCTAGTTCTGGATCAATTTCCATGGCATTTTTTGATAACAAACACACCAAGTGGATAAAGAAGTGTCAGTTCCCGTAGCAAATCTTGTCTATTTTACGTTTGTGCAAAGGTATTTGTCCTGAACTATGCCACTGAGGGAAAGGCGTTATGTGGGGCTTCTTGTGAAATATCTGTTAAGAGATATTTAGGCTTTATCAAAATAAAAACAATATAGAAAATCCACACCATCCAAAACAATAACATATTTGTGATATTACAGGTATTAAACTTTATATTACATATGAAATTTTCAGTTAACTTTGAGACAGAAATGCATGTATATACAACATGGTTGCTACAGCCATGCATGTAAGTTTATGAATTTCTCTGACAAATGTAAAATTCCCCTGACAAATGTAAAATTCCCCTGACAATATAGAAAAATTATTTCTTTGGTGGAAACCTAACACCTGCATCTCGTTAATTTTCATGAAACAATATTTCAACAATCCAGCACATTTGTTGTTTCCTTTTTCTAAATTACAATTCAATCTGGAATTTGATTGATAAAGGAAGAACCATTAAGTGGATATACTACAGTATGTACCACTGGAACCAAATTATATTATTGTTTATTGAAACCCAATTTAGTTTATTTATATTTCATGTTCATAAAAACTTACTAAAGTACTTGAATTGGTAAAAAAAAATCAAATTTTTGCTCATTTCTCTTAAAAACAAATTTTCCTTGACTTAGGTGAAATTCCCTGACTTTTCCCTGACCTTGAATCTTTTTTTCTGACCATTTCCTGACTTGTGGAAAGTAAAATCCGTGTACGAGTCAAGTTGCCCATCCAGCCGGAGCTTCTCTTTAACATGAAGCGACCAGAAGAAAAACCAAGGTCAACCCTCAAACGGAGCATAACATTCGATGACAGAGGGCTCTCGTTTGACAAAGAACTAGTTTGGTTTGTTTAATTATGTTCTCTTCGGGCAATAACAGCACAATGAAACGAAACATCATTGTTTTAAATACTAAAAACTAAGTATGGTGCGGTGATAAGAAATCGGAAATTAGACAACAATGTTCGAATGATAAACAGAGAGATTGAAAGCATCTTCAAAAACACAAAATGGCGGTTGGCGACTGAGTAAATCAAGACCACCCTATGCACTTTTTTCCTGCGGTTCGCATCACGATAAATAGCAGTTGCATCGAAAAAAAAAGATAGATATAAGAACAGCTCCATGATTTTTTGACCCCGGAAAAATTCATTCACTGACTTAAACTTTAAGGCAAAGTTGAAAAACATAACTCAATCAAATGTGTCATTTCAACTGTCCTGTTACTTCCGTGCCCAAAATTTCGCCTCTAGCACTCCGTGATGACCACCATCTTCAGTACGCGAAAACCGGTACCTGTTCACTAATTTCCAATGGAATTATTTGTACGTACGGCGTGTAATAACGACTAAACAGCGAACATTTCGAGTTGGGTATAAAAATCTTCGATACCCGAAATGGTCGTCGCCATGTTGTGACGTCAAGTAGTTATCAACTCTGATAACTATCCCGGACTGACTGAGATGGACAGCTGACCGGACAAAATTCTCTTACCAGAATTAAAAAAAATTTAAAAGATTTGCGCAATGTTACCTCGACGGTTTCTTACGGGTTAAAACTGAGGGTCGAACTTATTTTATACGACTTGTTGACAGATTTACATCTGAAACAAACAGATTAGCTCTCGTGCAACCCGACCCTTATCAACAACTAATTGAGGGCTAAAGTTTTCACTATACAGTGCACAGTAAGCATTTCCTGTCCGAGAGCCTGAGACATTCAATACAGAGTATTAATGCCGCCGGACAAGCCTTCATCTGTATGAATATTTTGCACCGAAACACAGTTGTTCCCAAATAACATAATGAGCAATGGCATAAGGAACTTGAAGGTTTTTAGACGGGAGGCGGTTTAAAGGGAGGGAGGAATGCAGGTAATTAAGGTGTCTGAGTTAATTAGGAAAAGGCCTTGCAAACTGTAATTTTAGCCTAAAAAGCATACCGGAAGACAGTTTTCTTGGAAATGTGCTCGAATTGTGAAATATTGCCCCGTCATGGAAAAATGCGAAACATCTCCGTGGTCGAAAATAATGCTTCAAACTTCAGCGCAGTCCGGGAATGCCTAGCCGCAGACCACGCAAATTGACACCGCTCCCGATTGGTAACTGTTACCTTGAAAACAATAAAAGAAAACTTGCTGACTGACAAAGATACCGTTCATCTCCTTTCAAACTAAATCGATCAGCTAGAAATGAAGTAACATACTTAGGACTTTGGGTATCATGATAGGTGTGATTTTCAATGAAGAGCAAAACTGCGCTAAATTTCTTTTAGAAAAAGTCTTCACCTTTTAAACTATTTGACGAACAAATTTCCCATCTAAGAATTAAGTATGATATTCATCAGATGTTTTGATGCAACCAAACAATACTAAGCAAATAACTGGGACTAAAATAATGTTGTAAAAATTTTGACCGAATCACATTGCCAAATAGTTTTTGGTAAAACTTATCAAGAAGTGCAATAATACATCTTTAAGTCAAATTTTTGTTGACAGCGCTTATCTCACCCGCGCGAAATTACGTGAGTTGTGTAAAATCCCTAAAAACCCACTTATCACGCATGCCTCGTTAGCTTTCAGGCCAACTTAAATGAAGGATATTGGAATGGCAGTTGACGAACAGACGATGTTGTGACCGGCTTTGATTTGGGGAGTTAATATTCTCGTGGCAAAACAAAAAAGATAAAACCATTCTTTCCTTTCTCTCTCTTGTAACATGGTTCAATTTTTACCGTTTTAAGGTCTTAACTTTGAGAAGTGCAAAGAGTTATTTTGTTATGAAAAACGTCACGTTCAAAGTTTGGTGTTCAAGGATCTTAGGCGGAAGAAACCGCCTACGTAAGTGCCTCAATGAAATCAGCGTCTTATATTTACCCTGTGGGTTTATCAAGAAATTCACTATTACTGCATCAGTGCACAGATTTCGCAAACTCATAGGAAAATCATTATTGTATAATATTCAAAATTTTTTATCTATCACAAGAAATAAACTAATGCAAAAATTCAAGGATCCTTACAAGTAACGTTGATCATCTTGGGATCAAGGGCACGCTAATAGCTATGTTTTCTTCTCAATAACAAAAGTTTTTAATGGCACAATGACATTAACTCGAATAATTTCTGTGATCAATACAAATTAAACGATTTTTACTCCACAGCGGCATAAAAAACATTCCAGACAACAGGTAAAAAAGGCAAAAAGAGAAATATTTCTTTAAGCATCACATTTATCTCCTTAAAACTTTAAAATTTAATAAGATCGCTTTAAAATTTCACTTTGGGAATGGCTCTCGACAAAAGTTTGATTTACACTGTTTTGATTAACTTACTTCCGCAGAATCTCGATATTCAAAGGCACATCAATTTTAAGAGCAATCCGCTCCATTACACCAGCTTGGATATGTGTTATATTGGCTAAAAAGACAGATCGAGAAGTTACGCGTTAAAGAAATTATGCAACATTAAAACGTCAACGAATCCTCAAAAAAGTAAATGTAATTGTCGTGGTTAATGTTTCTTAAATGAAGCTTTATAAGTTTATCTTTTTCCCTTAATGATTAGCCTTAACGGTTTCCTTCGCGGACTGTCATACCCTTGCGAAGTTCCTGATGAAATTAGTTTCCATGGTGCTTTTCCTAAAACAGTCGCAAAGAAGAAAAGCATTCTACACCCTACTTGAATTCAAGTTCTAAAGCCAACATGTTCGCCGGTAATTATTTGTTTTGTAGATATGATTGGCATTTTCCAGACCCTGAAGAACTTCACGATTAACGCAAACCGCAGCCCTGTTGCACAGTAAATAATAGAAAAACGCTATATTGATGAATCATGACACGTGATCCTAAATCGCTATAAAAGAACACACTGAAATTGTTTCAATCATTGGATAACAGCAGAGGTGACCATTGTTGAAGAAATTGGAAAGCAGATCCTTTTTCCATATACACCAGCCATAAAGCTCTTTAACCATGAATACCCTCAGGCTTCTTATATTGGTAAGTACATTTTAATCAGTTAATTAAGTTCCAGTGGAGTATTTTTTACGTCAGTAAGGACATTTGTCTATGTTTCCAAGTTATCATCACTGGAAATTGCAAAACCCAATTTTAAAGATAAAAAACTTTAAAGAAAACATTTTTATTTTGATCGTAAATTATTTGCACAGGAAACTACAACAATATTAAGAGCTATTTTTCTGCAACATCCTTATATATGATGGTTTTTTACTGATTCTGGCAGAATGTCCGTCAAATATGAACCTTTTCAATTGTCTAATTCGCTCACAAGCTCTGTTTAGCTTATTTTACAAAGCATCGCTTATTGGACGGAAAAATGAGTGGACTGATGCTACAATTCTTTTAATTAGATTATCGTCGTACGCTTGTGAAAAATTTTCCACATCCTTCGGCGTAGTTGTCATTGATTTCGGAGTGAAGGAATACGATTACCTGCGATGCATTGAACCAGTATGAGGACTCTTGCGCCAGTATTGCGCTCAAATATTACGTTTTTTTATTTACAAGTTCTTGCCTTCAGAAAGCTGGGAATGGCAACAAACTTCAACAAAATACTTTGATCAACTTCAATTAACTCTGATTAATTAAGCAATAAAGGAGATAAAGAAAGTGACCGAATGACAAAAGTGGTTTTACGTTCTTATTCAAGATCCGCTTTCTAGTGTGTGAGTAGATATTGCACTTGGCTACGGTTAAAGTCGTCTTTCATTTCGCGCTAATATTAATGATGTCCAAGAAAAACACATCTGAATTCATTTACTAGAATACCCCACTTTGCGGCCATATTCATAAATGTGATAGCTGATAGCCGACAGGTTATCCGCACTTGTGTCCATAATTAGAAGTTTATGGCCTTTATTCTTCTTGTTTACAGGCAGCATTCTGTGTCATATTCCTGATATTACTTGTTCAAGGAGAAAATGAAAACGAAGTCAGTGAGACAGACATGGAATTGCAAGGTGCTTGATAATTATTTCTCTCTCACACAAATTCAAATTGAGTTGAAAACGAACCTTTATCACTGACTGTATCTATGTGTTCGTCTATAAATTCTTTTTATTTTCCAGGCCATAATCTTAGAGAAAAGAGGAGCGTCGGGTGGTGGGGAAGGAGGAGCCGCCGTCATTACCGCCCCTCTTACCGCCGCCGTTACCGTTATGGTTACTGCGCACGCTATTGGGGTAAGTAGCTTATTCTGTTTTTATTAAAATAAATCAGCTAAAAAATTTCTTTTACAGTGAACGCGTTATGCACTCTGATGGTAAATGGCGATGTAACCTCGTGCCCAGATCCTGCCGTTTAAGTAACCGAAATGCCTTTTCAGACTTGGGGCATATTTTCGCCAAACCTAAGGATCCTGTCACGAAAGAACAACGAACCGACGCCATTTCTTCTATTCCTTGCAATGACTGTGACAACCAATACATTGGACAGACCAAACATCAGTTTGGTACACGTTTAAAAGAGCACCAAAAAGCGGTTTTTCTTTACAAAAAGGAAAATTCAGCTTTATCGGAGCTACATGCCTAACTAACCATACAATTGGGTGGGATAATTCTAAAATTATCACCAGTAATCGGCGTTACCACTAGCGCCTTTGTTTGGAGGCTTGGCATATTAACTCCGCCCACGCTCCTTTAAATCGTGACGATGGCGGTTTGCTTCCTGACGCCTATTTACACCTCGTCAGAAAAAAGGCCGCTAATTAGTGATCATATAAAAGGACCTCTTGTTGCAGCGTTTAGATCACCCCTGATGAAGGCACTAGACAGGAGTGTCGAAACGTTGGGTCTATGAATTGTAACTTCTTCGGTTACATTCATTAAATCTGTAAACCAGAGTAGCATCAAACTATGTCTGCAACTAACTGTGTTTTTCTTAAACAGGAAAAAGGAAGTATTACATACTCAAATCTGTACTGAAAGAAGTAGACTGCTTGAATAATACAAATTGTCAAGAAAGTCAAGTCAAAATCTTTGGTAAGTATCACGTGAAGTTACTAACCCTGATTAGAGCTAGACCAACAACAAAATGCTGAAAAAGTAAGTAATCCATGCCAGAAACGGAGGGGAGACACTATTTCCAGAGAAATGCCTGATAGAGAAAGCATTTCTACCTAAACAAATGACGCAATTGCCAAGTAAGCCGAAGCATAATCAGATCTTGAGTTTAGGTTGCTACTGATTAAACCTTTCACTCCCAAGATATCATTATTTATTCTCCTTAATGTCTGCCATGTCATTCTCATTATGTTTGTTTAGAGAATTTGGTAGTTGATGAACTAATCATGCCCTCATTGATATGTTTTTCTTTATTCTCATCACTTGTCTGCTGAATATTGTATTAATATTATAAGGAGAAATTCAGTTTTGGTCACACTGGATAGTAAGAAGTTGGGGGGGGGGGGAGAAGTTGAAGGAATTTGTTTGTGTCACAATAAAATTTACCTGATTTCCCCATAAGGCTCTGTAGTATTCTAATGATTGCCCCTTCATTAGCCGTCAATTTTCTATAGTCCTTCCTTTAAATTGTAATGGAGACGACTGATCCTTCTCTCAGTTCCCCCTAAAAACCATACGATCCCCCCCGGAAAACACAAACAGTCCTACAAGCGATAAATGATGGTTTTTTTCCCCTAATTTTTCGATCCTAAACTAAACTGATGCATTTTCATACCAATCATTCTGATCTTTTTCGGAGGGAGTCCATAGTTCTCTAGATCGAAGTTGTTCTTATCACCCTCTTTATTGTATAAGTAAAACGGTTAGTTATTTGTTTAAAGCAAGGACGCGCTATAAACAGAGTTGTACCATTTATCATATCACTAACAGGAGAGATTTTCAAGCCACCCACTCCAGCCCCACCCATGAGTCCTATTCCGTCGCCTTCCTCCAGTCCGGTGATGACCGTATCGCCTTCAAGTTCACAAGTTGTATCGTCGATGCCGGCCGTATCACTTTCAAGTTCACAAGTTGTATCTTCGATGCCGGCCGTATCACCCACACCATCCTCCAGCAGTGTAATGGTTTCACAGACTGTTTAGCCAGTCAGCGCTTAGTCTCCGCAGCAGCCATTCTACAGGATGTCACGTAACTCTACGGGAAGTCACGCAACGTATCTTACCCCCGTCCCCCTCAGCGTCGAAAAAGAGTTGTGTAACATCCTGAAATATTGCTACGAAGAAGAATCGTTATTATCGAGCGTCCGTAACGTAGTTCCGCATTAGTTTCCATGGCATTTTTTTTATAACAAACACACCAAGTGGATAAAGAGCCGGTGTTTTCCAAAGAGCAAAGACTTGACATAATTGAACTATGAATGTTTTTTAATTTTTAATTTTTAATTTTTTCACAAATTTGGATTATATCGGACCAATTAACGCTCAGACTCACATGTAAACTTAAACCTCCACCATGGTACAAGGGAGGTGGTTGGAACTTCCAAACACTTAGCGTTCCGTTTTGTTGCAACATTTTGAAAAGTTGCGATGTTAATATTATGGAATACATACGCAAATGGCGCTGCTGGGGACCAGTGACGTCATTCAACAGAGCGGATTTTTCAAGATTTTTCACTTTCCACTGTAATTTTTGGAAGAGTAGCTTTCGAACTTGACAGAAAAATGTAAAATAAGACAAAAAAATATATAAAAGTTTTACTGTACTTTTCTTATCAACTTTAAAGCTTTAAATTCTTTCGTAGCTCATATCCACCAATAAACCACACATCACTTGTCATTTAATATCTCTTACTCCTTTTCGCCAATTTATTTGAACTTCAGCTCTTGACTTTTATAGCTCTACGAAGTGTTCCAGTAGCAAACCTTGTCTATTTTTCGTTAGTGCAAAGGTATTTGTCCTGAACTATGCCACTGAGGGAAAGGCGTTATGTGGGGCTTCCTGTGAAATATCTGTTAAGAGATATTTAGGCTATATTAAAATAAAACAATATAAAAAATCCACACCATCCAAAACAATAACATATTTATAATATTGTAATACTACACGTTATATTACGTATGACATGTTCAGTTAACTATAAGACAGAAATGCATGTATATACAACATGGTTGCTACAGCCGTGATGTAGGTTTATGAAATTCCTGACCATTTTACTCAATGATGACCTCAAACCAACCCCACAGCCATCCTCTCCACCTAGTTATTTATGCTTAAGTATGGTGCGGTGATAAGAAATCGGAAATTAGACAACAATGTTCGAATGATAAACAGAGAGATTGAAAGCATCGTCAAAAACACAAAATGGCGGTTGGCGACTGATTAAGCAGTAAATCAAGACCACCCTATGCACTTTTTACCTGCGGTTCGCATCACGATAAATAGCAGTTGCATCAGTTAGCTTGGAGTACAGCTCCATGATTTTTTTGATTCCGGAAAAATTCATTCACTGACTTCAACTTTAAGACAAAGTTGAAAAACATAACTCAATCAAATGGGTCATTTCAACTGTTCTGTTACTTCTGTGCCCAAAATTTCGCCTCTATCACCATCGATCACCATCTTGAGTACGCGCGAAGATCAGTATCCATTCACTAATTTCCGATGGAATTATTTGTACATTCGACGTGTAACAACGAATAAATAGCGAACATTTCGAGTTGGGTACAAAAATCTTCGATACCCGAAATGATACAGTTGTTACAGTATCATACCTACAGTTATTAAATCTGATAACTATCCCGGACTGGCTGAGATGGACAGCTGACCAGACAAAATCTTCTTGCTAGAATTAAAAAACTTTTAAAAGATTTGCGCAATGATACCTAAACGGTTTCTTACGGGTTAAAACTGACGGTCGAACTTATTTTATACGACTTGTTGACAGATTTACATCTGAAGCAAGCCAAATTAGCTCTCGTGCGACCTAACCCTTATCAACAACTAATTGAGGGCCAAAGTTTTCACTACACAGCGCACAGTAAGCATTTCCTATCCGAGAGCCTGAGACATTCAATACAGAGTATTAATGCCGGCGGACAAGCCTTCATCTGCATGAATATTTTGCACTGAAACACAGTTGCTCCCAAATAACATAATGAGCAATGGCATGAGGAACTTAGAGGTTTTTAGACGGGAGGCGGTTGAAAAGGAGGGAGGAATGCAGGTAATTAAGGCGTCTGCGTTAGTTAGGAAAAGGCCTTGCAAACATCCTGTAACTTTAGCCTAAAAAGCATACCGGAAGATGACTTTCTTGGAAATGTGCTCAAATTGCGAAATATTGCCCCGTCATGGAAAAATGCGAAACATCTCCGTGGTCGAAAATAATGCTTCAAACTTCAGTGCAGTCCGGGAATGCCTGGCCGCAGACCACGCGAATTGACACCGCTCCCGATTGGTAACTGTTTCCTTGAAAACAATAAAAGAAAACTTGCTGACTGACAAAGATACCGTTCATCTCCTTTCAAACTAAATCGATCAGCTAGAAATGAAGTAACATACTTACGACCGTGGGTATCATGATAGGTGTGATTTTCAATGAAGAGCAAAACTGCGCTAAATTTCTTTTAGAAAAAGTATTCACCTTTTAAACTATTTGACGAACAAATTTCCCATCTAAGAATTAAGTATGATATTCATCAGATGTTTTGATGCAAGCACACAATACTAAGCAAATAACTGGGACTAAAATAATGTTGTAAATATTTTGACCTAATCACATTGCCAAATAGTTTTTGGTAAAACTTATAAAGAAGTGCAATAATACACCTTTAGGTCAAATTTTTGTTGACAGCGCTTATCTCACCTGCGCGAAATTACGTGAGTTGTGTAAAATCCCTAAAAACCTACTTATCACGCATGCCTCGTTAGCTTTCAGGCCAACTTAAATGAAGGATATTGGAATAGCAGTTGACGAACAGATGATGTTGTGACCGGCTTTGATTTGGGGAGTTGATATTCTCGTGGCAAAACAAAAAAGATAAAACCATTCTTTCCTTTCTCTCTCTTGTAACATGGTTCAATTTTTACCGTTTTAAGGTCTTAACTTTGAGAAGTGCAAAGAGTTATTTTGTTATGAAAAACGTCACGTTCAAAGTTTGGTGTTCAAGGATCTTAGGCGGAAGAAACCGCCTACGTAAGTGCCTCAGTGAAATCAGCGTCTTATATTTACCCTGTGGGTTTATCAAGAAATTCGCTATTACTGCATCAGTGCACAGACTTCGCAAACTCATAGGAAAATCATTATTGTATAATATTCAAAATTTTTTATCTATCACAAGAAATAAACTAATGCAAAAATTCAAGGATCCTTACAAGTAAGGTTGATCATCTTGGGATCAAGGGCACGCTAATAGCTATGTTTTCTTCTCAATAACAAAAGTTTTTAACGGCACAACGACATTAACTCGAATAATTTCTGTGATCAATACAAATAAAACGATTCTTACTCTGCAACGGCATAAAAAAACATTCCAGACAACAGGTAAAAAAGGCAAAAAGAGAAATATTTCTTTAAGCATCACATTTATCTCCTTAAAACTTTAAAATTTAATAAGATCGCTTTAAAATTTCACTTTGCGAATGTCTCTCGACAAAAGTTTGATTTACACTGTTTTGATTAACTTACTTCCGCAGAATCTCGATATTCAAAGGCACATTCCGCTCTATTACACCAGCTTGGATATGCGTTATATTGGCTAAAGAGACAGATCGAGAAGTTACGCGTCAAAGAAATTATGCAACATTAAAACGTCAACGAATCCTCCAAAAAGTAAATGTAATTGTCGTGGTTAATGTTTCTTAAATGAGGCTTTAGAAGTTTATCTTTTTCGCTTAATGATTAGCCTTAACGGTTTCCTTCGTGGACTGTCATACCCTTGTATGAGGTTCCTGATGAAATTAGTTTCCATGGTGTTTTTCCCAAAACAGTTGCAAAGAAGGGAAAACATTCTACACCCTACTTGAATTCAAGTTCTAAAGCCAACATGTTCGCCGGTTATTATTTGTTTTGTAGATATGATCGGCATTTTCCAGACCCTGAAGAACTTCACGATTAACGCAAACCGCAGCCCTGTTGCACAGTAAATAATAGAAAAACGCTATATTGATGAATCATGACACGTGATCCTAAATCGCTATAAAAGAACACACTGAAATTGTTTCAATCATTGAATAACAGCAGAGGTGGCCATTGTTGAAATTGGAAAGCAGATCCTTTTTCTATATCCACCAGCCATAAAGCTCTTTAACCATGAATACCCTCAGGCTTCTTATTTTGGTAAGTACATTTTAATCAGTTAATTAAGTTCCAGTGGAGTATTTTTACGTCAGTAAGGACATTTGTCTATATTTCCAAGTTATCATCACTGGAAAACCCAAACCCAAATTTAAGATAAAGAACTTTAAAGACATCATTTATATTTTGATCGTAAATTATTTGCACAGGAAACTACAATAATATTAAGAGCTATTTTTTTGTGCAATATCCTTACATATGATGGTTTTTTACCGATTCTGGCAGAATGTCTGTCAAATATGAATCTTTTCAATTGTCTAATTCGCTCACAAGCTCTGTTTAGCTTATTTTACAAAGCATCGCTTATTGGACGGAAAAATGAGAGGACTGAGGCTACAATTCTTTTAATTGGATTGCCGTCCTACGCTTGTGGAAAATTTTCCACATCCTTCGGCGTAGTTGTCATTGATTTCGGAGTGAAGGAATACGATTACCTGCGATGCATTGAACCAGTATGAGGACTCTTGCGCCAGTATGGCGCTCAAATATCAGGTTTTTTTTATTTACAAGTTCTTACCTTCAGAAAGCTGGGAATGGCAACAAACTTCAACAAAATACTTTGATCAACTTCAATTAACTCTGATTAATTAAGCAATAAAGGAGATAAAGAAAGTGACTGAATGACAAAAGTGATTTTACGTTCTTATTCAAGATCCGCTTTCTAGTGTGTGAATAGATATTGCACTTGGCTATGGTTAAAGTCGTCTTTCATTTCGTGCTAATGTTAATGATGTCCAAGAAAAACACATCTGAATTCATTTACCAGAATACCCCACTTTGCGGCCTTACTCATAGATGTGATAGCTGGTATCTGACAGGTTATCCGCACTTGTGTCCATAATTAGAAGTTTATGGCCTTTATTCTTCTTGTTTACAGGCAGCATTCTGTGTCATATTCCTGATATTACTTGTTCAAGGAGAAAATGAAAACGAAGTCAGTGAGACAGACATGGAATTGCAAGGTGCTTGATAATTATTTCTCTCTCACACAAATTCAAATTGAGTTGAAAACGAACCTTTATCACTGACTGTATCTATGTGTTCGTCTATAAATTCTTTTTATTTTCCAGGCCATAATCTCAGAGAAAAGAGGAGCGTCGGGTGGTGGGGAAGGAGGAGCCGCCGTCATTACCGCCCCTCTTACCGCCGCCGTTACCATTACCGTTATGGTTACTGCGCACGCTATTGGGGTAAGTAGCTTATTCTGTTTTTATTAAAATAAATCAGCTAAAAAATTTCTTTTACAGTGAACGCGTTATGCACTCTGATGGTAAATGGCGATGTAACGTCGTGCCCAGATCCTGCCGTTTAAGTAACCGAAATGCCTTTTCAGACTTTGGGGCATATTTCGCCAAACCTAAGGATCCTGTCACGAAAGAACAACGAACCGACGCCATTTCTTCTATTCCTTGCAATGACTGTGACAACCAATACATTGGACAGACCAAACATCAGTTTGGTACACGTTTAAAAGAGCACCAAAAAGCGGTTTTTCTTTGCAAAAAGGAAAATTCAGCTTTATCGGAGCTACATGCCTAACTAACCATACAATTGGGTGGGATAATTCTAAAATTATCACCACTAATCGGCGTTACCACTAGCGCCTTTGTTTGGAGGCTTGGCATATTAACTCCGCCCACGCTCCTTTAAATCGTGACGATGGCGGTTTGCTTCCTGACGCCTATTTACACCTCGTCAGAAAAAAGGCCGCTAATTTGTGATCATATAAAAGGACCTCTTGTTGCAGCGTTTAGATCACCCCTGATGAAGGCACTAGACAGGAGTGTCGAAACGTTGGGTCTATGACTTGTAACTTCTTCGGTTACATTCATTAAATCTGCAAACCAGAGTAGCGTCAAACTATGTCTGCAACTAACTGTGTTTTTCTTAAACAGGAAAAAGGAAGTATTACATACTCAAATCTGTACTGAAAGAAGTAGACTGCTTGAATAATACAAATTGCCAAGAAAGTCAAGTCAAAATCTTTGGTAAGTATCACGTGAAGTTACTAACCTTGATTAGAGCTAGACCAACAACAAAATGCTGAAAAAGTAAGTAATCCATGCCAGAAACGGAGGGGAGACACTATTTCCAGAGAAATGCCTGATAGAGAAAGCATTTCTACCTAAACAAATGACGCAATTACCAAGTAAGCCGAAGCATAATCAGATCTTGAGTTTAGGTTGCTACTGATTAAACCTTTCACTCCCAAGATATCATTATTTATTCTCCTTAATGTCTGCCATGTCATTCTCATTATGTTTGTTTAGAGAATTTGGTAGTTGATGAACTAATCATGCCCTCATTGATATGTTTTTCTTTATTCTCATCACTTTTCTGCTGAATATTGTATTAATATTATAAGGAGAAAGTCAGTTTTGGTCACACTGGATGGTAAGAAGTTGGGGGAGAGGTTGAAGGAATTTGTTTGTGTCATAATAAAATTTACCTGATCCCCATTCCCCTTCATTAGCCATCAATTTTCTATAGTCCTACCTTTAAATTATTCTGATCTTTGTTTGGATCCCCGGAAAAAGTCAAACAGTTCTCTAGATAAAGATTGTTTTTTCCCTAATTATTCGATCCTTAACTAAACTGATACATTTCCATACCAATTATTCTGATCTTTTTCGAAGGAATTCCATAGTTCTTTAGATCAAAGTTGTTCTTATCACCCTCTTTATTGTGCAAGTAAAACGGTTAGTACTTTGTTTAAAGCCAGGACGCGCTATAAACAGAGTTGTACCATTTATCATATCAATAACAGGAGAGATTTTCAAGCCACCCACTCCAGCCCCACCCATGAGTCCTATTCCGTCGCCTTCCTCCAGTCCGGTGATGACCGTATCGCCTTCAAGTTTACAAGTTGTATCGTCGATGCCAGCCGTATCACCTTCAAGTTCACAAGTTGTATCTTCGATGCTGGCCGTATCACCCACACCATCCTCCAGCAGTGTAATGGTTTCACAGACTGTTTAGCCAGTCAGCGCTTAGTCTCCGCAGCAGCCATTCTACGGGATGTCACATAACTCTACGGGAAGTCACGCAACGTGTCTTACCCCCTTCCTCCTCAGCGTAGAAAAGAGTTGTGCAACATCCTGAAATATAGCTACGAAGAAGAATCGTTATTATCGAGTGTCCGTAACGTAGTTCCGCATGAGTTTCCATAACATTTTTTTTATAACAAACACACCAAGTGGATAAAGAGCCGGTATTTTCCAAAGAGCAAAGACTTGACATAATTGAATAATGAATGTTTTTTTATTTTTTATTTTTTCACAAATTTGGATTATATCGGACCAATTAACGGTCAGACTTACATGTAAACTTATACCTCCACCATGGTACAAAGGAAGTGTTGGAACTTCCAAACACTTAGCGTTTTCGTTTTGTTGCAACATTTTGAAAAGTTATGATGTTAATATTATGGAATACATACGCAAATGGCGCTGCTGGGGACCAGTGACGTCATTCAACTTAGCGGATTTTTCAAGATTTTTCTCTTTTCTACCGTAATTTTTGGAAGAGTAGCTTTCGAACTTGACAGGAAAATGTAAAATAAGACAAAAAAATAAATAACAGTTTTACTGTACTTTTCATATTAACTTTAAAGCTTTAAATTCTTTCGTAGCTCATATCCACCAATAAACCACACATCACTTGTCATTTAATATCTTTTACTCCTTTTCGTCAATTTATTTGAACTTCAGCTCTTGGCTTTTATAGCTCTACGAAGTGTTCCAGTAGCAAACCTTGTCTATTTTTCGTTAGTGCAAAGGTATTTGTCCTGAACTATGCCACCGAGGGAAAGGCGTTATGTGGGGCTTCCTGTAAAATATCTGTTAAGAGATATTTAGGCTATATTAAAATAAAACAATAGAAAAAATCCACACCATCCAAAACAATAACATATTTATAATATTGTAATACTACACGTTATATTACGTATGACATGTTCAGTTAACTATGAGACAGAAATGCATGTATATACAACATGGTTGCTACAGCCGTGATGTAGGTTTATGAAATTCCTGACCATTTTACAATTTCCCAAATTGGCTCAATGATGACCTCAAACCAACCCCACAGCCATCCTCTCCACCCATTTATTTATGCTTTCAGTAAGTAAGTCACATGCAGGGCAGACGAATTGATAGTTCCTTGACACAATATAGCAAAATGATTTTTTTGGTGGAAACCAACCAAAGTCATCTTGTTAATTTTCATGAAACAATATTTCAACAATCCAGCACATTTGTTGTTTCCTTTTTCTAAATTACAATTCAATCTGGAATTTGATTGATAAAGGAAGAGCCATTAAGTGGATATACTACAATGTGTACTACTAGAACCAAACTATATTATTGTTTATTGAAACCCACTTTAGTTTATTTACATTTCATGTCCATAAAAACTTACTAAAGTACTTGAATTGGTAAAAAAAATCCAATTTTTGCTTACTTCTCTTAAAAAAAAAATTTTCCTTGACTTAGTGAAAAAATTCCCTGACTTTTCCCTGACCTTGAAGAACCCTTTTTTCTGACCATTTCCTGACTTGTGGAAAGATAAAGTAAAATCCGTGCATGAGCCAAGTTGCCCATCCAGCCGGAGCTTATCCTTGACATGAAGCGACCAGACGCAAAACCAAGTTCAACCCTCAAACGGAGCATAATATTCGACGACAGCGGGCTCTCGTTTAACAAATAACTAGTTTGGTTTGTTTAATAATGTTTTCTTCGGGCAATAACAGCACAATGAAACGAAACATCATTGTTTTAAATACTACAAACTAAGTATGGTACGGTGATAAGAAATCGGAAATTAGACAAAAATGTTCGGATGATAAACAGAGAGATTGAAAGCATCGTCAAAAACCCAAAATGGCGGTTGGCGACTGATTAAGCTGTAAATCAAGACCACCCTATGCACTTTTTTCTTGCGGTTCGCATCACGATAATTAGAAGGTGCATCGAAAAAAAAATAGATTGAAGTACAGGTCCATTATTTTTTTGATTCAGGAAAAATTTTATACACTGACTAAAACTTTAGGACAAAGTTGAAAAACATAACTCAATCAAATGGGTCATTTCAACTGTCCTGTTACTTCTGTGCCCAAAATTTCGCCTCTATCACCATCGACCACCATCTTGAGTACACGCGAAGATCAGTATTCATTCATTAATTTCCGGTGGAATTTTTTGTACAAACGGCATGTAATAAAAAATTAACAGCGAACATTTCGTATTGGGTACAAAAATCTTCGATACCCGAAATGGTCGCTATGTTGTGAAGTCATACAGTTATTAAATCTGATAACTATCTTGGATTGACTGAGGTGGACAGTTGACCAGACAAAATTCTCTTACCAGAATTAAAAAACTTTTAAAAGATTTGCGCAATGATACCTCAACGGTTTCTTACGGGTTAAAACTGAGTGTCGAACTTATTTTATACGACTTGTTGACAGATTTACATCTGAAACAAGCAAAATTAGCTCTCGTGCAACCTGACCCTTATCAACAACTAATAATTGAGGGCCAAAGTTTTCACTACACAACGCACAGTAAGCATTTCCTATCCGAGAGCCTGAGACATTCAATGCAGAGTATTAATGCCGGCGGACAGGCTTTCATCTGCATGAATATTTTGCACTGAAACACAGTTGCTCCCAAATAACATAATGAGCAATGGCATGAGGAACTTGAAGGTTTTTAGACGGGAGGCGGTTTAAAGGGAGGGAGGAATGCAGGTAATTAAGGCGTCTACGTTAGTTAGGAAAAGGCCTTGCAAACATCCTGTAATTTTAGCCTAAAAAGCATATCGGATGGTGATTTTCTTGGAAGGGTACTCGAATTGTGAAATATTGCCCCGTCATGGAAAAATGCGAAACATCTCCAAGGTCGAAAATAATACTTCAAACTTCAGCGCAGTCCGGGAATGCCTGGCCGCAGACCACGCAAATTGACACCGCTCCCGATCGGCGACTGCTACCATGAAAACAACAATAGAAAAACTTACTGACCAACAAAGATACCGTTCATCTCCTTTCAAACTAAATCGATCAGCTGGAAATGAAGTAACATACTTACGACTGTGGGTATCATGATAGGTGTGATTTTCAATGAAGAGCAAAACTACGCTAAATTTCTTTTAGGAAAAGTATTCACCTCTTATACTATTTGACGAACAAATTTCCCAAGTAAGAATTAAGTATGATATTCATCAGATGTTTTGATGCAAGCACACAATACTAAGCAAATAACTGGGACTAAAATTATGTTTTAAATATTTTGACCGAATCACATTGCCAAATAGTTTTTGGCAAAACTTGTCAAGAAGTGTAATAATACACCTTTAAGTCAAATTTTTGTTGACAGCGCTTATCTCACCCGCGCGAAATTACGTGAGTTGTGTAAAATCCCTAAAAACCCTCTTATCATGTATGCCTCGTTAGCTTTCAGGCCAACCTAAATGAAGGGTATTGGAATAGCAGTTGACGAACAGACGATGTTTTGACCGGCTTTGACTTGGGAGTTGATATTCTCGTGGCAAAACAAAACAGATAAAACCATTCTTTCCTTTCTCTCTCTTGTAACATGGTTCAATTTTTACCGTTTCAAGGTCTTAACTTTGAGAAGTGCAAAGAGTTATTTTGTTATTGAAAACGTCACGTTCAAAGTTTGGTGTTCAAGGATCTTAGGCGGAAGAAACCGCCTACGTAAGTGCCTCAATGAAATCAGCGTCTTATATTTGCTCTATGGGTTTATCAAGAAATTCATGTTAGTTACTACATCAGTGCACAGACTTCGCAAACTCATAAGAAAATCATTATTGCATAATATTCAAAATTTTCTCTGTCACAAGAAATAAACTAATGCAAAAATTCAAGGATCCTTACAAGTAACGTTGATCATCTTGGGATCAAGGGCACGCTAATAGCTATGTTTTCTTCTCCATAACAAAAGTTTTTAATGGCACTGCGACATTAACTCGAATAATTTCTGTGATCAATACAAATAAAAACGATTTATTTTCACAGCGGCATAAAAAACATGCCAGACAACAAGTGAAAAAGACTAATAGAAAAACATTTCTTTAAGCAGCACATTTATCTCCTTAAAACTTTAAAATTTAATGAGATCGCTTTAAAATTTCACTTTGAGAATGGCTCTCTACAAAAGTTTGATTTAAACTGTTTCGATTGACTTACTTCCGCAGAATCTTGATATTCAAAGGCACATCAATTTTAAGAGCAATCCGCTCTATTACACCAGATTGGACAAGCGTTATATATGCTAAAAAGACAGATCGAGAAGTTACGCGTTAAAGAAATTATGCAACATTATAACGTCAATGAATCCTCCAAAAAATTAAATGTAATTGTCGTGGTTGATATTTTATAAATGAAGCTTCATAAGTTTATCTTTTTCCCTTAATGATTAGCCTTAACGGTTTCCTTCGTGGGGTGTCATAGCTTTGCAAAGTTCCTAATGAAATTAGTTTCCATGGTGTTTTTCCCAAAACAGTCACAAAGAAGGAAAAAATAGCTACACCCTACTTGAATTCAAGTTGTGAAGCCAACATGTTCGCCGGTAACTATTTGTTTCCTAAATATGATTGGCATTTTCTAGACCCTGAAGAACTTCACGATTAACGCAAACCGCAGCCCTGTTACACAGTAAATAATAGAAAAACGCTATATTGATGAATCATGACACGTGATCCTAAATCGCCTATAAAAGAACACACTGAAATTGTTTCAATCATTGGATAACAGCAGAGGTGACCATTGTTGAAATTGGAAAGCAGATCCTTTTTCTATATCCACCAGCCATAAAGCTCTTTAACCATGAATACCCTCAGGCTTCTTATTTTGGTAAGTACATTTTAATCAGTTAATTAAGTTCCAGTAGAGTATTTTGTACGTCAGTAAGGACATTTGTCTATATTTCCAAGTTATCATCACTGGAAAACCCAAACCCAAATTTAAGATAAAGAACTTTAAAGACATCATTTATATTTTGATCGTAAATTATTTGCACAGGAAACTACAATAATATATGGAGCTAAGAAATTGTCATTTTTGTGCAATATCCTTACATATGATGGTTTTTTACCGATTCTGGCAGAATGTCTGTCAAATATGAATCTATTCAATTGTCTAATTCGCTCACAAGCTCTGTTTAACTTATTTTACAAAGCATCGCTTATTGGACGGAAAAATGAGAGGAATGATGCTACCATTCTTTTAATTAGATTATCGTCCCACGCTTGTGAAGAATTTTCCACATCCTTCGGCGTAGTTGTCATTGATTTCGGAGTGAAGGAATACGATTACCTGCGATGCATTGAACCAGTATGAGGACTCTTGCGCCAGTATTGCGCTCAAATATCACGCTTTTTTATTTACAAGTTCTTGCCCTCAGAAAGCTGGGAATGGCAGCAAACTTCAACAAAATACTTTGATGAACCTCAATTTACTCAGATTAATTCAGCAATAAAGGAGATAAAGAAAGTGATTGAATGCCATTGTGATTTTACGTTCTTATTCAAGATCCGCTTTCTAGTGTGTGAATAGATATTGCACTTGGCTATGGTTAAAGTCGTCTTTCATTTCGCGCTAATATTAATGATGTCCAAGAAACACACATCTGAATTCATTTACTAGAATACCCCACTTTGCGGCCATATTCATAAATGTGATAGCTGGTAGCTGACAGGTTATCCGCACTTGTGTCCATAATTAGAAGTTTATGGCCTTTATTCTTCTTGTTTACAGGCAGCATTCTGTGTCATATTCCTGATATTACTTGTTCAAGGAGAGAATGAAAACGAAGTCAGTGAGGCAGACATGGAATTGCAAGGTGCTTGATAATTTAGTTCAAGTCTTAAAACAGAGTAAGCATCATCTCTCGCATGCGTGCGTTGGAGCCAGTTTTCATGGCCAAACGTAGCGACGCAAACCATCGAAAATAAATTTGGAAGGCAAAAAAATTCATTCCATAATTCAGAAAACGAAACTAATTACCTCTTAAACTGAAATTTTTATCGGATTAATATCGGATATAAGAATGATGAGAACCTGTTTTTTCCCGCTTCACCAACCCACAGTACAAATTTTTGTGGAAAAAAAAACAGTTCTTATGACACCAAGACAGCATTATTTATTTCTCTCTCACACAAATTCAAAGTGACTTTAAAAAGAACCTTTATTGCAGACCGTATCTGTGTGTTCGTCTATAAATTCTTTTTATTTTCTAGGCCATAATCTTAGAGAAAAGAGGAGCTTCAGGTCGTGGGGAAGGAGGAGCCGCCGCCATTACCGCCCCTCTTACCGCCGCCGTTACCATTACCGTTATGGTTACTGCGCACGCTATTGGGGTAAGTAGCTTATTCTGTTTTTATCAAAATAAATCAGCTAAAAAATTTCTTTTAAAGTTAATGCGTTATACGTTATGCACTCTGATGGTAATTGGCGATGTAACCTCGTGCCCAGCGTTTAAGTAACTGAAATGCTGGGACCGGCCCTCCCAACGCTTGGCCGTAGAAGGTCTGGTTATGAGACTATTGTCGGTGATCAATCAGAGAACAGACGCAAGGAGAGGTCATGAAAAAGCTCGTTTTTTTTTTTATTATTTCGTTCAGCGTTACGCACAGTGTTGAAAATATTTGCAATATTTTTATAAATTTAAGAGCTGAAGGATCTGTTTCCAAAGGAAGAAAAAATGGGCGAGTTCCTAGCTACAAGAAAAGTACGTTGCAAGGCACATAAAAAATCTCAGAGAGTCAAGCGACCGAGGGGAATTTCCTTTTCTTGTTTAATATCAAGTATAAATTGGCCGTGTGTCTTAAATTTTTAACATAAAAGTCGCCAAATCGTGGTACATGTAATAAAACAATAGATATTATGTTCGAGCTGCTGGGCAAGGGTTAAAATGACTCTGAGAAGAGCCAAAAACATATTTAAGCCCACGAACGTATACTGTACTATTACTAATATCATCAGTAAAATAGCAACAGAAAAAAATGAAGAATCACGAGAGTGTGCGAGCTTTCAGCTCAGCAAAATTTTCATTTTAGCCCACAAAATTCGCCATAATGCACGACAAAGGGATAATAATAACATCACTGACATACAAACCGCAAGCAAGTGCGCTAATTTTTTTTATTCCTATCACGTTTTGAGGAAAATAATGAAATAGTGAGAAAAAATGTAGCAACTGACCAAAGAATGGTACTTTTTTAAAGCAACTAACTGTGTTTTTCTTAAACAGGAAAAAGGAAGTATTCCATACTCAAATCTGTACTGAAAGAAGTAGACTGCTTGAATAATACAAATTGCCAAGAAAGTCAAGTCAAAATCTTTGGTAAGTATCATGTGAAGTTACTAACCCTGATTAGAGCTAGACCAACAACAAAATGCTGACAAAGTAAGTAATCCATGTCAGAAACGTAGTAGAGACTCTGTTTCCAGAGAAATGCCTGATAAGGAAAGCATTTCTACATAAACAAATGACGCAATTGCCAAGTAAGCCGAAGCATAATCAGATCTTGAGTTTAGGTTGCTACTGATTAAACCTTTCACTCCCAAGATATCATTGTTTATTCTCCTTAATGTCTGCCATGTCATTCTCATTATTTGTTTAGCGAATTTGGTAGTTGATGAACTAATCATGCCTTCCATGATATGTTTTTCTTTATTCTCATCACTTGTCTGCTGAATATTGTATTCATATTATAAGGAGAAATTCAGTTTTGGTCTCACTGGATAGTAAGAAGTAAGGGGCGGGGGGGAGAGGGGTGCTGTCGAAGGATTTTGTTTGTGTCACTAATGATTCCCCCTTTATTAGACGTCAATTTTCTATAGTCCTTCCTTTAATCTCTGATGGAGACGACTGATCCTTCTCTCAGTTCCCCCTAAAAACCATACGATCCCCCCCTTCGAAAAAAAAACAAACAAACGGTCCTACAGGCGATAAATGAAGGTTTTTGTCCCTGATTATTCGATCCATAACTAAATCGATACATTTTCATACCAATTATTCTGATCTTGTTCGGAGGAAGTCTGCAGATCTCTAGGTCGAAGTTGTTCTTATCACCCTCTTTATTGTATAAGTAAAACGGTTAGTTCTTTGTTCAAAGCAAGGACGCGCTATAAACAGAGGTGTACCATTTATCATATCTATAACAGGAGAGATTTTCAAGCCACCCACTCCTGCCCCACCCATGAGTCCAATTCCGTCGCCTTCCTCCAGTCCGGTGATGACCGTATCACCTTCAAGTTCACAAGTTGTATCGTCGATGCCGGCCGTATCACCTTCAAGTTCACAAGTTGTATCTTCGATGCCGGCCGTATCACCTTCAAGTTCACAAGTTGTATCTTCGATGCCGGCCGTATCACCCACACCATCCTCCAGTAGTGTAATAGCTTCACAGTCTATTTGGACAATCAACATTTAGTCTCCGCAGCAGCCGCTCTACGGGATGCCACGTAACTCTACGGGTTGTCACGCAACGTCCTCCCTCAGCCCAGCAGGAGAGTTGCGTGACATCCTGAATCGAGTGTCTTCAGTTATTTTGCTTTTTTTGGAATTTCGCTAGTGGTCAGCTCAATTTTTATCAATCGAAAAAAAGATTGACTTACACATAGGAGACAGAACTTAAAATTAAACTTTGAACCTCATGAAAGTCGACTTTTTACTCTCATTTAAATGTGATGAATTCACTTTTAATTTAATGTGACTAGTTCGTTTGATGGTATGGGTGAGTTGATATATTGAACATTTAATAAATCAATTTTATCTACAAAGACCCTATCTCTACTGTCATGAACTATTGTCCCATTTTCGTCCCATTGCAGTCGTTCTTGTTCTTACTCATTACTAGGAGGTTCTCGCATTTACAAAGTTTGTCAAATGAGAGATGAAGAAAGTACAAATGACATAAGCGAGACATCTTCTCAGGGGCTTCTCGGACGCCGTCATTTAAATAATTTCCTAATGGCAAAAGGTAGCGAGGTCTCAAGCTGTATTATACTAAGGTAAAACCTGTTATATTCCAATTACTTTCAGCCAAATTTTTCTTTCCTTGTGGGCGTTATGGTTTTGTGATGACACAGTGCAATTAGCTACCAAAAAGAAACGATTTGTCTTTTCACGATACCTTAGACGGATATTTCCGGTATAACCCTCACCTTCGTGTGCTCAACCCAATCTCCCAGCTCACGAACAAATATTTCCAGCCGAAACCGAAGCTAATTTTGAGAAAACTTCGTGAGAGAACTTTTTGATCTGCTACTCTCGGAAGGTTATGGAATAATCGCAACGCATTTTAAGTTTGGACATTTATACATAGCTCCTCTCTTGAATTAATCTAAACTTACTGCGACCCAAAATTCGTAAAGCAGGAAAACCGAAGTCAAAACTCACTAGCGACTACCTATTTGAAAGAAAAATAATAATGAACAAAGATCACTGGCCTCTGAGAAAAACCCAGCGACATCAAACAGCGACGCATAACTCAACTCCATCGCCCAAAGCCAGCAATAAAGAGGTTTTTAGTTGACTGTCGAAAGTAAAACAGGAATGCTTTAGTTTTTCTTGACTTTGCTTTGAATTGGTCCAGAAAATTTGCGCTTCTTTCTCAACCAAATGGATTCAAAACCAAACGCTACGTGGACGCCCGCGTTTTCCCGCGCTTTATGCAGTTTCATTGTTTGTACTTTGAGTTTTAAATGGCTTCCTGTAATATTTTCCTTTGTTCTGATTGGTTGGTGTTATTACCATGGGTTTTTTTTTTTGCGTTTTTGTTTGCGACACTCAATCGACATCCTCGTGCTCTCCAAAAATGTTCGAAGCATAACTGATGGTGACATTTTAAATGATAGGGGAGTTAACTGTAGAGCTGTGTCGGTGAGGGGTATAACGAGATAATTTGGTTTTCATCGACTGAGTTGATAATGTAAATTGGCCACCGTAAAAACTTTCTAAAACTGACAATTCGAACGTCAGCTCTTCATCAGACCGAATGCTATCATTAGTGACTTTACATTTTCAGACAGACGATTCATTTATCTTTATGACCACGATAAAAAATAATCACGTTTGTAGCAAGTCTGCGTTGGTTTTACGTCACTTTGCTCCGTGATTGGTCCAGAAAACTCGAGTCATCCTCTCAACCAATAAGTTGTAAGATGTAGAGAAAAGCCAATCAGATGCAAAACTAAACCAGTCATGACTAATGAATAAAGGGGTAAGTTTCTAAAGAAACTGTGGTGCTGCGTCAGTGGGGGAGTAGAACAGGTAATTTAGTGTTAACAACTGAGTTGAAAACGTAAATTGGCCACCGTAAAGAATAAAAAGGCTAACGTTTCGAGCGTTAGCCCTTCGTCAACCGCTCTGACGAAGGGCTAACACTCGAAACGTCAGCTTTTTTACTCTTTACGGTGGCCAATTTACGTTTTCAACTCAGTTGTTGACACTAAATTACCAGTCATGAGTAGGTCGCCAGCGTTTTCCCGCGCTTCAAGCAGTTTGCTTGTTTTCAACGGAGTTCTCACTGCTAATGATAATGTGAACCTTAAGTTTTAGTCTGATTAGTCACTGTGATTACTTTGATTTAGGTTTTTCGACACTGAATTGAAAACCACTCTACAAATCAACACAACGCGAGACATGATAATATAACACGTTTCAACCGCTTTCGCTTTGATAGGAGGTACAAGGATTTTACTTCCACACTTTTGATTTTTTGTTTGCTATTTATCTACAAATCCACCAAAATACATCTTTTGACATATCAGCCTAAAAATGTGGATTGCTAGCAACCCTTTTTTGAAGCGAACATGGTTTTGACAATAATAAATCGCACTATTTTTATCAGCACCCCAACACAAGAACTGCGTAGCACATTTCCTTTTCTTCCTAAAAACTTATTTACAACTTCAATCAATGAATAAATAAATAAATAGATTACTTAAAATAAAAACCTCATTCCAAAAAATACCGCTTAAAATATTCCTTTTCTTGATATTCTCAAACCAATTCAGTTTTTTTTTTAATAATAAATTAATTCTTTCTTTGTGAACTTGAATCGGAACCAACCAGTCTTGTAAAGTTCAAATGCCCGGGGTGGTTGCCCGGGAGAGATATGAAAACATCGAATTGATCGACGCATCTATCTTGTCGTTGGTAACGATCCACAGTTACTGCATTTCTCCATTTCTTTCATTTTTGCCGCCAACATTTTTGTGGCAAGTCTTTGGTGCGCAAGCGCTTCACTGTTGTCATGGAGCTGTCAATCAAAACAAGAATGGAACACGGGTCCTGTTATTACGTAAACTCAACTGAATACCTTGCTTGTACTATACAGCAAAGAAGAATTATGCAATTTTACAATTTAACAGTGAGGCGTTATTTACAAGAACTTCACACTCGCACACAATTTTTTTGAAAGGTTAATTTACTTTCTGGAATCTCAAAATACGGTTTAAGTCATGATTTCACATCTACTTTTTATTTAAAAAATATAATTTCTGAAGCATACTTCAGCAAGTTAGCCTGCACTTTTGCAGAATTTTTTATCAAGTTTTATTTACTGGGAAAAAAACCAACAACTGTTCCCTGACAAAATGAACTCCCATCTGGCGTAAACAAGGTTTTCAACATACATACCATGCTCAAAAGCGTTTCTACAATTTCATCTTTGTACGTGTTGACCTGACAGATAATCTCCTCCTGGTCATATTTGACCCCTTCTTCCTGTTTCGTCAATGTCCTTGTTTTCCCGCCGAAGCCAGTCTTCTTTCTCCAACTAGATCTCTTCATTAATTCATAGATAAGTGAAGAATTCTTGGCAAGTTGTTGTTCAAATGCAACACGATACGCATCAGCAGCGAGAAGAGCTTCTTCCTCCCTTCGCTGCACAAGTTCAAGCTATGGAAGACAAAACAAAAAGAAAATTACCACCATTACAGTTCTGTTTTTTCAGTAATGTTACAACGTATTGAACTTTGACGGTAGAACAATTCAATCATGAGGCACCCGATTACACTTCTTTACATCTTCTCGTTTGATACTGATGTACCTCTAGCATGAAAAATACTCATCTCTTGAGAAGTGCATACTTAGTCACACCAGTAGAGGAAGTACAAATTACTCTGAACTTGATTACCTCATGTTTGAGTTTCGCTATGTCCCTTTTAGCGTCCACTGCAGCCCTGGCACATGCACACGGCTCTTGCTTTTTTCCTCTACACTGACATGCACCCAGAGTTGCAAGCTGAAAAGAAAACAAACAAAAAAAAGAAAATCTACACTTGGAAGAAGCTGTGTTACTAGCCCTCTTAGGTCACATGGCCTTTACTGGTAAAATCCATGAGAAAATATCTTCAAATTGAAGTGACATTGGTGTACTCTTGGATACACTGTGCAGAATATAATAACAATACACATTGACTGTACTAAAAACCAATGATTCTGTGTGTTACGATAACAGCACCAATCAATACACACAAAGAATTTCCTACTAACAAACCATTATCGTGCAATATGTTAAGGAGTCGTTAAGAATAATTATCGTGTGTGCACGCAAGGTAAGCGTTATCAATTCGCAGTTGAGTGTAACTGAGAGTAAGTTTTGTTTTGTTTCTTAAATAACGTTTGATCGTATAAATGAGCACCATGAGGAAACACTGTGATTCTAGGGTGGCCAGGTGTTAAAAAAAAGCGATTGGTTTGGAAATGATCCATTATTATCCTCAAAATCTGTCTTACAAAACATTACCTCAACAATCAGATCTCCAGTGGACAAGATTTCTTCTCTCTCGGGAGTACTCAAGTCATATTTGATCCTGTCTCTGACTTCCAAGGCCGCTGCTAGCTCATCACGATCCCGCATAAGTGCTGAGAAAAAAAAAAACATCTACTACAAACCAAAAACTAGACATAGAAGTTTTTCTTTTCACTCATCCCCTGGAAAAAATTTTCACATTCAAAATATTCCAGTCAGTCTATTCAACTTCCTGACATCAATCCCCATACCACATCCAATAAGAAAACTAAAGGCCAGTTCTAAATGCTACCGGCAACACTAGGATTTGGTGACCAACCAATAAAATACCCATTGTGCACAATGCTAGAACAAAAATTTTTTTTTCCATTCATAGAGGTTAACTCAAAGTGTAATCACTATGTTACAAGAAGTCATATTTTCTAATACCGTTGAAGTAGTCTAATGACAATTACTTAATAAAGAAATGCAATATTTTAACTTCCAGTTATTAACAGCAGCTCCACAGCTTAATTACATACTAGGTAGCCTGAAAACAGGCCCTCATAAATAATGCTGCAGGATGTGCATGTCTCCACCCACAGAAAGATTTCAGGCAAAGTTTGCCAGGGGTCTGTCGTAAATTGTTAGTGCAGACCTCTGGCCACCTCTCATTGTTCAAGGTCTGAGACTTTCCAGCAGGTCTAGATATGCTGGTTTGTGCCAAAATGTTAATAATGAGGGCAAATTGGCAGGCTACAACATAATGCTCTGGAGAAATTACTGTCAACCATAAAATTTAAATTCATTGCCTATTTCAAGGAACCTCATGGCCAGAAGAATTTGCCTTTAACATCAACACTCAAGGCACCATCATTGCAAATGACATTTTCCTCCACTTACTCATTTTCTCAATGGCAACCTTCCTCAATTCCTCTGACCTTGTCTGAAGGGCAACCATCAGAGCAGCATTTTCTGTAGCAACCCTATCAAACCTCTCAGCCCATGTTTGTTCATTATCAAGCAAGTAACTCTGTTTCAGCTCAAGCTCCCACTGAAGAAAATTCACCTCCTAGATCACATTTTCAAAAAATAAATATGTTGGAAAAAAATAGAGACTGAAATGATACACCAAGCAACCTTAAATGATTATGCCTTCTGTGAATTGACTTAGACACTGGTGAATAGTATGGACAAATGATTTCTGATAAACTGATGTATATGCATCAAATTATTCTGTTATTTCTTCTGAAAGTTGGAAAGAATATGACCTGTGCCTTAGAATAAAAGACCTGGAATAAAACCTTCATATTTTTTCCATTACTAGTCAGAGTATCCTTTTATCAATTATTTGTCAAACTCAGATGATAGTAATACACAATTTTGATCATGAAATTCTCTCCCCCTTGAAAAATTCTCTTGAAGTTGGAAAAATAGTCTTTCAGAGCTTTCATTGCCATACCAAGTCTCAATAATTCATAACTTAACACTAATTTCTTTCTGGCTGCAGGATGCACATAATGTTACATATTAAATAGCTTCAAATTTCTGGCCCCCATAACATAGTGCCACCAGTAAAAGCAATATAAAATTTTCTGTTCCCTTAATCTTTTAACTCTCAGATGTGATTAACATGTAACTTCTCCCTGTCTATAATATCCATACATTACCCAGCAAACAGGTAATGAGAAATTGTCACCTTGATCTTACACCAAATTTTTGGAACTATTTTACAAGGAAATGTATAGCAGCTGGAGTGTAGAATTAACAATTAGATTTTGGAAGTTGAGTGTTAACAGATTTCCTTAAGCCTCTAAATCTTCAGTCAAATACTCAAATCCAGTTGACTTACAAGAAAGTTACACACTGAAGAACCACCAATTCTAATCAAGACATGTAATTAACATTATGCAGTGGTTGACAAAGTTACACAAGATTACTATTGAAATCGCACCCAAAAATTTAATTAATCACCCTATTTCTGCAAATTTACCTGCTCAAGTTTCTTGCTTGCTTCCAATGCCTTCCTTGAACATTGTTTTTGATGTGCTTGTTCCAGACGTGACAGATTTTGGATAATTTTAACAGCCCCATATTTGCTTTGTAGCTGTTGCTGACATACTTCTAAATCCAAAGTCAAATTTTCAATTTCCTGGAAATTCAAAGCAACAAGTTTTTTCACTACAATTGAAGTAAGGTAAGCTGAAGGCTTGAGACTCCAACAAATTCCTCACCTACCATGGATGAAGATATGTTGGATGTGGGCACTGTAGGCAATGCCATATGTTTGATCCCTAAAATATTTGGTCAGCCCTTCAATCCCCTGAAGTGACTAGCATCTAATTTCTCCTCACAATATCATCCCTGAATCAAGTATCAAGGTCACAAGAATAGAAGGAAATCATCACCAACTAAAGCAGGTCCTGATTGTTTAACAAATTCTCCTTGTCAGTACCTTAAAAATGTATGGGGAACAGTATGGAGAATATGCTTATTGATTTTAGGATGGCGGTGGCGGAATATGTCCCAGCTAACTGAGGTATAACTGCTGATATTATATATGTCCCAGCTAACTGAAGTATAACTGCTGATATTATCTAATTCCCAAACCTTTTGTTTGAGATGATGAAAGGGTCCATTTAAAATTATCTTAATTAAAGATGGATTTAGCAGTGCAATTAGTTATTGTTACAAAAGAAAAGTCAAACCCAATTGTTTATAAAAGTTTGACAGGGCACTGAAAAGTCAAACTCCCACAAACTGAAAGTTTCTGATGGTACGCTGTTTGCAAACTCTTCTTCCCTTATTGTATTTGATGGATAATAAACATAATAGTCACCATTCGGCTAAAAACATTTGCCAGCATACATGTATATGTCCTTAGACATTATGTCTTCCTTGAAGCCCAGAGATTTTGCTGCATAAGATTTGCTCATACACAAAACTGTTCACTTCACAGGACAGATCGTACCCAAGGACAGATATCTGAGCATATTTTTGCCCCAAATTGAGGCTACTGTTTATCTTATATTATCCAATACCCACTCACTTGTTTGGCTTTCAAAAGTTTGCACTGAAGGGCACGATACTCATCATCTTCAACTACTGATCTCCTTTCTGTTTCAAACCATACAAAAAAATTATGTCAGAAATCAAATTAATAGTAGAAATAGATGTACATCTACTGGGTAGTTAATAATGAAAGAAGTATATTGAAGAAATGTAAAATAGTTTCCATGTTTACATAGCCTGATGTAAACACGTGGGAGGTTGGGAGAACACTCGATAAGCTGGAAACCACGACACGAAGCAGAGTGGTTTCCAGCTTATCAAGTGTTCTCCCAACCTCCCAAGTGTTTACATCAGGCTATGTAAACACGGAAACCATTTTACATTTCTCTTATAAAATAACTAATGAAAGAGGAACGAAAACCATGTTTACATACACTCATGTAAAATGGTTTTATGGCCAATCAGAGCGCGCGTACTATTTGAATTATTTTATAAGTTGTGGTTCAACTTTATCCTAGGTTCAAATTTTATTTTCTTTTGCTTTTGGGTATTGTAATGTATAATAATGAGTTTGAAACAAAGGAAAATAAAATTTGAACCAAGGATAAAATTGAACCACAACATATACATCTTGTAGTATGTTTCCTAACTAAACAGGTGGCTGCAGACCTAAAGGCATTTTTGAATCAGCTGCAGACATGTCATTCACCTTTCGCACCAGTAAATCATTAACAAGTAGCCACATGATTTCTTGTGTAATTTAGTGTAGATTAGCACTTGTAAATTTTTCAAAGACTACAAATTCCACTCACCCAACAGGCTTGTGCAATTCTGCTGTCTTTATAAAATTTACTCATGTTTATTAACACCAAATTGCACCTGAATTCAAGTTGTTACCTATACAAAAACCCAGGATACTACAGATGAGAGCTGTCTGGATGACTCTTTAAGATATTAATTTAAGACTGCAGTGACCCTGACCAGCAAACTGTCCCTTGACCCTTTCATTCCCAAGATCTCATTAGTAAATTTCTCCCTACTGTCTGTTGCACAATTCATATAATTTCACAAGAGGGGTTGGAGAATTTTGATATTGGGTCACTAATTTTTTACAATCCCCAGACATTCCAACCCCTTTTGAGGGAAAATAGGGAGTATATTTTAGCACCAAAGGTGTGAGCCTCTAGAGGGGTCTGGGGGCAATTACCTCCCCAGGAACTCTTTCAAATTTAGTTTCTCTCCAGTGGCATTTCCTGCATTTTGACATCATTTTTGTGGTATTCTATATGGTCTTTATTCTTATCACAGATATCTTTGAACTTTTCTTTGCTCTTGTTAATCCATCTTTTCAGAATCAAAAAGGGAAATTTTTTTTACAATGGCCTCTGTGAAAGATCATGAATAATTGTAAACTTACTTTCCACAAGGCATAAACGCATTCGGTGGGAAGCCACAAAAAGATCCCAAAAAATACATATAATATGAGCAATTTTTTCTTTGTCGTCAGGATTTTATGATAAATCGGGGAAACCTGATAAAAATAAGGAGAGCGGGAGGCAACGCATCAAATTGGGAGGGTTGGAATGTCTGAATCCCCTAATTAACATTTTTCTTATTCTCGTCACTTTTGTGATTGATATTGTATTGACAATTGCGAGGAGAAATTCTGTCTTGGTCGCTCTTGAGAGTTAAAGAGTTAAAACGGAATCTGTTACCCTCAACTAACCAGCCGGAACATTTACCTGTTACAAATACAATTACGCACTGATTCATTTTTAGAAAGTTTTTGCTCTGAAGATTTTACCATTTGAATGGTATCATACACACGTAAGATTGATCGACCACATCGATTACCTTCCACAATTGCTCACTCTTTGAAACACCAACAGAAACAATCACACACCCAAAACAAAATGTACTGTAAACAATGACCGGTACACGTGTGAAAAAAACATTCTTTCAAAGTGAACCCTACATTTTGAAACTGACAATATTCTGAAATCCAGGTTAATAAAAATTTTAATTTCAGAGGGCGATTTAACTTTACAGGACAACGTTCTATACGCAAAAGAGCGCCAATGTAATTATAGATTTCTCTTCAACAAAAATATCAATTTAAGAGTACGTATTATTGTAAACATAATTCAAAACAACAAACCTCTTGCCGAATTTATCCGCCTTAGTCCACAAGCCTTTACTTTACAACCTTTATCAACGTCATTAGGTGCACTTTCGCTGTTTGTTCTGTTCCTTAGCTTGAGAGAAAAACTTCTCTTCGGCAAGTTTTTCAAACTCCATTTAGAGATCCGGCTTAACCCACCCTTAATTTCTTTTAACTGCTCTACACTCTCCTGTAAACTGGTTCTCCATGTAAACGGCTTGGATCGGTGCTGGTATTTTTCTAGAGTTTCTTCGGACTGTGTCGTATCTTCTGTATCAGCCTGAAACAAGTCAAGTACCTCTAATTCGCTGCTAACTGAATCGTTCTCGCATCGTGGCAACCCGCCCGGTTTCAAGCCGAATCCAAGACCCAAATCAACGGAGCAAAGAGAGGAAGAATCATCAGATGAGAATGATCTCCGGCCTCCATTAAGCTCACTTTCATGATTTAGTATCGAGGACATGAAGACGACGATGAAATGGATAATTCCTACCCCGAATGAACGGGAATGAAATACCTACTGACTTGTCATAAAGTTTACTATTTTTTTTGCTCTAGTGTTTTCATGTGCTTTGAAACCACGCCGTTCTACTTAGCAGCCACGCCTGACCACGCCAGCTAAGATAATTTTATGATGGAATGGACTACCGGCACTATGGAGGAACTGTGGGTTGTGTGTGGGTTTATATGCAGTAAAAGGAGCTACGCTATTGGCGGGAATATGGTGACGAGAAAACAAGAATAAATTAGTTGAATGAAAAGCCCTCGTTGATACCGTCGGGATTAAGAGTGCCGATTTGAAAGATAAATTTTTGTTCAAGTGATTTGCGGCTTTCCGAACTGCCTAGATGTAGGGAAAGGCCGCAAACTGCCAAATGCTGTTTAGAATGATTAGGGACTTTGATCTCCCAACTAGTTTATTCTTGTTTTCTCGTCACCATATTCCCACCAATAGCGAAGCTCCACTTTCTGCATATATAGACCCACACACAACCCACAATTCCTCCAATCACTCTGACGAAGGGCTAACACTCGAAACGTCAGCCTTTAAACTCTTTACGGTGGCTAATTTGCGTTTTCAATTCACTTGTTAACACTAAAGTGATACTCTCCCACCGACGTAGCACCACAGTTTCTTCAGAAACTCTCCCACTTTACGAGGGGGCATTGGGGCCTATTAGAAACCGCAAAACCGTAGAAAAAGATAATCCAAAACCGAAAAAAAATTCGATCAAAACCGAAAATCGCATGCAAAACTGTCTAAACCGATACATTTCATATCCCATCGATCCGATACAGTGGTGACAAGTGGAACATACAGAGTAAACTACACTAATTTCATTACAGGATTAATGGATGCCATGGACTTGGCATTGGTATCTTCTAGTATCTGCTTAAATTAACAGCTGCTCTCTCTAGGACCTCGAGCGTGGTCTCTGCGGACTCAGCAGCTGGTAATGGAGCCTAGTTAACTTAAGGGAATTCGCACAAAAGTCCTCTATAGGATTGCAATTTTGCAGTCGCAAAAAGCTGTAGCTCTGGAAAGTTTCATCGAAAATCCCAAATCTAACATTTCCATTTGCGAACTAATACCCCATTCACACCAGCAAAACATGTTTTGTTAAACTGGTTTTCATTGAATGAAAATTATAAACAGAGAACTGAAAAACTTGATTTTCCATAGGATTCAAGTACTTGCTAACTTGCATTTCCGATGTGCTACATTCAAGTCAAAAATATTCGGTTAAATAGTTTCTATGAAGAAAAAAAATTAAACTGTGTTTAACAAAACAACTTTTAAACATGTTTAAGCTTTGGTGTGAATGGGGCATAAGACCCGAAAGTTTGGAGATTCTATTGGAATGTTGAATCAATCAGTCATATGTGGCCTGTAACTTGGTCATCAACTTCGAGGTGGCGTTGATAAAGAAACTCTGGCAATTTTCCGTGCTCAGCCGTACCCTCCCCCCCACCATGGGGGAGGAGGTGGGTAAGGCTTTCACCTAGGGATCTCTGCGATATTTTAATCCGTTTGTCACACATTCCTCACGATAACATTTGCGTTTAGCGGCTATTCCAGATCTGTGGAGGCGCGTAATTGCCGCTCAGATCGAAGAGAAACCGGAACTCAAATAGGTCAAATAGGAAAAACCGAAAACCCGTTAGTATTTTTCGCGAAAACCGAAAACCGAAAACCAAATGCTATAAGAAACGGAAAATCCGCAAACCGTAATGAACTCCAAAACCGAAAAACCGGAGTTTTTTTGGCACAAAAACCGAAAAACCGATCTAAAACATGGCCAAAACCGCAAAATCGAAAATCCCAATGCCCCCCCTCCTTTACCGGCTCTATGGTTTCCGAATTTTCTTTGATCGGTGACGTAACTCCCAGCGACGGAAGTTCCAATTTTTTTCTGATATCACAAACAATTCGCTTATTTTTAGGCGTACGTACGCGTGATGATTTTATAATATAATTAAAACTGCAGTATGTGTTTCTTCTATCTATATTTAAATGACACAATTTGCATATGGATGAAGATCACATTTATAACCTAGAGATGAATTTTGTGAGCTATGATTCAATTGAAGGGGGTTGTCATGCGACTTTATTCCCGAGCCTCGAGTAGAAAAGTTATTCGGGGATGAATTTTCTGAGAAACGATCACAGACATTGCATTGTTCCTATCATATCTGTCACGTCTGATGAAAATTATGCTGACTCTGTCAAAAAGTAAGCAACGTCATTCAAGCTTAAATTTTCTTCGTTTCCGTTCAGTATTCTAGTGACCAATCATGGGTCATCCTGTATGACAGTTCCACGTGACTATTCACTCTTAGGATATTTAAACCGGATAGCTTTTCACCAAACGATTCAGTCAACTGATAGAAACAGCATATGCGGTGTATATACCGGCCGCTAAAACAAATCGATCTGAGGGTCAACGGACAGTAAAGCTGGCAAATACTGCAACAAAAGTCCTGATGGATTCCTTGAACTCTATAAAACAGTATTACAGACGTGTACGAGGAACGACGATCTTGTTCTACTCTTTTCTCGTCTTAGCAGGTTGGTATAATTTCCGTTTAAACAAATAAAATGGCAATGGACTATCTTCATCGTCTCCCCGAGGGATTTATTGACTCTCAACTCCTTTACGGCTCGGTCATTTTGATATATCTCCCAATTTACAATTTTAGACCAGCAGGCGGGCATATACGCGCAATGAGCCTCCGAAAAATTTGTATTGTATGTATACAGTGCATAATATAGGTGAAATATAAGGATATTTATGGAAATAACTTAAAAGCTGAGCTAGGTTTTAATGAAAACTAAGTTACCTCGCTAATATGTTTGTCTCTTTGAATCCTGTGAATTTTGGGTTAGGCTGATTAGCGGCCATCTGAACTTCTGAATGAAACCCCAAACGGTCACGTGCATGTTCGTTATGTCATCTATAGTTTAGTTTCAGTTTCAAGTATTTCTGATTATATCCCGCTCTGTTATATATAACACACTTTTGATTTTGATAATGGACTTGTAAAGTTTTTTTGCGCTGAATAGTTAATTTAGTTTCCGATAGCGTATCAGCTTAGATAATATCCTATAATATCTTGTCTAATTCTTCACAATGATATTCAATTGACACTGACATTAAGCCGTTTTTCTTTACTTCATTCATTCAATCATTGTCCATGTTCTTTCATTATAATACAGTTAATTTTTTCCTGTTGAAGAGCGCACGGCCCGAAAAAGTAAACTCTATCAAGGCAATGATCAGATTTCCCTGAGAAATGAGATAAACACGACGTGATGATTTAAAATGCAAATCTACTAAGCAATCAGCCCACTTAACCGAGTCAGGAACGACACATCGTACTGCAACAGCACATTTTTTGAGGAAGAAATAATCAACTGAACCCGAGCTAAAAATTGCCTCATACTAAGCAAAATAATACTTCATAGTGATGTATTAAATACTCTAACTCTTAAGGCAGCTGTAGAAAGGCAGAGTCTATTTATTTGCAGCGCAAACATGATAATTGGATCTTTGATTTGACAATTGTCTTAAGCACTTTTATTGTTATTCTTTCACCTGTGAGACATTAATTACATTGTAGTTCATAAATGAATGTAATTTTCTGGAGCATAAGGAGAATTAGAGGGAGCGTGCAAAGAAATAATTTCGAGATATCAGGTAGTGAAATTTGATAGAAAAAGCATTGATATCTCTGTTATTCGATAAGCAATAATTGTTAAGAACAAACACGGAGTGCATCGATTCACATTACAGCTGTCTTCCGATAAATGTATGCAAAGCACTTTCTAGACCAAACAAAAGATATTGTCAAAAATGAACAACGGATGACATCGGTATTGATGACACAACACCTCTACATAGCATCAGAAATACGCAATTTTGCGTACTTTCTCCGACAGCAAAATCAAATTATGAGTGTAGCAAACAGACCATGGATAAAACCACGCATGTTACAATTATAAGTTAGAGCACGTATTGATCAATGACAGATATGGCGAATATAATTTGAAGAGCATGTCAGAGTTTATTCCTTCTTGGCGCACTGCTGAGCGTTTTCATTGGTATTTGTTTTGATGCGCTTGTGTTAGAGTGTGACCGTCCTTTTTATTGTTAAGTCATTGTGACGGAGTAATTTGTGGTTACACCTTGCTGAAACGGCTGTTGACAGGGTTACCTTGCTTAATTTTGAAAATATTCGAGGTTTGCTTCTATTCGACTGTTGCAGAAAAACTTGTTATTCGTTATCCGTGAATTTCTGAACCCCGCGATCAGTGAAGATCTCAGATCTTCACTGATTTCACTGAAAAATTTTTACAGTCATCAAAGCTTTCAAAGACTTGTTTGTTTATATGGATGCATATCTTAAATTAAGAGTTTAACCTATAAGTTGGCAATGACAAAGAGGTCATGTTTATCTGTCGCTTAACCGTATGGCGTCTGTTGTGTATAATTGGCCTCAGTGCCGTTAACTAATTTTTCGCAGTGTTTGGATATCTATTTCTAGCGTTACTTAAATCAAGAAGAAATTTCATTAGACGATGAGAGCGCTTCCACTAGCGTTATACACCAAAGGATATAAACTCCCTGGAGATGAGAATGCTGAAACCGAAAAAGGACGTAAATTGTTGAAGGAAGAATATTATTACACGAGCTGGAAATAAAATTTAAAAAAGGAAAATTTCTCAAGATATGCGAATTGCGTGACGAAGAATCCATTCAAACGTTGGGTCTATTTATTCTCAACAACTGTCTTCTTGATATTGTAAGATGTAATTCTAGTTGTCTTGGTCACTCATGGGAGTTAAAAGGGTTGATTCCACTCTCATTGGCCATGGTGCTTCGGCAAATCACAATTTCTCATCTCGATTGTCGATGTGTTTATCTTAGCAGGCAGCACTACTCTGGAGGGAAAGAAATTTACCTGTCCCAAAAAAACCGAAACATTTGAGTGTGACGCTGCAAAAAGGGTTCCAGTAGAATTTAACAGAGGAACATCATACAAGATAAACGACCTGAAGAGTCCAAGCCATGAAAAAGAATCAGAAATTTATTGCAGAAAAAATATATGTTCTGTGAAGAAAAATAAACTTTATGGAAGAGTTCAAATTTTGGAGAAAAACGCCACGAGAATGACCTTTCAGATGATGAACTTGAATGATTCTTTGCGTTTTTCATGCGATGTACACACCGCACCTGAATATCAGGTCACTGAGTTTCATACCAAGGACTTCACAACTGTCGAATGTAAGTTGAATGATCAAACGATGATCTAATCTAGAAGCAAAGAATTTGAAGAGGCCGCCAAACCTTTTTTTTTTACTTTCTGCCCTCCCCTCCCTTAAGACTTCCCCTATTTTTTCAAAACTATATCTTCCATTGCTGACGTCGATCCTTTCTTCTACGAGTGTGCGTTGTGTGAATGTGTGGAGAGAAGGGGGAGATGGGGGGGGGAGGGGGGGAGTTGCACAAAGAATCTCTTTATCGGTTCTTTGAGGTGCCAACGGATAAACTGCGAGAATAGGAAGAAATGTAACACCAAGAAGATATTTGCTATTTCGGGAAGTTTATAATATCCTTAAAATAAGAGACTTAACTACAATATAACCTTATTCAGTTTACACGTTAATTAATAACTGACGTCATCTGCATCATTTTACTAAATATTTATGTATTTTTATTGATGTTCAGGCGTTCGCAGTTGCATTGGCCATAGAGTTGACTTATCTTGTTCGAGCTTTCAACAATTTCTACAAACTCCACGTGGCTTGGGAGCGTTCTTAAAAAAAGCTGATGGATCTGAAGATATCACTTTCTGCAATGAAAAAGGGAACTGCACCTGTATGGACGGGTGTAGAGAGTACAAGGGCAGATTGGAACCGGGATATAAATCAGTAAACATGCGAACCGTCAAGATGGAAGACGCTGAGCTAGATTTTATGTTCTATTTTGAACGCGACGATCCACGAAAACAAAAGCTCAGAGAATGTATTTTCAAAATCGATCCTGTGGTTTGTCCAGGTAAGACAGCTTCTTGATTTCGTTCATTGTGATAATGTTGACTTGTCACGACTCTGCAAAAAAGTTCTATAACATAGGTTGTAATTTCTTGTAAAAAAATCCAACTGCAAGGGCTTGATTTTAATTTTCGTGTCTTTCCTTTATTTCGCTATAGATATTTATACTCCAGTATTAAACTTGATAGGAAATGCGTTCTGTTGCTCGTAATTAAACGCTGTAATGATAAAGGCTGGGCGATATTGAGGTAGTTCCGTTTTTCCACACTTCGCGACGGATATTACCCCTGTGACGTGATATGAAATGTGATGTGTTGTTTGGTTGTGCTGTGATGATGAAACTGAGCGATGATTGAATACTTTCCTCAATTCCAATAAATGTTAAACACTGAAATATCGAAAAATAGCAAATATGCTGCAAATGAGAAGATTGATTTTGTTATTGAAACATTTTTCTGTCACAGGTAAACCAACCAGAACCCTAGAAGTAATCACAGGAAGGCCTTTACAAGAAAACGCAAGCAACAGGACAAAGCACCCGTCTACCATCTCGCATAATGTCTCGCCAGGAACGTTAGAAGTGAAAAGAGGGCTTTTATTTCTGTGCTTGATATTGGCAATTTTTACTTTTCCTAGATAGTAGGTTAGGAGAATGAATGAACCAGATTGATTTCGACTCAGTCTACCGTTGTATATATCCTATCTAAGGTTCCATTGAACTGAGACACAGGATGTGGTTAACGAATACTCAAAGGGTCCACGAAGGAGCCCCTACGTCATTAGGACAATGGGGTTCTTGTGTTGACCAAGATGCTCTAATAAGATGGAACTACTGTCCTAATGAGTATTTCATATTGTTTCGTGTCATTATCTTGTGCAGTTTCTTCGCTCTTGAACCATTACTGACTTGTAGCAAGCCAACTTGGGAATATATATAACGGCGGCGTAATTTCTTCCAGTCGGTATATTATATACAGTAAGATTTTACGCCAGTAACTAACGGCGTAATTTCTTCCAGTCGGTAAATTATATACTGTAAGATTTTACGCCGTTAGTAAACTGCTTAAAATCTTACATATATATACACCGACGCACATAGTGGCGTAAAATCTTACAGTCTATAGACTGTGTTAGTCACATATTACGCCGTTATTTAACTACCGAAGCCAAGTTACCGGTAAATTTTGTGTATTTTGTTATTTTCTGTTCAAAGCATGAGCTTCCCTGTATAGATTTTAGTATAGTATATTTAGCAGTAAACTGTTCTTGTCTACCACTAATCAATTGTTGTGATATTTTTCTTTACTTTAAGCGATCAACATCAAAGTCAACGTAATGTAATAGCATATCCTTGCCAGCACCATATTATAGCAGCTTTGGGACATTCAAGCTTAAGTAAGACACATTCATTTATGCGGAGAAGCCCCGTGAACTGTTTGCGACTTAATTAGGTTCCGTCGGCTACATGTACCAGTAACCGTTTGCGTGGCCGTTACAACTTTAAATGCGTTCAACTGAGATCAGTTTTTAAAAAAATCTAGCACAATTTGTTGGATGGTTGAGTTATCTAAGACGCACTAGCAAAACCAGTTCTGCGTTTGCACGGCTAATATATCCTTTTTAATTTTGTCCAGATATACGTGACATTTTGCGGCTACTGCGGAAGGGCCCTTTAGCACTGTGTGCATAATTACGCGTCCCCCATACGGCGGAAAGCCAACAAAGTGTTCAGACATTACTTCAGAAAACTCCGCCTCTGTCTGAATTTTTGGTAGCCTATTGACCAATTCCCAATCGAGACTTAAACTCTGACGTCAAGCGTAATTTTGCTCACGGTGGTAAGTAGCCTACTTACCGAAGCCAGATTGTATGAATTTTCCAGACATCTTGAGCACTATCCGTGATACATGCTTGCTAATTCCCCTATCAGCTTTTGGAATCGACCAAACCCTACCTTTACCATGGCCGGACATTTCTTTTGGCACCCTACATCTGCTATTGGAACTACGATTCCACCCAACGCCGAGATTTGATCTGTGAGTGGGGCAATTTGTAAAATCATCGATATCTTTTGGCGTCTCGAAGATGCCGGCACGCGACAAAACAAGATCAACTTCATTTTCTGGATCTGAAAACTTGCAACTCCACAAGTGACATGAAATGTCTTTTTAACAATCACGCAAGGGAACGACTTGGTCTTCTCGATAACTAAACCCACAAGTTCCACCAGCGAACGATATAACTAAATAGCAAATCTCCTTGTTAGCATGTAACATGAGACGCTTATAAAACAGATCAGTTAGCTAAATCAGTATGTAGCTTGTCAATCAAATTGACCACTGTAACCATACTTTGACTTCAGCCGGCAAAGGAATCATTGATGGATCTGGACATTTTAGTTTTCTGAATGCAGTAATTCCTGAAATGTTTTTCTAGATGTCATGCAAAGAGGAAAAAAACCCATCTTGGTATTTCGGAGGTTGATTTATCTTTGAATTTCTGTGTCACGCTTGTCACGCAACTGATATAATAAGTCAGAGAAGATATATAAACTGGAACTCTAATCTGGCTAGAATGTGGTAGAGCATAATTAACGTGATCATCGAAACAGCTAATAAAATCATAAATAAACAAGATAAGAGTGTTTTGTTAGATTTTTGAACAAGTTGTAGTGATTTATGCCAGTTAACGGTGGCGACAAGTAGGCGCATCATGTACATTTCATAGTCGCTATCAAGTAAAACTTTGAATTCGTCTCAAAATAGAACAACGCAAATACACAAGGAAATTTTTACAGTAACTTTATAACCATCCTTTGGTCTTTTAGAAGCTTGAAGCTCAGTAGATTGTGTCGTATCGGTCATTGTTAAAACTGTCTTTGTTTTGATGCTACTTTTCGACATAGGAAAAGTATGTCAGACAAAAATATTCACCAAAAAATAAATATTTCCTTGGCAGCTTCAATAACGATAGGGGATTAAGTTTAGATGATAAAACAAAGGATCATGTTCACAGAAATACCGTAGGTCTAGTACATTCGATACATTAAGTCACACAACTCGGGTAATATTCACGGTGAAAATTTGCATATTGGAACGGTCGATCGAAAAAAATTATTTCTTGAAAACTAAAATATATTTTACAAAAAAACTACAGCACAGTTATTAGAACATATTGGGCTACAAAATATAAAAGTAGGAGGGAAAACAAATTTGGGTGACTTGCCGCTGTTTGTTTGATGCATGCTGACATTAGCTCTTAAGATATTCCTTGTTCAGATTTGAATGCTCAGGCACGTTATTTAAGGCATGGTTACAACGTGAAAACGAGGCAAAAAAATTATTTTTATTGCAGGTCGTTGTAGAAGATCAAATTTAACAAATTTCGGCGAGGTTATTACTATGGAAATTATCTATCATTCCATGCAATACCATTGCCATAGCAAACATAATTAAATTATAGTCACCCTTGACGACGCCCAAATTAATTACCTTACTTTAAATTGAAATAGGGCAAACCAAATCTTCAAGACTTGAATCAAGTTCGCCCGAACCGTATTGAGGAATAGTTAATTCATAAGAGTTAGTCCTGCAAAGGCGTCGGCATCAGCCATATGTCCGTGGATGAATAGGTAAAAGTGTAATTGTTGTCGAGTTAAGTATTATTTCTGTTACGTATTAGTCTTTGTTTTTGTATTAGTGACGCTTCGATATCATATGTCAGACCTCGTGCGTTGTCGTTTGCGGTAGTTTAGACAAGAGAGCTTATTGCGAGTGTTTCTGCGTTCATTGCGACTCATTCAGGCGTTACAGAGAGGACAATCGGTAAGCGACCGTATTATTGTATTGATTTCCTTGTTTTCTTTTCCTGTTACCGAATGTTGCATTGTTAGCTGTGTTTGCGCTCGTGTAATTGATATGTATTCGTGTCATAAAATAGTTATTTTAGTTTCAGTCCTTTAGTATCGCTTAGACTAGGTTTTTAATTGTATTTTAGTTTGAAGGTTTTGGACATCAAGTCACAAATAGTACGAATAAACTACGTTTGGAATTATAGTTGGTCTTTGGTGTCTCGAATCAGTATTTCGCTCGATGTCCTCGCATTAAATCCTGTGTATCTTTGGGACATTCCGACGTTGTTTCGACGCCTGGAGCAATAAAAATTCAGGAAATCGTCACGGCAGCAGTTTGGAGGGTCTTTACGTTAAATTCTTAATGGTTACGAGCTTTAGGGTCAACATTGCAAGGCTAAAAAAAGAAGAAGAAGTTCAGCAGAACTAACGTATGTTAAAATTTTTCACACTTGAATCGATTTTCTTTCCCCCATGGCGCAAAATAGGTCGTCACTCGACAATGTTCCGATTCGGACGCCATTTTGTTTCACGGCCGTTGGGAGACTGAAACAGAAACTTCGAATCCCTCTCCCCTGGGGAAGAATTTAATTGTATTTATGCCCTTTTTCTGGGGGATATGGTGAAATGAACTATGGACTAAAAAGCAGACTTCAAGATGGCGGTCGAAGGAGAGGATTCTTCGAGCTCTCGAATTAAGATTAAATCGGGTCGTTTTTAACTTTAGGGTGCCTAACAGCCATTTACAGTGTTCTTCTAGGCTACAAAATACATTTCAAGGTAGTGTTTTCTTAATATTTCCGTAATTCTTTAATAAAAAAATCGATGAAGAATGGCAATGGTCCATTCAAACCTTCGTAGACTTTATATTAGTTCATGAATGAATAAAGTGGTCCGCAAACGCGGCTCGTATTACATGTTACATGAGCTCCTTAGTTTTTGGCGCGCAATTTGTCTTAAATTTCGAGCAGTTAGCTTGTTCAAGTAGCAGCGTGGAGAGTTCCAACTTGTGTTTAATTAGAACACAATATCAAATCCCATATCCTCTGCCATGACCGTGCCACCGCCTTTTCGACCATCGTTTCGATCGCATCGAGCAGTTTTGTATCCAGTAATGGCGATTTCGTCGTCAGTAATATCCTTACCTAGATGGGATTCAGTTATGGCTAAAATGAGAAAAAAAGATGTCTTTAAAGATTAAAGATTTAAAGATTTAAAGATTGACTGTGCTTGGGCAAGAGTGTTTCTTAGAGAAACTAAAAGTTTAAGCAAAACTGAAAGGATTCCCGGTGAAGGAAATGCAAAGTTTGCTGCTAGATTGCTGCAAGATAGATTTAAAATCTTCAATGAACATTTTCAAGAATACCCTGAGCTACACATAAAACGGGAAGACTTCATGCGGCATTACAGAACCATTGATGAAAAATTTCACAACTGGAGAAGTAAAACCGAAAAAGAAGCATACCTAACAGCATTTTCCTCAATGAACTGGAATGAGGGCAAAGTAATTAGTAAAGAAGGGAAAGAAGATCACTCTGACGAAGGGCTAACGCTCGAAACGTCAGCTTTTTTACCCTTTACGGTGGCTAATTTACGTTTTCAACCCAGTTTGTCAAAAGAAGGAAACGAAGATCAACGAAGGGCTAACGCTCGAAAAGCTTTAAAGATTAAAGATTTTTTTTTACCTAAAAGTTTAAGCAAAACTGAAAGGATTTTACGGTGGCTAATTTACGTTTTCAACCCAGTTGTTAACACTAAATTACCTTGAATAAAAGACAGGCCTGGCAGCTGGTCAACGAGTGATCTTCTTTCCCTTCTTTACTAATTACTTTCGTCAGAGCGATCAATCGCTCTGACGAAGGGCTAACGCTCGAAACGTCAGCTTTTTTACCCTTTACGGTGGCTGATTTACGTTTTCAACCCAGTTGTTAACACTAAATTACCTGCTATACTCTCCCACCGACGCAGCACCACAGTTTCTTTAGAAACTTACCCCTTTATTCATTTGTCTTTTATTCAACTCTTAATTACAATCTACCTTCCCTATAAGCAAGTTTTGCAGAGGGGCTAGGAAAGGACCTCTGACTGAACTTAACACAAATGTCAAGAGACAATGTCAGAGAGAACCTAAGGTCACAAAAAGGAAATTAAAAAGCATTGGGGAAGCAATCTATGCCACTTACAATGAAAAATGCCAGGAAAACTTTCAAAAATCACTTAGTGACATTCTAGTGCTTGTCCCTGAAGCTGGTCTTCAAAAAAAGCCTTCACCTGCTGAAAAGAAAAAAATGAAGAGGAATGAGCAAAGGCAAACAAAAAAAGAACTAGAGACCAAAATGACAGTGCTGTTCACCTTAGCCTTCATCAGTATTACAGTTCAAGACAAGTCCAAAGAATGGCCCTGTCCTTTGAAACCTTTGAAGAGGCCAAGGAGAGAGCAAAAACGACCCCACCAAAGATCAGGGAACGATCCCACACAGCTTCACCTGCTAACATAGAAGGAACATTTGGACCAGCTACTAGCAGATGTAAAGTCATAGCCTGATGGTCCTCCAAACTGGTCAGAAAAAGCCAGAATGTACAACGTCAAAACCAAGAGAAGTGATTCGACACCTGGCAATGGAGGGCAATTAGTCAAAGCCTTTTTAAAGTCAAAAAAAGTAGACATTGCCCGATTTAAGCCCCCATCAGAAGTGCATCTCAATTCAGAGGATGGCCTTACAGGTAAAAAAGTGGTAAATTTGTAACTAAGCCGACAGTGGAGAGTTACATCTCTGCAATATCATTTATAAGTGAAAGAAATTGTGTATTAGGATTAAACAAAATTTGATTTATTAATTAAAGAACAGTGAGATTTAAGAGTTAAAATTTAGAATTTAGAAGTACTAGCAATACTGCTAATTATCATTTTCATCAGTTTAATTAGACTACAAATTAGAAAAACATTAGAAGAAGTTGGCCTGTAGTAATAAGAATGCATACAACAGTCTAAGTCAAGTTAATGATGAATATGTGACCCTATAATACTTTCATGGGTTTTTATCATTTCTCTAGCCTCATGTAACAAAAGGTTTGATTAATTTTCCAGGATTCAGGGTACGCAGAGCTATGAGGGAGCAAAAGAGAGGAGAAATTTCCATGCCTGTGATGCAATCAAATAAACAACTAAAGCAAAGCATCCATGAGGGAATAGAGAGTGGCAAATTTAACATAGGAGAGCCAGTGATAGAAAGAGAGATTACCAAATTGGCTATAAATGCACAGGGAGAGATAGAGCAGAAGAAATGCCTCTTGCAAGCAAGGAAAATTCCCTTCCAAGACATTAGAAAAGAAGCATTGATTAAAAACAAAGACCTCCTTTGAATAAAAAACGATGCATTTTATGAAGAGCTCAGTGAAAGTGAGATTCGTGCAGAGCTAGAAAAGATCAGTGAGGATGTAAGGGGAACACATGATGAAATCAAACAAAGGCTGAAAAGCTTTCAGCAGAAGAGGCATTGGCTGATTTGGCATGACCATTCAACCCTTTCAAATTATGGTCACATGCTCTTTTGTGTGAGAGAGATGTATGACCCAGCAATTCATCTCTCTGATGCAGAAGCTAGAGTTCAATATGGAAAAGATGTGGATGTCCAGGCAACAGTAGAGAGGCCCTATCTGTATATGCTGGGGCAGAGCAGTTCCAGCATTGAAGATCAGATAAAATTTGTTCCAGCCAGACATGATGATTTAGTAAATTTAACCCAAAAAGTTAAAACAAAGGAGGATGTTGAAGTAGAAGATGAGATGAGATTCATGAATGGAGACAACCCTGCAACAAACTTTGAATGCGGAAATCAGCATGGAGGGCATTATGGTTGCCCTGGTTGTGATGGGCATTTAAGCATGTGCCACGATCTAGATTACATGGCCCAAAGAAAGTACAGAACATTGACCGAATGGCAACAGCTGGTGTTAGCAGGAAGAAAAGGAAAAGAGGCAAAACAACTCTTGAACCCATTTAAAGATCTCAAGGTCAACGAGCTATGAGCTGAAATTGAAGCAAGAGGACTTGGAGATTCAGACAAAACCAAACCAGAACTTGCAGAAATTTTAAATGAAGAACTTGGAGGGGCAACAAGAATTCCAGCACTGTTGTTTGGGGATGAGAGTGTTTCTGTGGAAAGTCTCAACCTCCAGTCCTATGAGGTACTGTGTTTTGAAGCTCTTCACTGCTCCATGAATCACATTAAAAACATTCTGGAAGAAATTCCACATCACATTTCTGACATTGATACACTAATAAAACTTAAAGAAATACTAGCTGTCCAACTTAACAAAGAGAAAAAACGAGGAGTAGATTATCACAAGACACTAATCTACTTAACTATAGCCCTTTACCAGACAACAACCCATGATGTGAGAGCTTTGCTGGCCACCTTGTGTGAAATGGTGGAAATTTTTTATGCCCAGGACAGAAAGAGGTCACCAAAGTTGATATTAAGGTTGCATAACCTATGCTGGAGGCATGCAATTTTGTGCTGAAAAGTGATGACCCCAACTAGAGCCCAAACAAGCAGAAAGCTCTTTGGTATATACTTCCATGCATGTGTATCTCATTCCGCCTTTCTTCTCTGTCTTGCTTCACACCGTTCAACTAATGCAGAAATGTTTGAGAGGTTGTTTGAGGAGCTGACCGACATCACCAGGAAGACCTGGAACAACCGAGTTGAAAGCTTAGTGAGCAATGCAGTTCTGCATATGCAAGCAGAGAAGACTTCAGGAGGAAACACAGCTGTGACCTGCATCATCAGGCAAGAAAAGGAAATCAGCAACATCAGCAAAGCCCTACCAAAGCTGGGAAACACAGTTTTACCCAAAGATGTCATCAACACACATGCTAGGCACTGGGAGGCTCACCTTTAGTCTATTGCTGACTTCCTTGTACTAGGAGAAGGAGTTTGGTGGAGAGAAATTGAGGATGAAGACTGTATTGAGTTCTTTGATGGTCCTGAGGAAATTGAATTCAGGGAGCAAGGACCTTCCCTTCACCACTTTCGCTCCTCCAATATCAGAATGGAGAAAATTTTCCTTCAACATTGCTGGGAAGAATGCATTCAAAACAGAATCAAAATCCCAGCTACCAGAATTTCCAATGAAGAAAACCATATTAGAGAAGAATGCATGCAACAGAATCTGCCAGTTCAAGATCAGTCATTTGAGAGTGATGATGAATGTGAAGAAGAAGCTGAAGATACAACTCTATTAATTGATAAAGAAGAGAGTAGTGAAAACCTAGAAAATAATCAGATTCCGGAACCACAGCAGCTGACTGAAACAGTGCAAAATGAGACAGGTGAACCACTGGCTAAGAAACCAAAATTATCTGAAGATTTTTAACCATCCAGCAAAACAGCAAAAGCTCTTTCAGAGATTCTTGGCACAACCAAAGATGTTATGTTATATGAAAAACTTAAAAAAAATGCAACAAAAAATTCAAGCACAAGATACCACAAGGAACACTTCTTAAATCACCTGGCACACATTCAAGTAAAAGTTCTAAAGAAATACAAGGACATAAATGAAGCAATTATTGAGTGGTCAGCCAACTTTAAGAAAGTCTTCAAAAAAAAATCCCACAGAAAACCACATGAAAAAAGATCCAGTTATAGCAAAAACATGGAGGAAAAATAAAGTTGCCACTGAGCTACTGAAAATATGGAAGATCACCATTCACCTTCCTAAATAAACACTTCAAATTATTCAATGTTTTAACTATAATATGTGCTGATATTTTGAAATTTGCATAATACTTTTCCAAGCCCTGAAAATAATTAATATTTACAGTCCTCAATGTTAAGTCCAAAGAAAAGCTATCTTCAGTGGGTTCCACATGTACTGTAAGCATGAAAAAGCACCAAAAAAATTATTTAATACATACCATTTTGAGGAACTTTAGTATAACAATCCAATTGATAAATATGAGTATCCTACATGTATGTAGATCTGGGCTGAGTTGTTCAAAGCTGGGTTTAGATAACCCAGGGTTAGTGTGAAATCGGATTTCAGCTCTGGAAGCTTTAAAGGAAAATTCAGTAGATTTCTTTTTGTCAACAATTTGATGATTAGATGCTCCATATAGAGTAGAGGAAAATGATCCTAAAAAGGCTATCAAATAAAGAAGTATAGAAACCCAGATTAAAATTTAACTCTGGGTTAGCGCTAATCGGCTTTCGAAAAACTGGGCCCTGGAACATAACTGAAGGCAATGTAGCATGGTAGAAATCTAAAAAAGAACAGCAACAACATGATTAATCGTGTTACAATGTTTAATTTTGTACAGCAATTTTTAAGTCATCAATTTATTTATGCTTCTAAAGGATTAATTGAACAAAATGAGTTCAAAATGTAACATTTGCCAAGTGCATGATGAATAATGTCGAGCAAATTAAATCTATTCAAGTGATTTTGAAACTAATGACTATACTGTTAGTTCCCATAGTTAACTTTCATATTAGGAGCCACGGTTCACCAGAATTCTTTTTTCAGAACTAAATCATAAATTCCTTTACGAAACATGATTTTACCTTGAGCTAACAAGTGCCTTTCTTCTTACGAATGTCTCTTTCTCTCCACGTTTGTAAGTTGGACCTTACGCTAATCACAAGAAAGATTCTCTAACAACACAAAACAATTTCAATTTCACACGCTTCGTCCGAAACATATTGAATTAAAAAAGCGTGGAACTAAATTAACACCTGCTCGGTGATGAAAGTAATACGTAGCTTTCCTGTCAGTCAACAAACGCATAGAGCCTAGAATGATCTAGTATGATCGAACTCACACTGAATTCAATCGAAGGACGCGCAACAAGCAACACCTTTAAACAACGTCAAAAAGGAAGCAGTGATAAAAAATTCCTTACCTACTTATTCTGCCCAAGTGATTCCAGACCTCTAACACAGACAAGCCTCAGAATATACGAGAGCGACAGAGTTTCCGAAACTTCGATGTGCCACAATGTCCGCCATCTTTGCCGCCATTTTGAGATGTTTTTCTCTTGGCGCGATTGACTTCGCGGGGGGGATTTTATTATCCTGAGCCATGCCTTAGGAGCCCGAGCATGCTTGAATGACTGAAAATATGAAAGAGATGGTAGAACGCAAACAAGGGTCGTTTCGCTCTGTTTGCCATAATATGACCGTGAGATCGGCTACGTGATAATATTCAAGAGCTGATGCAGTATTGTAATATCAAAATACATCGCAATTTTTTTGCGGTAACCCATTTCTTGCGGAAAATCCCTTTAACTAGATAGTAAACTTCACTGACGTTCTAGCCATTGCGATCTTTAGCTAGGACCGGGCATCTTCGAGACGATGAAATTATTATGAAACAAAATCTGTACCCCCTATTGACGAAGGTCGAAAGGCCCTTTTCGGCGAAGAAAAAATGGAAGAATCCATGGCCCTCTTCTCTTAAATTCAAATGTATTCTAGCTATTGATTTTCAGTTTGGCCTCAATTTGCTGAGGTCAAAAAGAAAAACTGGTTACTTTAAGTCGACTAGAATGTTACGGAATACATGTAGTTCGAAATCACGCCGTCAAAGTGAAAGTGAAATAAATAAGGGAAAAAGCCCTTTTCAAAGTCCCAAGCTTTTTCCTGTTTCGATTGTATTCAAGCTACAATCGAATTATTCCTAGCGTTGAAAGGAGTACCACAAGTAGAAGATGCACAGATTCCGTCTTATACTATCACAGAGGGCATTCATACTTCAAGCATTCTTCGTCTTTTCTTGAGGTAGGTTTTGAGATATTTTCTTTGTCAGTTTGGAATTCATTTGATCACGAAGAAGTTAAGCCAAACTCAGCTGACTTAGCCAGTGTCGTCACTGTGTATAAAGGGAACCGCTTCTGGAAAGAAGTCTGCTGAAACACCCCTCTAAATAACGTGACCATTAGCGATCGTTTCTGCTCGTTTTAAACTTAAGCCGAAAGAACATGTCATGATAAGAGTTAACCTTGTGATCCGAATATAAGTGAGGAAGGGTATAAAGTTAGACGCGCTTGCCCTTGGCTAATTAATTAATTCATGCGCAACAAACTTGTTTAGTCTGACCTAAACGACCTACAAATATCTCATAGGAATACCAACCTCGTGACATTGTTCGTCTACATTATCTTTCTCTACGGGAAGGTTCCTTTAGAGAATGGAAAAGTGAATAGATTTTTTTTCCAGAACTCAGTTGCTATCTTTCCTGTATTGAAAAGTTTGTAAGGAAAGTTAGTTTGCAGTTACTATACGAGGTATGAAATGCAACTAGTGATCGAAAGTCATGGGTATTAAAGAAAAAGGTGATCAACAAACAAATTATAGCAGTAAATATTTGTTAAAATGTATGCGTCGAATAGAGGGAGCGTGCAAAGAAATCATTTCAAAATATTTTTTCGTGAAATTTGATAGAAAAAGTATTTTTTTTTCTTTAAAGTGCCTACGACACGAATTTTTTTTTTGTATTTTCTGGTAGATAGCGGTATTTAAAATTAGAAATAATCGACCTTAGCGCCCGGCGAGTTCTCCTTTTCCACTTTTTTTGTGCATTGAAAGTACGATTTGGCGGCCAAAAAGTGTCCCCATAAAGCGCGCGTGATTGTTCAACATTCCTTTCAGCTGACATTTCGCAAGCGAAGAATGGTGAGCTCCTTATTGTTGTTTATTTCACGCACTAAAGATGTACTCATACTCCTTGTCTTTCCACATGACTACATTTGCGCTTGTCTAATCGTATGAAAATCGAACCAGTTGTAGTTTTCATCGTTTTTTAATAACAGAACTACATCATTTGTAATAAAGTTCAAGCCCTTTCCTGAGCTGACCGATATCCTGTTGCGTGAACAGTGCGAAACCTCTGGCGGATGCTGGCATAAACACAAGCTTGAAGCGGCCGTGTATTCTCCTAACCTAGGTTTCCGAAAATCCATCTCACGAGCCATCAATTCTCCCCACTCTTAAGAAAGTAAAAGTAGCAACAGTAACAATGTCATTGTGATATCCGCACCGCACTGAAAAAAAGAAAGAAACACAAGTTTTATTGAATTAGATGATAGCGAATTCAAGTGCCGTGTGAAAGTCGATGCATTTGAAATATTCATTTACCCATAAGGCGAAATGGGTCATATGGCAACGCTGCACTTAAACTGAAGAATTTTTTCTCTATTAAAATCCCTCTTTGAGATTAACTTGAATCAGATTACTATGAATTCACTCGTTTTCCGTTTGACCGGCTCGACAACGATAGCCTTTGCCTTTGCACTCTCCGGGGAAAAGAGCAACTTGCAGTGAAACTGCTCGATGACTTCTCGGCGAAAAATCATCGTGCCTCGTGATACAGCTGATTCTTTCGTCAAACGTTCGCTTTTGGTTTACTATGGGAATCACTCGACAGCAACGAAACTCTAGAGCACCGAGCAAGGGGAACCTTCGCCGCACTTAGTGCGAAGGAATGAAATGGTGTGGCAACGGAAACGAACACACTACCCATTCTTAACATAGATTTCGCCATAGAAACAAAACACAAACGCAACAAACTAAATATTCAGTAAAAGGATTTTTTTGTTCTTTTCTTGACCCGAAAACCGCAGGCGAGAAACCGCCTTTGTCAGTCTTCGTCGAAGTCTTCGTCGAAATCTTCGTTTGATGCACGCGGTTCTCCTTCTTAGGGCTGAATCGTGCTCGCAACTTCCAATTTATTCTTTGCTACTTGAGTTCGATATATCACAACTCTCGGTAGAGCTTGCTGAAGGTAGCTATACATCGCTATCGGTCATAATTTCAAGAGTATTTCAACGCTGATTGATACAAAATTAAAAGAATATGAGAGATTTGTAAGAGTCAACTGAGAGTTTTCACAGTTTTCTACGTCATCACCCACTAATTCGTTACCAGTCCACGAGACACTTTTAAGACTTGCTCTTTCGAATTGGGCTTCGATCTTGTCAAATCTTGGTTATTTTTGTGAAGTGCGGTCGATAATTGCCGCATGCAGCAAAATTCACGGTGCCTATTGTTGCTTTGATCATTGAACAGTCAAGAGTCAGGTTCATCTTCACTAGAACTTTCCTCAGAACTGCTGCTTCCCGAGGTTTTTTCAAAATATTCACACCGCAAGCGTCTCAAGCTCACTGTTATTCCTGTTATAAGACGAAGTCAATGCTGCGCACCTCTATTTTGACCGATGTATAACCGGAATAACAGTGACGGAAAAGCAACCTTAAAACGGCAGAGAACGCCGGAAACCGCAATGGACAGAAAAGATGTGACTAGATTCTATTGATTTAAGGTGTAAAATGTTCATATTTCGAAATATTTATCGTTTTAAATCGACCATATTTCGTTCGCCATGCTATTCCTTAGAACATGTTCAAATTCTTAACGGTTCCTCCCGTAAGTTAACACCGAGTCACACAAAATGTGACGCTTTCATGAACTAATCGTTTGCTTTTTATCGAGACGTGAGCTTGGGACGCCTTTTTCACACGACCTCTCTCTGCTGTTTTTCTTTCGATATATTAGTGAGTAAAGTTAGAAACTAACCAGGCTTGATTGGTCGATGTGCCCTCGTGGGGGGTCCTAGGGTGCGTTCCTTTGGGAAAATCAGGATCAGGATTTCTGATCTGTGGCGTTCCTTTCGAGCAAATCCATTTTCAGATCTGCGATCTATCAAATACATTCTGGACAAGGATTCATCGGATCACTGATCTGCGTGATCTAAAGATAGATCATTGGATCACTGATCCAACGCGTTCCTTTGGGCGAAGGATCCGAAATTAATCATTTTGCCTAGCGGTGCTCAATTTCAAATTAGTAACAATCTTTGTAATGTTAAATCGATCGCAGGCATTCAGGGTTCCCAAGTATCCATATCATAATCAATACTTACTTCTATCCATCGTTTGAGTTTTCTATGAAAAATGTGCTGCTAATGATTATTGCTAATTAGAAAAATTGTGCGCGCTTAAAAACCGTGCAGTTAGACGAGCCATTCAGGGAAGAGCTCAATAACCCACGTGCATACACAAGTCTTAAAATAGCGCACTTTTTGGAATTCTCTGAGAGCTCGTCTAAAATTCCGTTCCTTTCCTGCACCGTGATCTGTGTGATCTTGGATCACAAATCCTAATCCGGATCCTCCCAAAGGAACGCACACCTAGTTCGCGGTAAATTCAAACTAAAAACAGACTTATCTGTGAAAACGCCGTGACAAAAATACAGGGCAGTTGAAGGCTCCAAGTGATGAGCTCCTGACAATTGAAAATTGGTTGGCACCAAGGCATACGGACTGTACACGGATTGTGAATGTCAGTTTTACTGCCATTGGCCGAAAACGAAAAACGATTTGTAATCCGTTTTCCAAATTCACGAAAACGAAGAACGAAAAACGAAAAAGAAAATTAAAATCCGTTTTTTCAAGTTACAAAAATGAAAAACGGAGAGCGTAAAATGAATTCGAATTCCGTTTCCTTCCCGGCGGAGAAAAAATGCAAAACGGAAATTTCGTTGTTTTGCAGCAAAGAAAAGCGAAAATAAAATTTGTGTTTCATTTTCATATGCAATCGATTCTAAATTTTTACCCAAAACAAACTTTTGTGTCATGGGCACTTTAAATAAGGATCAAAAATCGAATGATTGTTCGGTAAGCAATAATTGCTCAGAACAAACACAGAGTGCATCAATTTACATTACAGCTGTCTTCTGATAAATGAGTGGAAAGCACTCTCTATACCAAACAAAAGATATTGTCAAAAATGAACAAAGGGTGACATCGCTATTGACGACATAATACTTTTATATAGCATCAGAAATAGTAGTTTACGTAATTTCCCCGACAGCAAATCATGATCGAAGGGAAAACTCCCCAAAATCAAAATATATCGGTAAGTGTAGCAGTACAGACCAGGGATACAGGAGTTATAACTGGAAGTTGGAGCACTTATTGATCGATGATAGATATGGCGAATGGAATTCGTAGAGCATTTCAAAGTTTATTCCTTCTTGTCGCACTGCTGAGCGTTTTTAGTGGTATGTGTTTTGATACGAGTGTGACCGTCCTTTCTATTGTAAAGTTAAAGTAGCCAGCCAAACCACTCATTGCGACGGAGTAAACGGCGGTTGACAGGGTTGCCTTGCTTGATTTTGGGAATATTCGAGGTTTGCTTCTATTCGACTGTTGCAGAAAAACTTGTTCTTCGTGATTCGTGAATTTCTGAGCCCCGCGATCAGTGAAGATCTTGAATGAAACGTTAGGAATATCTTGAGGTTAATTTCGACGGAAGAGCCGATGAGTCGAGAAATTTTTACAGTCATCAAGCCTTTCAAAGACTTGAAAAAGCCTCCAACATTTGTTTGTTTATATGGATGAATACCTTAAATTAAGAGTTTAATTTGATAGGTGCGTGACGTCTCATGAAAACCAATAATACGCTGGCAATCGCAGAGAGGTTATGTTTATCTGTCGCTTAACCATATGGCGTCTGTTGTGTGTGAGAGCCTCAGTGCCTGTTCACTGATTTTTCACAGGGCAGTGTTTTAATGTCAATTTCTAGCGTTACTTAAATTAAGTAGAAGTTTCATTAGGCGATGAGAACGCTTCTACAAGCGTTATATACTGAAGGATATAAACTCCCTGGAGACGAGAATGCTGAAACCAAAAAGACACGTAAACTGTTGAGGGGAAAAATGATTACACGAGCTGGAAATAAAATTGGCAAAAGCAAAATTCTTAATACATGCGAAATGCGTGACGAAGAATCCATTTTTAAAACGTTTGCTCGATTCATTCTCAACAACTGTCAACTTGGTATTGTTTTAATATTGTAAGGAGAAATTCTGCCTTAATCATTCATGGAGTTCATCATGGTGCTTCTCATCGCGATTGTCAATCTGTTTATCTTAGCAGGCAGCAGCACTACTCTAGAGGGAAAGAAATATACCTGTCCCAAAAAAACCGAAACATTTGAGTGTGACGCTGCAAAAAGGGTTCCAGAAGAATTTAACAGAGGAACATCATACAAGATAAACGACCTGAAGAATCCAAGCGATGAAAGAGCATCAGAAATTTATTGCCACAAAAAAAGATGTATTGTGCAGAAAAATAAACTGTATGGAAGAGTTCAAGTCTTGGAGAAAAACGCCACGAGAATGACCTTTCGGATGCTGAACTTGGATGATTCTCTGCGTTTTTCATGCGATGTACACACCGCACCTGAATATCAGGTCACTGAGTTTCATACCAAGGACTTCACAGCTGTCGAATGTAAGTTGAATTATCCTCAGTCGAGAAACGATGATGTAATCTTGAAGCAGGTAATTTGAAGAGGCCGCCAACCCTTTTATTTTTACTTTCTGCCCTCCCCTCCCTTAAGACTTCCCCTATTTTCTTGGAACTATATCTTCCATTACTGACGCCCACCCTTTCTTCTTCGAGTGTGTGTTGTGTGAATGTGTGGAGGGAAGGGGGAGGGGAAGGGGGAGGGGGAGGGGGAGTGGGGAGGGGAGTTGTAAAGAATCTCTTTATCGGTTCTATGAGGCGCCAACGGATATACTGCGAGAACAGGTAGAACTGTAACACCAAGAAGATATTTGCTATTTCGGGAAGTTTATGATATCCTTAAAATAAGAAACTTAGCTACAATATAACTTTATTCAATTTACACGCTAATTAATAACTGACATCATCTGCATCATTTTACTAAATATTTACGTATTTTTATTGATGTTCAGGCGTTCGCAGTTGCATTGGCCACAGGGCTAACTTATCTTGTTCGAGCTTTCAACAATTTCTTCAAACTCCACATGGCTTGGGAGCGTTCTTGAAAAAAGCTGATGGATCTGAAGATATCACTTTCTGCAATGAAAAAGGGAACTGCACCTGTATGGACGGGTGTAGAGAGTACAAGGGCAGATTGGAACCGGGATATAAAACAGTAAACATGCGAACCGTCAGGATGGAAGACGCTGAGATAGATTTTATGTTCTATTTTGAACACAACGATCCCCGAAAACAAACGCCCGAAAAATGTATTTTCAAAATCGATCCTGTGGTTTGTCCAGGTAAGACAGCTTCTTGATTTCGTTCATTTGTGATAATGTTGACTTGACACGACTCTGCAAAAAAGTTCTATAACATAGTTGTAATTTCTTGTAAACAAATCCAACAGCAAGGGCTTGATTTTAATTTTCATGTCTTCCCTTTATTTCGCTATAGATATTTATACTCCAGTATTAAATTTGATAGGAAATGCGTTCTGTTGCTCGTAATTAAACGCTGTAATGATAAAGGCTGGGCGATATTGAGGTAGTTTTAGGAATTCCAATAACTGAAAAAAAAAACTGAAGTATTGAATAACGGGAAAGTATACGACCATTGTGCCATATATGGCGACACATTGCTAATTAAGAGCTTGATGAATCTAATTTAACATTTTTCTGCCACAGGCACACCAACCGGAACTCCAGAAAAGTCTTCAGGAGAAACTGAAAGCAAAGAAAATGCACATAACGTCACGCCAGGTACCATAAAGGGGACAACAAATTTTTAATTTCTGTGATTGATGTTGGCAGTTTTAATTTTGGATAATACATTTGAAAGGTGAATTTACCGCACGGTTTCGACTCATCTGACTCTCGGACGGAGGCCACACTTCGCAAGGGAAATTACCCTAGTAACTTGATAGGAAATGTGATATGTTGTTTGGTTGTGCTGTGATGATGAAACTGGGCGATGATTGAATACTTTCCTCAATTCAAATAACTGTTAGACCCTGAATTATCGAATAATAGCAAAATATGCTGCAAATGAGAAGATTTATTTTATAACGAAACATTTTTCTGCCACAGGTAAACCAACCAGAAGCCCAGACGAAATCACAGAAAGGCCTTTACAAGAAAATGAAAGCAAAAGAACAAAACACCCATCTACCAGCTCGAATAACGTCACGCCAAAAACCATAGAAGTGAAAAGAGGGCTCTTATTTCTGGGCTTGATAATGGCAACTTTTATTTTTCCTAGATAGCAGATTGTTTAAGACTCAGTCGACCTTTGGACATATCTGATCTTAGGTTCTGCTCAACTGAGACACAGGATGTGGTTAACGAATACCCACAACATATCAAAGGGTCCATGAAGGAGCCTCTCCATCATCAGGACAACGGGGTTCTTGTGTTGATCAAGATGCTCTAATAAGATGGACCTACTGTCCTAATGAGTATTTCATGTTGTTTCGTGTCACAATCTTGTGCAGCTTCTTCGCTCACGAGCCATTTCTGACTTGTGGCAAGCCAAGTAAATAAATTTTGTTGCGCATTATTATTTTCTGTTCAAAGCATGAGCCTCTCTGTATAGATTTTAGTAGAGTATATTTAGCAGTAAAGTGTTCTTGTTTATCAATAGTCAAGTATTGTGATATATTTCTTTACTTCAAGCGACCAACATCAAAGTCAACGTAATGTAACAAAACTTAGAATAAAGTCATCATTTTTTAGCATAGCATATCCTTGTCAAGTAATCGTTTGCGTGGCTGCAAGTTTAAATGCGTTCAACTGAGATCAGTTTTTAAAAATATCCAGCACAATCTGTTCGATACTTGAGTTATCTAAGACGCGCTAGCAAAACCAGTTTGCATGGCCAATATGTCCTTTTCAATCTTGTCCAAATATACGTAACATTTTGCAGCTCTTACTTGATGTAGAAAACATCGTTGACGTAAAACAATAGAGAACAAAGAGACAAAAGACCGAGGAAAAAAACAAATGGAAACAATAGGTTACCGAGGCTGATGTTGTGTGTCTTCTACACCAAGAAGGGGCCCATTTTCCGAAGATGCTCTTTTTAGACAGACCAAAATTTGAGACAGAGCTTCCAAACAATTCGCTCAAGATATTCCTTGTTCAGCTATGAAATGCTTCAATGACTGAAAATATATAAGAGATAGATGGAACACAAACAAGGGTCGTTTTGTTCTGATCGGCACAGTATGACCGTGAGATAACTACGTGATAATATTCTAGGGCTGATGCAATATTGTAATACCAAAATACATCGCGATTTGGTATGGTCTCGTCTTTTGAGGTAAACCATTTCCTGCGGAAAACTCCTTCAATTGGATAGGAATAATCCTGTTCTGCGCAGAAGTAATGTTGGCAAACAAGTTAAGTGGTGCTTATTGTTTCCAAATAGTTACAGCCATTATCAAGCAATGATAGTTTATTCAAACAACAAAGCACGTTTATTGTGACTCGTAAAACCAAGAGATACCGAAAGCCTGCAATCCAAGCGCTATATGAAAAAATTTATCGTCTCTCAATATTGGTTTATTCGAACAACAAAGCATATTGTATTGTGACTAATGAAACTGAAAGAGAAGCAAAAAAGGCTGCAATGAGAGCTTTAATTGAGAGACGTTCAATTTCGCTTTTAGAGTAAACATTTTACCCATTGCGATCATTAGTTATTTTGCTTTTACTTAGGGAAGTAGATTTACGACACGAATGAGTAATAGGAAGTTTCCTTACAGTATTAACGGTATGTAACGCAATACACTACATACAACCAAGGGTCGTTTCGCTCTGTTCACCACAGTATGATCGTGAGATAACTACGTGATAATATTCTAGGGCTGATGCAATATTGCCACCAAAATACATCGTGATTTGATATGGTCCTGTTTTCGGCGGTAAACAATTTCCTGCGGAAAATCCCTTCAATTAGAAGGGAAGAATTCTGTTCTGCGCAGAAGTAATGTTGGCAAACAAGTTAAGTGGTGCTTATTACTTCCAAATAGTTATAGCTATTATCAAGCAATGATAGTTTATTCAAACAACAAAGCATGTTTATTATGACTCGTAAAAGCAAGAGATTCCGAAAGCCTGCAATCCAAGCGCTTTTGAAAACATTCATTTTGTCTCGGTATTAGTTTATTCGAACAACAAAGCATAAGTATTTTGACTAATGAAACTGAAAGAGAGGCAGAAAAGGCTGCAATGAAAGCTTTAATTAAGAAACGTTCAATTTCGCTTTTAGAGTAAACATTTTAGCCCGTGCGATCTTTACTGAGGACGGGGCATCTTCGAGACAATGAAATTATTATGAAACAAAATCAGTGATCCCAATTTACGAAAAAAAGCCCCTATTCGGTGAACAAAGAATGACAGAATCCATGGCCCTCTTACCCAAGGTCCAAATGTATTCTAGCTACTGATTTTAACTGAGTGTGGCCGCAATTTTCTGAGGTCAGCTGACACTGAAGAAAATAAAGTTACTCATAGTCGACTAGAGTGTCACGGAATAGTTAAAAATCCCGCAGTCGAAAGTGAAAGACTTAGATTAGGGAAAAAACCCTCACATTTCTAAGTCCAAAGGTTTTTTTCATGAATAACTGTTTCACGCCATTTGAAGCTTACAATCGGCTTATTCCTAGCGTTGAAAGGAGTACCACAAATCTCAGTAGAAGATGCACAGATTCCGCCAAATGCTATCACAGAAAGCATTCATACTTCAAGCATTCTTTGTCTTTTGTTGTGGTAGGTTTTGAGATTTTCTTTGTCAGTTCGGAATTCATTTGATCACTAAGAAGTTAAGCCGAACTCAGCTGACTTAGCCAGTGTCGTAACTGTAAATAAGGGGAACTGCTTCTGGAAAGAAGTTTGGTGAAAAGCCCCTCTGAATAACGTGACCATTAACGATCGTTGCTCGTTTTAAACTGGAGCCAAAAGGACATTTTATGATAAGAGTGAACCTTGTGATCCTAATGCAAGTGGGGGATGGTATATATATTGTTAGAAGCGCTCGCACGTGGCTAATTGATGATTTCATACGCAACAAGCTTGTCAGTATAGTCCGACCTAAATGTCTTATCTTTTTCTGCGTTATCAGAATTCTGAAAAGGTTCTTTTGGAGAATGGAAAGTAAACAGATTTTTTTTCCCAGATTCAGGTGCTACCTTCCCTGTGTTGAAAAGTTTGCAAAGAAAGCTAGTTTGCAATTGCTATATGAGGTGTGAAATGCAACTAGTGATCGAAAGTCATGCACGGGCATTCAAATATCAGTGATTAACAAACAAATTATAGCAGCAAATATTTGTTAAAATTTAAGCGTCGAAACCATCCAAACATCAACTCTTTTTTTAAAACTGCTGGTTTTATTGTGGGATTGAATTAGTCTAAATAGAGAAGAATGGAGAAATTTTAGCTCGATAGTTTTGGAATATTTATTTTTGATTTGTAAAGGCGCCTTAATGCGGGTATCAGCGGCCATCCCGAGAGGTCGACCCCCGGGCACCCAGGGGCATTTGTCACAGCTGCCGTGACAAATACATGCTAAAGCCCCTCGGGTAGGGCAAAAAATTGGGACAAATACCCCCACCCCTGGAGCAACCTGGGCAACATATAGTCGGTGTTGCCTGTTCCTCGATGCAAAAGTACGAGTGATCATGGTTTATTGAAGCCACATCAGCACTAAAATCTACACAAGTCTCTATGGAGTCCTCAAATTCGAGCTTTCTGGGGCAAACTTTCTTAGCTTGCGGTTGTTCATCATACTGTCTCTTCCTATCGGCAAGACGCTTCGAATGCGAACTAACCGTATGAAATTGAAATCTCGATGTCGCTTTCCTTAAAATGCAATGAACAGATTCTTGGCGAGCGAGCTTGCTTGTCCTGTGGCGAAAACCGCTGAACGTTGAGACAGCAGATTACGTGCAAATCCCGTGGGTATGGCCCCGGGGTATTTTGCCAAAAACGCAAAAGCGCCCTAATGCCCCGCGTGCGGGGCATGCCTTTGCTACAAATCCCCTGCTAAGCCCGTGGGTTGCCCTTGGGTTGCCCGGGGGTCGACCCCTCGGGATGGCCGCTGATACCCGCATAATAGAGTCTTAAATGAACTTAAAGGCCATTTTCCTATTTTGAGTCATCTGAGAGCGAAATATTTCCTCATGCTGATGACAGGCCATTATCTTATCAGTCATAACCTTTACTTTGCCCGACAAAAAATTAGTTATTATCATTCACAGAGGAATCCTTTCTGTCAGTATATTCAGAGTGTCTTGAATTCTTTGGCTTAAGTTTCCCGTTCCTAATTCACCTTAGTAACCGAGCTACGTATTTGCAAAGTGCTCTTAAGATTTTGGGTTGGAAGTGTTTTTATTTATTATCAGAAGGGGACCTTATCCTTCTCTCACCTGATTTCCGAGTTTTACTTATTGCGCATGTATGTAAATTTCAGAAAAAGAACCTGTTTTGGCAAAAGATTTCGTTTTATACCACCGCTGAATTTTTATTGACAACGTATTCTTACCATGTATTGGCGACGAAAAAAAGATGCAGCGAGGCGCAACGATTTCACTTCGCTTCGGACCATTTTAATTAACTTGAAAACAGATTATAAAGAGTCCACGTCCATGTTACCCAGTGTCTGAAATATGAATTAACGGTTCGTATCGTGGGTGTATAAGAATAAACTGTATGATTACTGAAAATGGGAGAAAGTTAGGCGCAAAATTACTCGAATGTGTTAAACCCCATCAAAGAAATTTCAAAAAACGTCTTAGCGTTTAAGCTTAATGAGAGAAGAAGCCTTTTTCAAACGGACAGTTCAGGATGTAATATTTGACACGTGCGCTTCTCGTTAGAATTTCGTTGCGCTAGTGATGTAATCTAGAAGACTGCATGTTGTAATAAGTCATTACAATGTGGTGCCTCAAATATCATAAAGCGCTCATGAGGCAATGTGTTATAAACTGCTCGTGTATCAAAACTATTTAGGCAATAAGAAAGAAAGCAGTAAGAGAAATGATATTGTTAAAGTTTTTTTGTGTCGTTGGCCTATAGGATGTTTACAATGCCAACAGCACGAGGAGCTATGCAAAGATCGAACAGTCACCTAAACTGTATATTGGAAATCAGTTGATAACAGTTGATCGTTTCAAAAACCTTCCTAACGCGAGCGTAATAGGGTGATTCCCTCATTGCTTATTTACAAACGGGACCACAGCATGATGAAACGGTCTCAAAATAGACATGATGTAATGAAGTCTATAAATCTGCTCTGCTAACGCAAGTAAAACCTCATTGCCGAGTTTACACAACCGATTAACAGAGTTAAGACCATGGCTGTTCGAAGGCTACGATCTTTCGACCATATTTGCAAGTTGTTTTCCCTTTTTGGAGTATGCAGCATGTTTGTGTCATTTCCTTCGTTAGGAGGTATGTCAATAAGTAATCTGTTACATTTTTAACGTGATCCTACCGCGACGTTGATATACTAGAATGCTGGATTACCGCGATTGCAGATATTTACGTTCCTTGAGAGTTTAAACATTTTTCATGCTCTTCTTAGCAGAGATGCGTAAGTGTATTGATGTATTCATTTTTCTCATAGTGAAATTTCAAACCATCAGATTCACCTCAGTAGGACTGTACAAACTATTGAGAGTTAGCCCTATACCATAGGATATCGATCTCGTTTCCGACTCAAAACTTAAATAAAATATTTTCCCACAATATTTGTTCTCTAAGAGTTTACCATATGGAAACTTGATTGTGGGTCGACGCGAAGCGTATCCGCTTTGTGAGAGTGGTATCCTGGAAATAATCTCGCGAAACTGATGGAACTAAACGCAAAAAACTCTCTTGTGGATGGCCTTTGATTTTCAATTGCGTGTTATATACGTCTTAAAAATCAAAATATTGATAGCCATTTGTCATTTTTCATCTTTTGTTTTGGTATTCAAAGGGGAAAAACCCCTTGATAAATAATTGATTACACCAACCACCTGGGTTCACAAGGGCAAAGACATCTGATCAGTATTGTTCTGAGCAATGATGACATCTATATCGAGTCTCTTTCTTTTACAAGTGGACGCATTTATCGAATACTTTTAGTAATCTAGAGACCGGAATTTAAATTTAAAAAGTTACGTACGTTCATAGCTATTTTTCCATAAACCATGGCGATGCGAAATCAAAAGCTTATAACGCACCAATAAGCTCCCCTAGCTTCTCTTATTAAGACTTGACTGTAACTTCCAAATCCTCAAGTCTGTGATATTTGTAATAAGCTCCTTAGTCTAACATCCTTCCCCCTTCTCTTGCTTCCACCTCCCCCGATCAAAATCGGTCAAGTTTAAGTTTCTTTTGGCTCGATAACGTCACATTACAAAATATCGACGTTTCTTAAAGGCCGCACTCATTTTCGTTTTCAATATCGTGGGAATTTAACCATAAAGATGTATATTGCTACGTCATTCATAACCTTTGGGTGACTGTGCTAAAGGAAAATAATAACTCGAATTTTTGCCTTCATGAACTTTCTTTAATGAGGCCTTCCCTCTCTAAAAAGTCTTTGTCTTCCCTATGCCTCCGGTCTCTCGAAACTCTGATGATCAATAAGTCTTCTCCTTTTGAGTGTAGGCATAATAAAATGCTAATGATTTGTGTTAATTATTTTCTATCAAACGAAGTCGAGTTGAAATTTGTTTGGGGAACCAAGACATAATTTAGCATCTGGAGGGGAGGGGAGGGAGGGTCGGAGGATTATGGGGGGATCACGTGGTTTTCAGGGGGAACTGATCGAGAATCAGTCGTCGCTAACCGAGAGGATAAATGGGAGGCCATAGAAAATTGACTGTCAATGACTGGGAATCATTAGATTACTACAGAACCTTGACGCGATCAGGTAAATTTAATTGTGACACAGCCAAATTCTCCGACCTCCCCCCCCCCGAGATGAAATTTTAAAAAAAATGATGGGGCCTTAATCGTGGAACTACACCCGCCACTCAAGATAAACGTTGCTTTTTTTTGTTCCTTTTTTTAGGTGCCGTGGGTGCCGAAATTCGAACAGAATGCATAAACGACGAGATCCGGCTTAGCAACCCTCAACTTGCTAGTCTTATCCAGGAAAACTCTTACAAAGAGCTGATCTGGACTGTTGACGATCCAGAAAAGCAAGGCCAGGACAAACAAAAGCTCGTGTATTGTAACGAGTATTTTAAATGCCACAAGTATAACATCACTGGGAGATATCAGCAGAGAATTGAGACAACAGCTGCCGTGCGGGGTGTGCTTTACATCAAACAGAAGAAGTTCAACGATAAACTCACGTACACATGCCGCGTGATACAGAAAGGAAACAAGCCTCCGTGTGATTACACGTTCACAGTCAGATCTTCAGCAAATTGTGAGTAAATCAACGAATCATGTGAACCACCCATTTTTAAAATCTTAAAAAACATAGTTAGACATTAGCCATGCATGCATAATCTGAAAGTAGACAATTTAGCTTGGTTTTTAGCTTGGCACTTTTTTTTTCATATTGCTCTCACGAGGCCACTGCCGCGGGAAAAAGCCCCATTTCGTGTAAGAGAAGCGTTAAGAAAATCAGCCTTAGCTTAGGGCGCAGCTGAGATGTTCAATGGGTAGAGGGTGGTGTGGGGGTCACAGTTACGAATTCCTCCGTCGCTGGGCACTTAACGGGAAATGGCTTGTATCTGAATGGGTGGGCTTGTGTTCTGGCAAAGGGAGTACTGTTACATAGTTATGCCATGTAGGAAATTGGGCGTTTTCTTGAACCGTAATCATAAGACTCAAGAGATAATAAAGGGATTTTCTTGTAAGATTCGTAAGTTATTGTGTACTCTTGGCTTAACCGAAAAAATAACTCACAAAGGGTATGGGGAAATCGTGAGCTCGCTAGGACACCCCTGCCACACCGCGTCTTTGATAAGTTTCCTTTGGGGTGAATCATTTACCCAAGTTAGTTTGGAGGATTGCCCTAACTGCAAAGTTGATTTGCTTTTCTTTCAAAATTTCTCCGCCAAATGTAAACGGGAAGTTACCTTCAGGTTCACGTTAAGGATTTATAGTATTATAAGCTAATCTTTCTTTGGTTTTTCCCTCTCAAGGCTTGTCCACGACTGTTGGGAAAAGAATCGACCTGAGCCGTGCGATTCATGAAAAATGTTCAGAGAAAGACGTGGAAGACATAACATGGTACAGGATCCTTCAGGGTGGTGGAAAGGAAAAAATTGCGCACTGCAGTCCATCCAGGGTTTCGTGCTTGCTCATCAATTGCACAAGATCGTGCCCGGAGTATCTAAGAAGGCTGAAGACGAATGGATTATCAGTCATCTTGACAAATGTTACGCCTAATGACCGTGGTTTGAAATTCCAGTGCGAGTTACATCCAGGAATCCACGGGACACGTCAAGCTTATACCATTAAGATCAAAGAGGTCGCTGTACCCCGAGAAGGTTAGTGCGTGAGACTTACGCGATTTCAAGGGTGAGTTGTAGGGGTGGGAGGGTGGGAGAGGCGCCATGTAAGGTTGGTATGTATGCTCGCGTATGCTCAATGCCATTAGGGGCCTTGCTCACAATAAATGTTGTCGGCCTACAGGTGGTGACATGTTCCAACTATCTCCTTCTTTTCCTTTGCGAGTGTTGTATTTATGAAAGCTTGGAGATGATTAAATTGTTCCATGAACACTGATAACAGCAAGAAACTAAAATATAAAATAGCAAGAGAATATACGACCATTGTGATGGATCACCACACATTGTAAATGAGGAGCTTGATATTTTCTGTTTAAACACTTTTTTGCTACAGGTACACCAACCAGAACCCCAGAAGTAATCACAGGAGGGTCTTTACAAGAAGATGAAAGCAACAGGACAAAACACCGACCCACCATCCCACCTAACGTCACACCAGTAACCTTAAAATTGACAAAAACACTTTTATTTCTGTGCTTAATGTCGGAAATGTTTACTTTCCCTGGATAGTATATGTATGGAAGGTGAATATACTGCAACATTTTCGACTTGAAACTGTTGGATAGATCTGATCAAAGGTTCCGTCTTATCAAGGCACCAGGTGTGGTTAAGGAATACTCGCTACAGATTGAAGGGTCCACAAACGAGCCTTTCCACCTGGGAAGTGGAGTTCTTTTGATCACCAAGATGTTATTATATGATGGAACTGCTGTCCAACAAGTATTTCATTTTGTTTCGTGTCACAATTCTACGAATACAAATCTTATGCAGCTTCTTCGCTCACGAACAATTATTCACGAACAATTACTTGCCTGTCGCCAGCCATATAAAGAAGAATTTTGGATATTCAGTCCGAAATAATTCTTGCCAGAAGAGCACTATATTCTTCTTTTTGAGCATTAAGACGAAATCGACTGAGGTCTCGAGTAATGAAGGGACAAAAAGAGGCCCCGTAGGCAGTCTTTATCAGTTTCTTTTGACTAGAACATACCGTCAACTTTTGCGTGGCCTGCAGGTTTTTAATAATAAAAATATAAACATTTCTTTATGAATTGAAGTGTTTTCCGCCTTTCAAGGCAAGTATTTGTATCAGACTGACACTTTCCGCGGATCAGCCTATCGTCTCGGCTATTTAAATAAGATCAATCAGTCTATGTCTGATGTAATGATGAATAGGGACAAAGTTACGTTAAACAGAATAATCGAGGACACTGGCGGCTCTCAGAGATAGGGGCCATGACCTCATACTCCTCAGAGTTAAAACCGAACGGTTTAAACAGGGTTTTTTAAATATACGTCTTTTCAGTTTTATTTCTCAACCTATTTTTCTCTCGTTGGTCTTAAATGGATTTAACTACGCAGTTGGCTCTTAGTTTTTAGTCTCATGATTATTAATAAAGATGTAAAGTCACACGTATGTTGTGTCTCATTCTTCAATAAAAACATTGTTATCACCATCTCAATTTTTTCAATGTCTAAAGCTCGCTGGAATAACCAGTTTGCATTTGCATTGCAAATCAATTTACTTCTTTTAGTTTTGTTACACTCCGCGAAGCTTTTTTGCAAGACACGCTCTCAAACGACAAACTAGAATTAAAAACAAAGTGATTCACATCAATTCTCTCAAGATAATTATTGTTCAGAAATGAATGCTTTAACGACTAACAGAATAGAAAGGATAGATGGATCACAAACGAGTATCATATCATCTTCGCTTTTTTTTTTCGCGATGTCAACGTCTTTATCCGCAGTTCAAATATATGACTTTCATATATTGACATTCGTTTATTCCCCACCTCACGGGTTTATTTGGTAAAGCACTGCACTGGTATCGCAGAGGTCATGGGTTCAAACCCCGTACAGGCCCAAATTTTTCTTCAGGCCTTATTTTCACTACTGTTCAAAGAGTGTTCATTACTGCGATGTTCGCTTTTATAGTTACGTCTTTATCCGCAGTTCAAATATATGACTTTCATATATTCACAACATGATTTCTCGTGCAATTTGGTGTGAATGAGCAAGAGTGCAATTTGTAGTCTTTGAAAACCTTACAAGGGCTTGTTTACACTGCATTGCACGAGAAATCATGTTGTTACTTGCTGATAATTTACATGAAAAACGCATCACAAAAAGTCAAGACGGACGAAATATTAGCAAAGCGCACGCGTAATCTGTAATTTGCACTCGTCTTACATGAAAAATGCACTCCTTTTTAGCCAATCAGACGCGCGTAATTTTTTTCATGTATGCTATTACTAATAGAGTTGTTATCAAGCTGTGACGTATAGTTTATTCAAACCTCAAAGCACGTTTATTGTGATTCGTGCAACTAAAAGATACCGAAAGCCTGAGCTGCAATCCAAGCGCTATCTTAAAACATTTATTCACGCTCAATATCAGTTTATTCAAACAACAAAGCATGTTTATTATGACTCATGAAACTGAAAGAGAAGCAGAGAGGCTGCAATCAAAGTTTTATTTGAAAAACTCCCAATGTCGCTTTTAGAGTTAACATTATAGCCATTGCGATCTTTAGGACCTGGCATCTTCGAGCTAGCTAGCTCGAGCACGCCGCTCTAGCGCGCGCTGTGAAGCGGAACTTTGCCGCCCGCTGTTGTTTGAAATTGAACAGCGGAAATACGAATAAAGGTACAAACAGTTTTCAAAATGGCGTCTGAAAATGCCATTTTGAACGCCACTGAGGCTCTGCGTCCACTACGTAATGAAGTCGGTAATTTCTTTTTGTTTGAAGATGAAGTGAAAACAGCTCTCACTTCAATTTTTGAAAAACACTGTGTGGGCCAAAGCTCTTTGAAACGAGCTAAGATGTCACGAATTCCAGCCTAAGCACTCCTCGAAGGAGAAGTAAAGATGTGGCTAAACATGCTCCATATGCGCCTCAGTCCAAAAAATGAAGGCCCGAAGCGCTTGGACCGTAGAGTTCAAACGGGCGATGTCCTCGGAAATTTTTCCTTAATTTTTCAGAATGTAAAAAAAGCCCGTTCCGCTTATGGTGTTTCGTACAAAGAAGAAAAACACACAGATGTAATCTACTATCACCGAGAGAACAGACTTATTCGAGATTTTGCCGAGTTATCTGAGCTAAGCAGTGATTCAGTCCGAGAATTCCTAATGAAGAAGAGTAAAGGAACAAGTAAAGGAACTTCAAAAGTTTCCATAAGTTCTGAAACGCCTTTCACCATCACATCTATCAAGAGGACACAACAAGTAGTGGTGAAAGCCCACTACAAATTCACTAATGAATTTGGCTACACCTTTTCGTAAGCATATAAGTAATGAGAGCTAGACTGAATGGAGTATATTTCAGGCTGTTTGTAATTATAAGTTGTCCTAACATTATGCACTCGGCTGATTTGAAGTTTCTTGCCTTGCCTTAATTGTACTCCATTCCGCACAGTTACCAATGAATCCTATTAAAATACCATAGATATGCTTTATCAATATTAGAAACAATGTTGGGATGCCTTTCAGTTTGATTTGTTTTGTTGGGACAAATTTTAATCAAAACCACGCAACAGAGGGGAGATCAAAGTGTAATTTATTCTAACATTATCTTAAAGTTCCTACCTAATACAATATCATAATATAATCTCAAGTCAACAGTGGTTTTGAGTCAGACTATGTACAAATTTAGCATTAATTACAAAAGCTGTGGAGCAATCTTTCCATCCTTAACACTATGCTCAATAAGTTTTATGATTGGGTCTCCACAGAAACAGCACTTAGCATCCTCAGGACATGCTTTTAACAGACCACAATAGTAATAAGATGGATCACTGAATACCCTCTCTGGGATGTAGGCTACATTTTTGCATGCAGCTTCTGGCTGCTGAAAACCTTGCTGAGGCAGCCAAATCAGCATCACATATTCATGTCTATATATTTCAACCCATCTGTTTTGATATGTTGTATTTTCACTTAATTTTTTCAGAAAAATATGCTTTGCTTCTCGCCCTTCCATGGTTACTATTCCCAGCCCCTACCCATACTTTTCAAGCATTTGACGACAATGAGTGGGGACAATGTGACCCAATGTCCAGATAGTAGGATTTACAGAACTTGGCAAGAACAATGAATTTACTTTAAAATACTCATAGCAAGCAATAGAAAGCTGATCAATCTGGTCTTATGTTATCTCAAATCTATTAAAGAGAAACACAGTCTCTCAGCCTCACACCTAAATATGCTAAAGCAAGAACTGTTTGATGTTCTTTCCTGAAGTCACTTTCACAGCTTAGCCACTTGATTAATCTCATGACAAGTTATGACAAAAACAACAGGAATCTGTTCCAGTAAATCTATAATGCAAATCAGCTCCAGACCCTTGAGTTTCATTGAACCATTGTTTTGTCCTGTTTGCAAGGCATCTGGTCTTTACTTCTGTTTGTAAAGCTGTAATTACTTGTGCAAAAGGGCTATCAGGTGGTACCTCAGAAAACTTTTTACAATCAGCTGGCAGCTTAGATTTTCTTATAGCTTTTGTCAAAACTGCCTTAAAAACGTACTGCCAAGCATTGTTCTTCAGATGAAGGGGTTCCACATGAGTTTTATCAATATAAGAACCTAATAGAGGCAAAAATTCCTGTCTACTATTTTGTTTGGCGATGAAATCATTGATTTTAGATCTCTTTGTCTTCTCAGAAATTTTTTCAAGTGTTACTCTTTTTTTAAATGCTCAACCTTGTTGACAACATTTACTCTTTGCCAGTAATTCTATGGCTTCCACTTGTTTGACCTGTCAGTTCCAAATGTACCCTTCACATCCCTTGGGTGAGAAATACTTAGCACTAATAGTCAATTCACCTGCCAACATGGCAAGCATCTTCATGTCATTTGGCAATTCCTCCAGCTTAAACCTAAATTTAATGCCTTCAAATTCATACTCGGCTCTTTCTAACTCTGCAATTTGCAGTAATAATGACCTCACATATTTCTTTGTAACAGGAGAGCTTTCATCACAGTTGGCACTAAAAATTAGAAAGTTATCATAACTTGATGCCACCCTTCTTCCAACATTGAGGAAACTGACCAAAAAAGAATATATGCTCTCATTCTTGCCAAATGGGCATCAGTCACCACCAAACGCAATTTGAAAAGTGCCTGTTGATTCTGTAAAGCCTTTCAAGCTTTCTTTTATATTCTTAGATAGACAAAATTTGGCAAGCATTGGAAGTTATTGTCTTAAGTCTCTTTATGCACCATTCACTGAGTTTTCAGTTTTTAAGCCCTCTAGATAGTCTGGGTCAATTTCATGAACAGTTCCAATATCAATCTTTTTTAACTGTTCCACAAGGTTACTATAAGTGAAAAGCTTTGGTACCTTACAGCCTTTACAAATTGAAATGCTTGTTCTTTTCCCTGGTTTACTTTCATTTGATTTCATCGAAAGCACCAGTCTAACACTTTTGCACTTTCTTTTGCCCTTTACACCACTTGCATAATATGTTGCAATACTTCGTACAATGTTGTCATCTGACTTTTCAAATTTTAAAACTTTTTTCTTATACTCTTTAGAAACTACTCTATTAGTCAACTGCTTGTTCCCTGTCACATAATTTGTGAGAGTATCCAATTTGCATCTTTTCTGCAAAGTGTAGAACAATCCCTCTAAAGTGGCTGAAGAATGTTCATTTGTGCTTCCATGAATTCTGGCGGCAGTTTCAATGGTCTCGTGCCTCCTTTTTCTTGCAATTCTTGGACCCAGTGTTGATCGTCCATCAACAAGTGCAGTAGGGCTTCTTGTTTGTGCCTGAGATACCTGTCCCTGTGTCTAAAAATATAATTCAATTAAATTAGACACTGGGTAGTAACACATTTATTAAAATAAGAAGTGGTTGGGTCAGACCAAAATTGTAAACAAAATAGATCTGAACACAACAATTTTATCTCACCATATCTTACATTTGATATTTTGATGTTTATTTTGACAATTTAGAGACACCATCATTTAAGACAGTCTTCTGACTGACCAGATGAACACAGGCACATACTCAGGTTTCTTGCCCTGGCACTGGCTGTCATTCTGGTACTGGCTCTGTGTTAAGTGGCCAGTCCACCAAAATTTAACTTGCAAAAATATTTTTTCTTTCTGCAATCTATCCACATCTTCCTGAAGCCTGGCAGTATAAGGAATTTGACATTCGCAGCCTGTGCCAGGCATTGAGATTCCACTTACTGAAAAACTTGCCATTCTTAAAACTCTTACTACTGGTATGTATGTAGATAAAGTCTCAAACAAAAAATGACAATAAAAGAGAGAGAGAGTCTTTGTTCTTGAATGAGTTGAACTGTCTATACCAACTTATATCTTGCATTTGATATTTTAATGTTTACAATTTAGAGACACTGTCATTTATGACAGTCTTCTGACTAACCAGATGAACACAGGCACACACTCAGGTTTCTTGCCCAGGCACTGGCATAGAAGGCTGGCACTGGCTGTCATTCTGGTACTGGCTCTGTGTTAAGTGGCCAGTCCACCAAATTTTAACTTGTAGAAATATTTTTTCTTCTCATCCATCTACTAACTAATGAAAACCTACAGTCAGAAGTTGTGCACAGCAGTTTTTTGCTGCACACTTACCAGTGCTGGTAAAACAACCCCAATAAGGAATCAAGATTATACTCACAGGAATATTTTCCAACTCATGTGTTATGTCCTTGCATCGTTCCCTTACTGTGGCCAACTGAAAGTATTAATTAAACATGTGATTTCTTGTGCACTGATTGGTTAATTTTTAAAGTTCATTTAAAGTTCAGACAGATAAAAAGCTGGTGGGGGGGGGGTATTAACGAATGTTTGTGTAGGGAGGTACAGCAGGGATGCACAAACCATTACTCAGTTTATAATTAAAATCATTATTATTATTATTATTTTGAATTTCCTACCTTGTCAAAATTGAAATACAAGCCTCCCTGTACTCACACTTCCACCACTTGCCTAAAATACTCTGATACAAATTCTCTAATATTCGAAATATAAGACATTTTCAAAGCACTAATACTAATTTACGTTAAAATAACAAATTAAATATGTTATCTCACCTTTTCCTGGGCTCGTTGGACCTTTTTGATGAGTAGCACAATCACCATGCCCATAGGGGGTTGACTGCAAACTTTCAATGATTTCTTCTGTTTTACATTTTCATTGAAGCCAAATCTTTGCTTACAGGTAAAGTTGTTCTTATTGATTATTGTAAAAGCAAAAAATCAGAAAACCACATTACTGTCTTCGAGAAAATACCCGTGAAAGATGAAAAATCGAGCCAATTTCGGTTGTAACGCGTAACACAAACTCAGTGGTAAAATTTTTGAAATACATTTTTCAGTGAAAAGAAAGCTCGTTTGAGCAAACAAATTACACGTAATGATAACACACAATAAACACTACATTTGAGCAAAACTTTGACATTTCAAGTTTATTAAAACGCATAGAAAAGATTCATCATTCCTAAGTATCCTTTGTGTAACGCTGGGTTTCAGAATTTGGAAGTACACCAAGTTGTTGTCCGTAGATTGACTGAACTGGAATCCTGTGGGAACAAAAACACATCAACCAAATGCTCATACTTGGTGTTCTAAAATAGCGAAAAATCAGTCTAAAGGATTGATTATAAACGGAGAAATATTAGTGTAAAACAGTCGCTACGGTTTTCTAAAACCTGATTACGCAATAATATTTTTCATCAACTTACCTTCTCCTTCGCCACTATACTTCAAACACGGCAAAGTCGGGTTTCGAAATCGATTGCACTTCAATGCTCATAAGTTTCTCTTGTCATTTCCAAGTTTTCGGGTCCATATCTTCAGAAACGGCCAAAATATTCACTTTTGACCAAGTCGCTACGCTTTTTACCATGTTAACGCCATATTGAGAACGGAGTCTCTCCACAAATGCCACCAAAAGCGCTGTGAAATCTGCTGTTTGCTCTGCCATTTTCGCCTTCATCTTTTCATCTCCGTGTCGAAAAGAGCTTGGTAACCTTTCCTTGTTTTGGGGGTTTCTGCGACGTTATCAAGGGTAGCGGGGTCTTCAAGCTCAATAATTTTTCTGAGATTTAGCAATCTGTAAAATATCGCTTCAGGTGCGTTTGACAAGAGGTATGGTTAACGAAAGGAAGAAAAGCTTGCGAGGATCAAAGAGTGGAGGAGGAAAAAGTAGGAAAAGAATAGGCTAAGGAATCTAAAATATAATGGAAAGAATCGCAAAAAGAGAGCTGAATTTCCAAGAGAAAAACGCTTATGTGATCTTCAAGTTGTAAAAAGAGGCAGAAAGTCAGTTTTTAGAGTGCCAGTTGATCTCACTGAGGAGATACTAGCCTCCATGTAATACGAAATGTTATTATTTCTACTTTTTACTGTGTCAGTGAACTCGAAATTGATTATTTGTGAAAAAGACCACACCCACAAGGGGTTATGGGTAAATACAAATTTGAATCAAATGTGACAAAAATAAAATAGTTTGAAATAAATCAGTTGTAATAGTAGATGTAAGTTTAAAACAAACCTAAAGAAGTGATTTTGTCCCAAACTAGCAATTTTCACATTTTCCATACATGTTACAGAAGTGGGTATGGTGATTGTGCTACTCATCTTTGTACTCTGCCAATGGCTTGCGATTTTCATCTTTCTTTTCGATCTTTCATGTATTGAGCCACGTTAAAGCGCGCGTTCTTTTTGGGCGGCATCCTACATATTTACTCATTAAAAACTAAGAAAAGAATGCAAAATTAGGAAAACAAAAATCATAGAGTTCTAGTCAAGGCCTTGAAGTTTCTCTTCGCAACAAAATTTCTCGGATAAGAAGAAATATTTAAGACTATCCGGGCCAAAAATACTATAGAACGACAAACGAACCTTGCCTTCCCTTTTACTATTTCCTCCTCTGTCTCTTTTTAAGCGAACATCGAAGAAAGTATTGCATGTTTGGTATCAAAATGACGGGAAAACGTTTTACTTTCAGAACATTTGAGTTTTGGCGCCTTTGGACTAACCCAAGGACCGCTTGGAGGCATTTTTCGACAGGCATTTAACTTAGTTCCAGTCTTCTCTAAGAAGCACACGGTCACAGACGCCATATTTGTGGACAATGATTGTTCCGCTTTATAGTGCGCGCCAGCCCGGCTCTAGATGATGGGATTTACGGCATGAAACAAAATCTGCAATCCCAATTTACGAAAAAGTAAAGGCTCCATTCAGCGGACAAAGACTGGCAGAATCCATGACCCCTTTCCCTAAACGAGTCCAGATGTATTCCAGCTATGGATTTTCAGTTTGGCCGAAATCTGCTGAGGTCAGCTAACACTAAAGAAAAACAGGAATATTTCCAGATTCTGCAATCGAAAATGAAGGGAGACTTACATTAGAAAACAACCTCCTCCGGTCCTTAATCCAAAGTTTTGTTGATAAATATATCTTGTATATAATTCACGCCGTTTGAAGCTTACGATGGGTTTACTTTTAATGTTGAAAGGAGAGATGCACCGATTCCGCCATCCGCCATCACAGAAAGCATTCATACTCCAAGTACTTTTGGTATTTTCTCATGGTAGGTTCCGTATTTTCGTTATTTTGGAACACAGCTGGCGCAGTGTCGTATCTGCACACAGAAGGGATTGCTTCTGAAGAGAAGTTTTGGGCAACGCACTTCTAAAAAACATCACCATGCACTAACGAACGGTAATCGTTTTAAAATGTAGTGAAAAATTATGAACGCAAATTTCACGATAAGAGTGAGCCATGTGTACCTCAAACAAGTTGGGAAGGTATAAATTTAGTCGCGTTCGTACTTTGCCAGTTGATTATTTCATACGTAACTAGCTTGCTTTGCCGGCTGTGACTCTCTTTAATTGAATTCTGCGGGAAACGAAAATTCAAAAGATTCTTACGGAGATATGAAAGGTAAACGGAACCTCTTTCTACCACCTTTATGTTACCTTCTCTATATTTGAAAGAGAATCATTAAATGCATACCGAAAGTCACGAGTATTAGCAGATGATCAATTACCAAAAATTTAGGTAGAAAATGTTTATTCAAACTTATGCGTGGAAATCAGCTAAGCGTGACTGAACTCTTCGACTGTTTTCTCAAGTGTTAGTTTTATTGTGGTATTGTCCTTAAGAGTGAAAAAGCCAGGAATGTGAGCTCAATAATTGTCTTAAGCAGTTGGGGATATTCATTCTTAAATTGTAAACGCGCCTTTTTAATGAACCGGAAAGCCATTTCCCTATTTTGAGTCTGTGACCCAAATATTCTATAATGGAGATGACGGTGCTAGATCTTATCAGAGAAGGGTAAATTCCGTACTCGAGCCAAGTGCCAAGTGACTCGTCCAGCCGGTGCCTGGGTCTCGAAACCAGCTTTTAGTCGATAACCCTACTTTCCCTGATCAAAAATTGGTTCTTTATCTTTTGCAAAGGAATTATTTCAGTGAACTTTAGTTTTTCGGCTAATATTTCCCGTTTCTAATTCACCTTAGTTTTTGAGCTGCATACCTGCTAAGTATCCATAAGCCATTTGGTTAGAAACAGATAGGAACGTACCCTTCTTTATCTTGATTTCAGAATTTTCACTCATAAAGCTAACTTCAGTACAGGACCTCTTTTTTTAGAGACACGAGTTCGCCAGCTACTTGATCACCCGAGCCGAATTTCAGGTTACACACTTCTACGTTTTCATCGACAACATTTTCTCGGTGTGTATGGTATGTATAGGCGATGGTAAAAGCTTATAAAGATGCAGCGAGACGCAACGGATTCTCTTCGTTTTAGACTAATGATTACACCGTTTTAATCGAATTGAAAGCAGATTTTAAAGAGTCTACTTCCATGTTAATGAAACATTAATTTATTTGTATCGCGTGAGGTTAGTAATATACTGCATGATTACTGAAAATGGGCCTGGAGTAAGTAAGGTTCGGAATTTCTTAAATATGTCTTTGTTTAAATCTAATTCGCGAAGAAACTAAGGAAAACAACGTAGTTCTATCGCTTGATGAGAGACAAGGCCAATTTCAAACGGAAAGTATGGGACACCTGCTGTTCTCATCAGTAATTCGCTACATTAAAAATGTTATGAACTAATATTGTCATTGGCGCCTCAAACACTCGTCAATCAAAACTATTCAGGCGAAAAGAATGAAATCAGTCAGAGAATGACATCATTTTCTATCTCATTAGCCCATTGGATGTTTATAGTGCCAACAGGACGACGAGCTATGCAAAGATCAACAGTCACTAGTTAAAAGCCGCGATGAAAATCAGCTGATTACCACCGATAGTAATTGTCGATCGTTTAAAAAGCCTGTTTGATAAGCTTAAGCCCCAAAACAAACAGGGAATCTCTCAAGGGTGATTCCCCGTTTGTTAACAGATATTACTTCATCATAATTAAAGAGTCTCAATGATGATGTCAGTAATGATGCTTATAAATATGCTCTCACCCCCATACTAACGTAAACAAAACCATTGCGAAGCGATCAAGATTATTGAACACACCTTTAGCCATGGCTGTTATCGCTCTTAGGCTACGATCTTTCAATCTTGTTTGCAAGTGTTTATATCTTTTTGGAGTATGTACCATGTTTGCTTCATTTCCTTTTTTTGGAGGTAAGTGAATAATTGATTTGTGACATTTTTAATATGATCTTGACCGCAGACACACTGGCCGTCATGAATTTATTACGATTAAATCAGCAATTCACAAGTACAAAATGTTTCAGAGTTAGGAAAGGGTCGTTTACACTGTTATATTGCCAGATTATAGCAATTGCAGATGTTTACGGTCTCCAAAGAGTTTAAACATTTTTCGTATTTGTCTTACTAAAGATACGTAACTGTATTCATTTTTTTATCACTTTGTGATATTCCAAACCACCAGATTTTCCTCAATAGAATTGTACCAAACACGTAAAATCCTGAAATTAAGTTAGTCCTGTGCAATAGGGTAACGATTTTATTTCCAACGTGAAACTTTCTCATACTATGGGAGTCCGAGCGTAGAGTCATGCAAACCGTATATCTTGCCAGAGAACGATATCCCGGGTAAGAAATGAACATGTGAAATTAACTGATGGCGCTAAACAAAACCTGTGTATTGCCTTATTTTTTGAAATACGTATTTGATACCACTCAATCAGTGATATCCACTTATCATCATTTTTCATGTTTTGTTTGGTATTGAAACTGAAGGGAAAAAACCCTTTTGATGATTAGGCACTGATAACATCAACTTTTTCCAGAGGGGTAGTGACATTTGATCAGCATAACAGGAATATGAAAGCTTCCATTTTGGGTCTCTCTCTTCCAAATGGATGCTTGTCTCAAATGCTTTTGATATCTAAATATTAGAAGTAAAAAATTGAAGAGTATTTGATATTCTCAGCTACAATCCAAAGACACACGTTTAGTCTACAAACCATGGATTAATTATTCAGTGAACTATACGAAAGCGCTCCAGGGGAAATTTTAGAGCCTCTTGTGTTTGATGACCCTACCCCTGTCTGGAAGCTTTGGTAAATAACCAGCCTCTCTTAGCGGGGAGAGCATGACAAAATGGAACTTATTATCTCTAAAATGTTTAATTTCGTTCAACCGAAGTCGGGCTTAAGTTTAAGTCGTATGAACTACTATAACTGTCACTCATGATTAACATTGCCTTTCATGTTTTTTCTCTCCAGGTGCTGTGGGTACCGACATTCGAACAGAATGCCCGAACGACAAGATCCGGCTTAGCCACCCTCAACTTGCTGAGCCTATCCAGGAAAAGTCTTACAAAGAGCTGATCTGGACTGTTGACGATCCAGAAAAGCAAGGCCAGGACAAACAAAAGCTCGCGTATTGTAACGAGTATTTTAAATGCCACAAGTATAACATTACTGGGAGATATCAGCAGAGAATTGAGACAACAGCTGCCGTGCGGGGTGTGCTTTACATCAAACAGAAGAAGTTCAACGATAAACTCACGTACACATGCCGCGTGATACATAAAGGAAACAAGCCTCCGTGTGATTACACGATCACAGTCAGATCTTCAGCAAATTGTGAGTGAATAAAGCTTAACTTGTGAATTGGCTCTGTTTTCCCTTTCTCAAGGGTTGCAGTTGCTTTAGCGTGTTGGGGTGGTATTGCGCCTTACGGAAAGAGGCTTGTACCTCTGCTCTTCATTTGTGAATCAGCAGGCACGTGTTCCGGCAAAAGGAACGCTTTTCCGCACTGTTGACTTACCGAAAAAAAGTGGGGGAAGTCGCAGGCTCACCAGGACCGCCTGCCACACTCCTATTGACATAACGTCTTCGAAAAGCCTTATTTTTTTGTGAATAAATTAACTACCATAGTTTAAAACATGGCTTAACTGCAGAGATTGATTTACTTTGAAATCTCTATTCAAATTTTTTCGCTACAGTGCTTACGGGAAGCTACCTTAGTCCTTACATTATCTCTTGAACTCCCAAGATCTGACAGTCAATTCTCCCCTCCAGCTGCTACATATTTCCTTTAGTTTGCCTGGATAATGTATGGATATGGCAGGGAGAAGTTAGATGTTAATCACTGGGAGTTAAAGTGTTTACAGGCAAGATTTACAGTGCTATAGTCTAATCTGTCTGCCTTTTCCCTCTCAAGGCTTGTCCACGACTGTTGGTAAAAGCATCGACCTGAGCCGTCCGATTCATGGAAAATTTTCAAAGAATGACATGGAAGACATATCATGGTACAGGATTCTTCAGGGTGGTGGAAAGGAAAAAATTGCGCACTGCAGTCCATCCAGGGTTTTGTGCACATTGATCAATTGCACAAGATCTTGCCCAGAATATTTAACAAGGTTAAAGACAGACGGACTGTCAGTCATCCTGACAAAAGTCACGCCCAATGACCGCGGATTAAGATTTCAATGTGAGTTACATCCCAGAATCCAACGGGCATCTCGAGTTTACATCATTCGGGTGAGAGATGTCGCCTTACCCCGACCAGGTTAGTTCATAGACCCTTAGTTTCAAGATAAGGGCAGAGGGGCGTCACACGAATGTCAGCCTGGTATTTGGAGCATACCAGGTTGTTTTCTGATTACGATTTATCATTTTTTTTCACCCCGAGACCCCCCTCCTTCTTAACTGCTCTCTTAGATTTTGTTTACGTTACCTGGTGAGCAGCCCCTTCATTGCGTTAACGGTGTGTTAAATTGTCAGGGTGACCTATTAGGCCACTTTAAAGGAAGTGAACAACTTTAAATGCAGCTGTCCCTTTTCCCCTCTAATGTAATTCACAAACGCGCAGATAGTTGAGGTTAGCCTAGAAGAAACGTCTGTTTTTTGCTCCATCGCACAAATTTTCCGGCACTCATCGAGCTTTAACATTTCCCTTTGTTTAGCTGTCGACGGATCAACTTCACCCTCCATTAAGACAGCACTGCCCACCCGAGCCAACGCTCGATCTTACACTATGAACAACAGTTGGCAAGCACCTGTATTAAACGTCTCTGTTATTTGGGTGATCATACAGTTCATGATCTCAGTTTGCTCCATGCCATAGAAACAGCAGGAGAAACCACAAGCTTGTTCAGTGGAAACTTTATTACAGATCCTTGACTGCGAATAATAGCATCCAAATATCTTGGGCTATCATTGCATAAGACAAAAGATTGTCATTAAATCTCTTGCCTGAGAAAGGAACATTCACCCACAAAGAGATGATAAGATTGTGCGAAAACACAAAATGTATATTTATTAAGAGAAATTTGCTCAAAGTTTTAAATATAACGCTTCCACTTTTTAAAATATTGTGCGATAATATATAAAATAAGCCTCTAAAAATTCCAAAAATATTTTTAAAAATGTTCAATTGTTCGCTATTTAATTGGTGTAAGCCTTCTTAATTCAATGAAACACAAGCATTATGGCAAATAATTTACGTATCTGTAAAGCTTACTCAAGCTGACTAATCGTCAGCTTTGATAAATAGCAATTCGTATCTGTGACTGTTGAATTGTCTAAGTCTCTGTAAAAATCTCACCTGTAGAATCATGATCGAAATGGATAAATGATTCTTAGCTTACAGCACTGATGTTCGAATCAGGACAATGAAAGACCAAACCAATTGTATAAAGTTCTGTCACCTTGATAATACGCTCCCAATCTACAAGAGGATGGTTCGTCATCTCTTTTTCATAACGGATATCTAAATGTGAAGTTTTAATCTTTACTTTAAACTCACTTTAGACAAACGTTTGTAAAAACAGCTGTTACTATAAGGTTGAATTGATACTGTGAGGTTACCTTACAAATAAAATGTACAAGATTACATATAGCTGTGGCCAACTGTTTCCCAATGTTTGTTTGTTTTTTTGTCTTTTCGCCTTGTTTATGAATGCACCAACTTCATTAGGCCAAAACTGCCCAAAGAAAAATTTTTTGATCCCTTAGCTAAACATTGGCTCTGACAAGTTCGGACGACGTGTTTCGCCCCACCAGACTTTTTCAGAGATTACCAAGCTTCAAAAGGTTTATCGTCTTGTTTTCGTTAATCAAGTTTTTAGACACACAAACTTCCATTAACTACCAGCCGGAGAACTGATTACATTTTTTACAGATATTCCATTACGGCAATTTTATTAGAAATTATCTACACCTCTTACCAGAAATTTCAGTCAAAAGACAAAGTCCAATCTTTCTCGTTTTTCAGTTGCATTAAGGAGTTGGCAAATGTTTTCCTTACTGATTTTCAAGAGCAAATGGACATTTGGCGGTGTTAATATTCGACATGGTTTGTTTTCTGAGACAAAAAAAGGGTTTGTGATCTGACACCAAGCTACAATATAATCTCTTAGATCTTCCCAATTGTCCCAGTAATTCTCAAGCGATTGGGACGTTAGAGCGCTTTTCGAATGAGCGTCGTAAAACTCAAACCAAGGTTACCTACAGCGCGGGAAAACGCAGGTGACCAAGTGCTTTTAATCTTGCATTTGATTGGTTGAGAGAGGTGCGAGTTTTCTGGACCAATCACAGCGTAGTAAAGCAAAGCCAATTTGTTTTCGAATTACTTTGATATTCAAATGAAAACTGTTCGAATGTAGGAAGCACGGCCAAACGAGTTTATGTGTAAGACCGGTTTCCATGCCATAGCTCAGATCGTTCGTAATATCTCCTGAACTAACGTGATCGAGAGGAAGATATCGAAACCAACTTTTGAGGAATTGGACTCTTTAGACGATAAAACAGAGAAGTAATGAAGCCACACAACTTTGATTTACCGTTGTGAAAGTTTAAAGCTGATGAAGTTAGTCTTGTGTTGTTATATCAAAGGTTAAAAATATATTAAAACTAAAAGTTATGAAATTAAACAACGAAATTAAAATATTCTCCATCTGGTTGTAAAAAACAAATGCCAGCCTAGCTTGGATCGTTCAATAATTTATACCCTTTTGAATGTAGATATTCGTCATCTGGTATGGATCTCTCTGTTTAAGTTCAAATATTCCATTCTTGTGTAATGCTGTAAAGTGACGGAAACAAAGTCAACAAAGGAAAGTAACGAATCAGTCAGCCTGCTAGTTATGAAGTAACAGTGCTTCCCAGGCTAATGTCCAATATGCTTGCAGCCAAGCGCCGTTGCAACAGTTCAAAAATAGCCTCCAATTGGTGTGAATGTATGCTCAGATATTCGTCTTGGGACACTAATTGTTCTGAGAAGCGAACAACTTTTCAAGAATGAAGAGGAAAACTAGGAGTTTCGAGAAACAGACACCATCCAATGAAAAACACTTTACGATAATGAAGGCTAATGTATTAGAACAGCTTTTATATATTTTTTGCAAAGCGTGGAATAACACGTTTACCAATTCACAAAGAGACTTTTATCGCATCAGACACAAGTGTAAATGTTAGGATATCTGGTGAAGAATATCACCAGACGTACCCACTTTGAACTTAAACATATTCGGTCACGTGATGCGTTTACACCAATTGACCGTCAACTAACGATTGAACTCTAGGGAGACCTCTTAAGAAAATAAAGCTGTCAGCTTAGATTCCGATGATTATTTACAAACCGAGTAGATGGTAGAAAACTTTAGCTGCACTTTTTCGCTCTGTTAATTGTGGAGGACATAAATTCCTGAACACAACTTGCCCGTCGCTGAGTCGCATGGCTCCGTTTACCATCCTACAAGAAGGGAAAAAAAAATGATCATACAACGTACTAGAAAAAGACTAAATACATCTGCAACAGTGAACAATTTTTTCGAATAACAGGCAACAAACTGGTCGATTTTGTTGAGTTTTGACTCTATTCTTTCCCCCTTCGAATGTAGGAAAATGGTAAAACTAAAAAGGTGTGACGAATCAAGTCTGTTTCACCGTCACTACCGTCAGACCCGACGACTAACAATCGGGCAGCCGTCGGCATATCACGAGATCATTTCGGATGGTACCATTCTCAATGGCTTTTACCTTCACGCGGAAAGGGAGAAGCGAAGCATATAATCAATCTTGTGGAAAAGCAGTTTTCTCGACTCTTGCAGATTAAAAAAAAAAACATTTCAATGTGTTTTTGTAAATTTTGCATAACAACAGTTTTTCCTTAAAAGTTACCTTATACACTTTTTCGTGGGACACTGGCGCGCGGCTGAACAAAATTGATTGGAATGCGCATGCCTTTCGTTTGATCACTATGTTGAATAAGCATTGCTGCTCCATACTTTCAGTATATTCAACATACCTCCAAGTATCACTCGTCTGCTCCTCGAGGGACTGCGTGACTTCAGATTGCTCCATAAGAGTTGGAAGATCTCCTGCTCGTTAATATCAATTGAAAGCACTACGATGAAATTATTTTCTAAATAATGAAAATAATTGAACAAAGCATATTCTTGTTCTTACCAATATCTTCCATGTATTCATCGAAATCGGACGGTTCGTGAATAGGGGACAACAGTCCAGTCATGGAAGAGCGAAGTAAAGAAGACGGTCTGAAAACACGGAAAGTGAATAAAAATGGCAATAGTAGTAGGTAATTTTCTTGCTGAAAAGTAACATTTTCCGTCATTTAAAGATGAAGCCTACTGGATTGTACCTTCGCAGTGGTGCAGTTGGTTCCATTTCTGGTGGCTCCATGTCTTGATCGGCACTAATTGGAAATTCCCCGACTTTTACTTTGCCATCTAAAAAATAAAAATTAAAAGTTAAAACTTCCGTCTATTTGAATGCGTCAGAAAGCGCGTAATCGACATGTCACTTTTTGCAAAGGAAAGGAAAATAATCATACGAAGTCTCTGACAAAGTTTGTTTTGTGATATTTTACCTGTATCTGGGGTAAACCCAATGGTACTAGCTTCAGAGCGCTCAAGCAATCCAGATTGTTCAGCATTGGGATCATCCCTGAGGATCTCTTTTTCAGCTGGGGTTTCCATGTCTCTTGGAACCTAACACAAAAAATCGATACACTTTGAGTGCAAAGTGAAGTGGAACTCAAGTAAACAAACAAAACCTGTAGCTTCATGAAGAACTCTGCATTTGCCCAATAAAGCCTTACAATTCCTTGGAGGGATAATATTCTTAAATAACTGAAACCTTGAAATTAAAACGCAAAGTGAAGGAGGACAAAACGAAAAAAAACCAAAACAAAACAAAACAGGAAAAAAAGAAAGAAAGAAAGAAAAAAAAAGAAAGAAGGACTGAAGATTTTCGCGTTCATAACAAACTCTGCTATTTCCTAAAAAGCCCTTCGACTCCACAAAGTGATAAAAATTGTTAAAAATTGCATTAGATCTTTTTATCAAACACCAAACGAGTAAGGGATGCGCTTTAGTTTTTGATATAAAACAATTAATAATTTTTGACGCTCGTTATCAGCTTTATCAGTTCAGGCACCTACCTGAAAGCTTTCAGCAACGGGAGGCAGCAGGCTGTCCCACTCCGAGACATCAGACTCGCTTGAACGATACTCTTCAGGGTTAATGGCAGCATTCCTTCTCCATAGGTCAATAAAGGGGTCACCCATCATGGCTGAAAGTTAAAACCGAAAAACAAGCACATTTCCCCGGCTTCTATTGCACCAGCGAGTAAGGGCATTGCCACGCACCCACGCGGAATATTACTCCATCGAATTCGGACTTAACTATCCGTAATCAAGCGCGGACATTATCACGCCGCTGCGAGATAAATAAGCACGGCAAGAAGAATTGAAAACTTAACCAACGTTACTGCTAGTGCTTATTCCAGTCTATGGTGTGAAGCGAAAAAAGGTATGAAGCGACCAAGAGGGCTCTGTTAACTCCCTCACCTAACGTGGTGCCATTTAATCACATATTGCTTAGGGTTAACCCCTTATTCTCCCTCCCTCCCCTTCCTCCCCTTCCCCCCCAGGACTTCCTACCTACTGGCACTGTGTCAAGTCACTGGACCTGGCTCACGATTAAAAAAAAATGTTCACTTTAAGAAACTATCGATCGTTGCGTTTCGTAGGATAAGTGTTTCTACGAATACACGTCAAACATTTCTCATGCTCTTAGCACAGTTAGAGAGAAAGGAGAAGTGAGGTGTAGTTATATTACGAATACAACTATCAAAGGGTCTCACTTGGTTATGACAGTATGGCTAATAGTTGAAATTTTCAAAATTTCAACTATTAGTTGGCGATTTTACGGCAAACAGTGAAACCAAAATGACACCCAATATGGGAAAATTTTTACATTTCATTTTTTTTTATTACTCACAGTTACAATTTGTCAATTTTCACGTCTAAAACCTATATTTTTTGTCTGTTTTACGAGAAACGTTTAACCCTATTAAAACCCTCTTCTCGCTATTCGAGTTTTAGCTCATCAACTGACCTTCTGTAACCGGTGCCATGAATAGATCCTTTGCAGAAACTAGTGGATGCTCCTCAAGTTCCTGAAATAAGATCGGTGAATAGCTCAAATTATTAAAACTGTATATTCTGGAAGGTTGTAATACCCTGTCCCTCCCTGTGGGGCTGTTGGAACTATTCAGATCTTTAACACAACAGTAGTAACATGCTGTGTCAATACCCTTAGCTACGCCCCTGATTTATTGAGTCAGAAAGGACACAGGATTTAATTGCTGCAAGAGTTAAGCGAAATAAAAACGTTTGCATTACCCGGGCTGGCGGGCACAAAAGGGAAAGGAGGGAGGGGAGGGGGGGGGGGAGGAGGCAATTTGAGCTCTTTAAAGTTTTAGTCTAAAATTTCAGGGGCTGAAAAAATTTCGAAAGCTCTGCCTTTCAGGCCACTGGTATTAGGAACTAGACTATTGGTTATTGTAGAAAAACTGTAAAAGGATGGGCTAACTTGCTAGGACTAGTAAATAGTTTTTGTTTAAAAAAAGGTATTAAGTAACTAAAACTTTGCCAATAGACAATGAACTAAGTGTTCATTAAACCAATAAAGATTATTCCTCACTCGTGCACACAAGGTTTCTCTTCCACCTGTTTCCACATTATGCCTGATCACATCTTGGTCAATCTGTGTGCTTCGGTCCACAACCAGTCTCCTTCTCTTCCTGGGTGGGGAGGGAGTTGCAGTCTCGATGGGGACCCCAGGGGTAACTAATCCCCTGGCAACAAGATCCTGATAAGAAATTCCTAGTGGTTAGAATTGTGAACTTGTTTCTCAGACAAAGTCCAAGTTTCCATTAATAACACACATAATTTTTAAGGTTCTGTGTTACTGCAGTGTTTACACTAAGAACTTATTCAACAGAACCAGGTAGGTCGAGGTCATATATATTCGAAGCCCTCCGATTTTGCTTGTTTCGACTAAAATTAACTAGTTCCCATAATCTAAGGTAAACAAGTAAGAACTCTTTCCAACAAAACTCATTGAAAGACTGTGACTGTCATGATCTCTCACATTTGTCTACCAAGTTTGATGAAAAGAAATTACGTTTTGCGCCATGAGTTTCCAACAAGTGAATTAGCGAACCAGATTTTATGACAATGGGATCTTCAGTACGTCAAAGATTTTATGTTTTTTTTTTTCGTCCACTGTTGAGAGAAATGGGAAACCCATGATATTCCAGTAGAAAACTTCTACATTATTGCAATGACATGTACCTTGTCAGGCTCTGGCATAGTCGTGGGAGCCAGCTCCAGCTCAGCTTCAGATGCTGTTGAGAAAAACACCACATTACCAGGTAAGGAATTCTCATGAGGCTCTTGTCGTGAGGTGAGATAACTTTTGTAATATGTTAATTACCTTGGTGTGATCAACAACACATAATCAGCTGCTTAGAATTGAAACCATCACAGTCTCAACAAATGATGATCATTCCCTCCTTCACCCGTTTACTCCCAGAAGAGATTAACACTTAACTTCTCCCTAAAATACCCATACATTATCCAGCAAAAAGGTATAAAGAATACTCAAACTTATCTGCTAGGAATTTATCTTGATTTAACACCAATTTTTCGTAACCGATTTACAACGAAATGTGCAGTAGCTAGAGAGGAAATTTAATGATCAGCGCCCAGTTGTCCGAAGGCCGATTAGCGCTAACCCGGGGTTAAGTTTTAATCTGGGTTACTTTATTCCCTTCTTCAATTCTTTTTAGAACATTCAGGCATCAAATTGTAGGCAAAAATAAATATACTGAATATGCCTTTAAAGCTCTCAAATCTGAGGTCAGATTTCACGCTAACCCTGGGTCATCTTAACCTAGCTTTGAACAACTTGGCACAGATCTTACGAGTTAAAGGATTAACAGCCTCTTCTGGTGTTTTGCCGCAAACCAACAAACCAAGTTCGTTTACTTGAACTTGAGACTCATTGGTAAACTTTCGAGGAAAACAAAAAGTAACGCAAAGGAAAATTCTCTTCAAAGTTTTTTCAAAATTCCAAGGCACATTTGAAAACCAATTTCGTAAGGTCTCAAAAAATAAACAGAAATGAAACGGAAAAACAAGTTAAGCACCAAAGAATATTTTTTCCTGGTATTTACAGTCTACTTATAAGAACACTGTTCTTGGAAAATGTCACTAAGAGCCTTCACTGCTGGAAAGGTCTAACATCGTTCTGGACGCTTTCCAAATCGATTAACTATGTCAATAAACACTACTAAAGCAGTTGTGAAAAAAAGCCTGGAAAAAAAAAATCAGGCCCGTACAGGATTTGAACCCATGACCTCTTCGATATCAGTGCAGTGTTCTACCAACTGAGCTAATAAGCCAACTGGGAGCTAGTTTTTATGTTGGTTCGTAATAAACCCATGAAGTGATGAATCAATGACTGTGAATATATATGAAAACCATTAGTGTGAACCCACACCGCCCTGAATTTTTTCAGGCCTTATTTTGTGCTACTGCTTAAGTAGCGTTCATCACTGTGAACATAGCTTTCCTATTCATTTCTTAAACCGCAGCTCACATATATGATTTTAATAATATATAGATTTAGGCAAGCCTAATAGCAGAGCTCGCTTTTTTTTCCCCCGCACGTCTCTTCAACAAAACTAAAGCCCCTACTATGGATAAAGTGCGTGGTAATATTAATTTATTCGCAACTTCTCCGTGTCCATGTAAAGGACTGATTATAAGATAGTGCCCGTGGTACAGTTGGCCGCGCATGCTAAAAGTAGCACCTTGTACGGTCGGTCGTACGGTTGTACATCCAAATTTTTTCGGCTTGATAGGTTACTACTATTTTGTATACTAATGGGGCTACGCTCTGCGAGCTCCGCTATGATCGCAGTCATTAATGTCAATTTTGACTTAGTACCTCCATATTCACAATTGAGCCTTAGCTTTTTATTTATTCTGGAAAACCATTTTGTTGATGAAAAGCACTATACTTACCTTCAAGTCTTGGTACTAATTTTCCTGTCTCTTGATTAACAATAAGCACCTCTGTTGCAGACGGTTCATCATCTAACAGATCCCCTGTAAGGGCAGGGGAGTGGGGAGGGGAGCGGGGAGGGGGTGTTGTAGATCTGATAGAAGAGAAACAAAGAGTGAAACACTTACCAGTAACAAGGTTAAATAATTAATGAATAATATTTTGTGGTCGCATATTGTTGTTCAAACTCTTCTCGAATGAAATCTAACTACTTGTTGTACTCATATGTTGATTATTAAGTCATGCAACGGCATTAAATCTGGAATGGACCTGCATCTCATCGTTGTTTTGAAAAAACAAGGCACACCTCACGTAGTTCATGCGTTCTAAGTCCACTTGAAAACCCGAACTTTGCTCGATCAACGTGGAATGTTTCTTTAAATTCGTTTGTAAACTGACGTCAGGGTCACTAAAGAAAGAGAGTTTTCCGTATAAAGCTATACTGTCTCTCTCCTCAGCGCTGTTGAGCTGCAATTTTTTACCCTGGAAAGTTCCCTGAAAAGTCACCCATGTCCACGTCTATTTCTATATAGAAAAAAAATACCATACCACTGTCTTTTCAAAGGCTTAGGTGCGGCCTTTCGATTTGGAGTCTAGTGCAGTAACCATAAGAGTACCTGGTTCCCCGTGGGTACTATAAAAGACCAGTTGCTATTCACCTTTGGACTGTAAGAGACTCTTTATCACGCTTTCAACATTTCATTCTCTTAGGAGGAGTCTGCCGTTTAAACTCCATTATGATTAAATTGGCAAATAAAGGAAGAAAATCAGATAAAACAACGACGACATAGGAAAAGATGCATGGAGAAACTACCCACTGTTGGTCACTTACTTCTCCCTTAGTTGCTGATCTTTCCACCGTTCATCTTTCGGCTGCAGGGAACGCTCTTTTCTTTCGCTCTTCTTTTCAAGTTCTTTGGGAGTTTGCCGCGACAGGGGTGCCTCCGAAGTGTAAATGTCTGGCAAAGATGCTTCTCCTGTTATGTCGATTTCGTCTGGAATCTGTTTCAATGAAATGTAGGAAAGCTTTGTGCTATGCACTTTAGATAGGGTAAAGTTGCGCGTATACTCAAGCTAGCTGGCGTTACAGGTGCATGGCCTACATGAAGGTGTCACACCCAGCGATCAAGTCTTATCCCAAAGCAAGTGGCCCACTGTTAAAGGTTTATACGAATATAGATTACTTATGTTGGCACACGACTGTTTTTATAACTTCTTCCCTGTTCCTATTATGAAGCTGCTTACGAAATATGAGTGCAACTATTGTTGAAAACTGTACGATACGTTAATTATTCTCAATTTGATTGACGTTTATAAGGGATTTCGTTTATTTATACATAACTAAGCAAACCTGTATGCAGCACGTGTTTTATCGTCCTATATATGGCACTGTTCCATGTGCTTACAACGGGACGTTGAGTGTGTTTCCTTCTAATAAGCCGAGAGTTGTGAGTGGGAGTCAACCAAAGCGTAATAGCAAAATTGTTGAATCAAGCAAATAAATCGTGAGTTTATAAGGAACCGTGGTACAGCTTTTTCACGTTTTCGACACTGTACTTGCGAAGGAAATGGAATTTTTGTCACCAAAACCAAACACTGAAATTCTTCGCAAGTCCACTCGTTACAAAGCCGTATCTCTGGAATTCTCTTGACGATCATACGCGTGCAATCTGAAGCAAAAGCTTATTTGAAAAGTTTCTTAAACGCAAAACTTCATGCGAATAGATTAGTTAACAGATATGTTATCTATTTTTTAAAATAGGTTAGATAGTTTTTAAAACTTTTATTCACTTGTAAACTATGTTTTAACTTTTAAATACACGACCACATCAGCTCCGTTGTAATTTTTTTTAAAATTTTTTTTATCGTGTTTAAATAAATGTTGTTGTTGTTGTTTTGTCAATGGGGTGATGGCTTTCCTGGCCAACTTTTCAGTAAAATTTTGCCCATTTTACAACTAAACGTTTACTCATTTCTGTTACGGTTAAAAGAAAAATATTTATGGTTATCTTATTATATGACTCACGATTAGAATTTGACAATTATCACGCCGAAAGGTTAACTTCTTTTGCTGTTTTTTGGCTAACAGTTAACTCCATTAAGACTCTGCTGTATGTGTGGAACTTGTAATTTTTCTTATATCTAACTCTGAATCTTCTGTTTGAGAAAGCTAGACGTACCATCTGACCGATAGACCACAATTCATACAATTTTTGTCTTTGAAAGGTAAGCAAAATAAAATAATTTATTCAAAAGCCTGAAGAATAATATACTTACTTTAATCGGTTCGTCTATCCGCATCCGAATATGGTCAACCTCCGCTATTTTAATGTTGCCTTCCCTGGCTTCAATCGGGCTTGGTTCATTATCTGATCCCGATGGAGGTCTCCACTCTGGGTGCCACACAGGGCTTCCATATTGCATCGGAGTTCCGGGTATACTAGGAGGACTGAAGCGTCCCACTGGTAAGGGAGGTGATACTGAAGGCATTAGATGTCCGTCTCCATTTACAACAAAGTAACCTTCCTGTGAAAAGTACATTTACAATAGAACGTGGCACAAATGACTAGATTACACTTATAACCGCTTGGGTTTAAGAACGGATTTGTCCTCGAAAAATGCGTGAATTAATCACGCAAGTTTTTGTGTGCCACGTTGGGAATTAACTTTGTGATTTGTAATGTACAAATATAGACTCTGCAAGGAGGCTCAACTTGCCTTTAATAAGAAACAAGTTTGAAGTAACTCTAGCGATGCTTTCCGATTTCTCTTATATTCAAGGTGTTGGTTATACACTAAGATCGGTATACATATTCTCCAAAATGCTCTCTTTACAATCCCTGAGGCGCTGACAAGAAGAATTTGTATAACAAACAACATGATCATGAGCTTCTTCAGCTGATGATCATTTCCTTTAATCTCCTGACCTGAATGTTTGAGTCAGGGGTGATGATGTAGGGAGGAATTACATGCCAGTCACTCTGAGGACTTACAGAGTCAAGTAGTGCTTACCAATCCTATCAGTGCTACAGAATGTACGTCCAGATCCACGCGGAATGATTCACTTGTGAAATCCAAATCGTCTGTGATAACCTCCTCCCTGGTGATAGATCATACATACAGTATGTTTTTTTTTCTTTTAATTTTGGAGAGGATTTTATAACATATACTTCTGCTTCAACCCTAATCTAGTGTCACTTAATTGTTGCAAATGAGACCAGTTAAAATTGCAATAACAGTACTGAAAGTCTGTAAGAACATGTTTTAGAGAGATCAGCAATGTGGTTAGAGACAACAAGAAAACCAGGTAAGGAATTTGATGTTCAGTTTCATTTTTCACATTTTTCCTCTCCTAAAAAGCTCCACTTAATATTTATAGGGCACAATTGAGAGTATTTGGGGTGTAATGCAACATGTATAATTTTCACTGAAATAAATCTCATTTGACCTGCACATGAAATTCCAATCAAGCAATAAGTTTAAAACAATTCAGGCTTTGACAGGATTCAAACCCTTTCCTTCCAGATACTAGCTGGGCACTACTACTGTCTGAGAAAGTAAGAGTACAAACATAATAGAAGCTTTGTTATCGAGTTTTGTATGTCTTCGAATTGCATCAGCTTTCATAGAGAGCATTAACGTCTATTATTATAATGAGCAATTTACGGGAAAAAAAAATTAGTTGTTACACAGGTCTTTTGAAGACTATCTTAAGTGGATTTATCGTCTCTGTTTTTTTCCTGCTTAGAGTTTTAGAACTATACCAGAAGCTTTAAAAATCATCGTATTACCAGCACCTTCCTATAACCTGCACCAATGACTACTTGTGGTAAATTAACAGATTACCCATGGGTGATCAGCCAGAAAATACGGTAGTACCGTGAATAAATTTCAAATTTTGCTGAGTTTGCTAAGTAGTTTATCTGTTACCTTAACATTGGATTAATCATATCAATTTCACTGGTTCTCAAAACCAAGGCATTCCTTAACGTCTTCCACATCTGTGCCACTTCAGCTGAAAAAATAATAATCACACGAGATTATCCTGAATCATAAAAAGTTCCCAAAAGTGTTCTGATGAAATTTGTCCTTCATATATACCCTCTCATTTGAGATGTTTGATGCACTTATAATTTAATTTTCTCTTGGAGCTATTAATTTTATTTTATTAAGATTGTGTAGTATCAGAAAATATCTATATCAATCCTAAAGACCATGATCATAGTAACTCAGATGGCTGTGGGGTAAGGTGGGGTGGGTTGGGGTGGGGTTTCAAGTGTTACCAGTTTAAAAGGAAAATAAGCATAACATAAGGAGAGTTTGGGAATCACCTAGCATTTCATATAGCACCTGAAATTTCATGATTGGTTGATCTTCCAGGGTATAATAGCTTCCTTGGGATATAAGCATGCTTTCCAAAGAAAATCAGTTGGTAGGGAAATGTGAAATGTTGAGTAAAAAAAGGTCAGTTGGAATAAATATTTTGGCATAAGAATAGTTTTCACAAAATTTCTCAAAGTTGATGATATAAAACAAGAACAAAAATTCACACTGTTGGTAAGTTTTGAGCTTGGTAAAGAAATAGAAAAAAACGTCTTTTTCTGTCTTGTCCTATGCTTGTGACAAGACAAAAAAAGCATCTTTTCTAGTTTCTAGTCTTCTGACATTGATCTCTATTTCATGGGAATCCTTTCCTTTGTTTAAATAAACTGTAATGGCTTTATATAGTAGTTACCAATCACATAAGCATAATCTTTGACTGTGATCAAGTTTTTTTGAGGTGGGGAGAATGGTGTAGGGTTGGAATTGAATGGTTGAGAGGTGAAAATGAATATGTGAAGTGTGAATTTTACAGAAAGGTAAGCATGGTTCATGAATTCATCAACCAGCGTGAGGTGTAACTGGCCTCCTAAAGTACATTGACCTGTGAAATGTTTCCTCTCAATTTGTTAAAACCTGGAGATTTCCCAGAAACCTAACATAGAAGAAAAATAATTTGAAGGAGTCTCTTTTAAATTTGTGATGCCTGAAATGCTGTTTAAGATATTTATACCTGAATCATGAATTTTCTAAAATTTGCACGTAAAACAGGATCAGGATTTAGTGTGTAAAAAAAATGTAAACACACTTACTCCAGACAACTTTGGTCTGTTCTCTATAGATGCGCACTACCCCAATCATCAAATGAGATGACAATCGAAGAGCAAATGGAACCACAGGACTCATAATATCATGACTAGAGAAAAAAAATTAATAAGTGAATAACATCGAGCAAGAAGGGTTTGGACATTTACAAAATAATTTCAAATCATTACAACACTATTTTTTTATTATTTTCAGGTTGACCTTAGCAAGGAGATTAATTTTGGGGTGACATTAATTTAGATACAAATTTAGCAAAGTACCAATCAACAGGCCAACACTGTTAGTGGTAAAAGAGGATGGTTTTACAATTCCTGGCCACTAGCACCTGCAGAAGTTCTTCTGTGACAAATTTTGTCTGTAAGTGAAAGCCTTAGACTGCAAATTAACCCTTTAACCCCTAAGAGTGACTGGCATCTAATTTCTCCTTACAATATGACCCCAGTGTCACAAATTAATGTTGTGAGAATAAAGGAAATGATCACCAACTAAACAAGCTCTTGATTAATAAACAAATTCTCCTTGTCTACACTTATGGAAATGTATTGAGAATAGAAAGGAGAATATAAATACTGATGATGGAGTGTAAGGGGGGAATTGTATATACCCATGTCTTAATGTACTACCCACTATGCTGTGATTAGTATGAAAATTACCCAAGACCTGATTCTTATGTTTCATTTGTCTTATGATTGGGAAATTGTTGTTTAGCATTCATATGTTATAGAAAGAAGCTCATGGATATCATCAAATTAGTTTTTATTCCAAGCAAACTAGTATGAATAACAAGTTTAACTGAACAAGCGGACACTGAGGACGTACCAAGCTCTTGTTATATTGACTCTTCGAAACTCTCGATTAGCCATTCCTTTTTTAGATTCGCCATAAGTAGCAGCCAACCTTTCATGAAAGAAAAGAAAAATTTCATTCTGGAACCGGCTTAGTTTTAATTCAATATTGTTTATTCTTAAAAGCTGCAACTTTGGAATGTTTTCAATACTTCATCAAAGAACTATTTTCGTTTCAATGCAAAGACATCGTATTACAGTAAAAAAAAATAACCTTACCAAATCAATCCAAGTTTTCCTTTACGCGTTAAAATATCAACTGAATAGAACATCGTTTGTCCTGAAGACAAAGTCAAGATAATCGAGAGCGTCAATTGTAGGGTTTCAAGTACTTTCCAAAAGATGTCTGTAAATATTGTTCATATAACAAGACACGACATCTTTTTCGGGTCTACATAGGCTTAAATCACTTCAAGCTTTAGCGATGAGGGGTCATTGAAAGCAGTTCAAGTGAGTGTTATCTCAACAAAATGTTAAGCACTTACAGAACAGTTTTATGTGGTATACTTGGACGGCGAGTCAAAGGTAAAGCGGATCAACACAACTCCATTTACTTTGCTTTTGCGATTTTCCATCTCGTTTATACCAGGCTATGGTTTAGTGCTATTCCCCCAAACAAAAAGTTAAAAAAAATCTTGTTTCGGACACCCAAATACTAATAAAATAGACAAAATTTACATTGAAACGACGAGAAATTAAAATGGAACAAGCAATCGCAGAACATGGTTCAATCAGATCAGGAAATTATTTAGCATCTTCACCGATAATCGACGTAGAAGTCGGCACATCTTTGTTGTATTTGACACTGTTGGATACTTACCTCTCTCATCTCAAGCTGTTTTGTGCTAAAAACGATCTCCTGTTTTAACCAAACCCGATTGTTCACAAAGTTATCGTGTTTGATCGGTAATTCGACGCCACGCACAACGAAACTGTGCCGTTCATTCATCTCTAATTCGACCAATCAGAACACTTGATATAATAGCAATGGCACGTACACTTCGCGAATGAAGTGGATAAACTGTTGCTGCGGAAGAGGGGAAATTTGTCGAAGTAAGAACAAACCCAGCCACAAATATTTGATCCACCTCTCCGTTATCTTTATTTTGTCAGAAGTTAAACAAGTTTCTTCGTTACATTGCTTTTCAGGTCTGTGTCCCGTGTTTTAGTTCACGTTTAGAATTTATATAGCTCATTTTAAAATAGTTGATATCTTCAGAAGCTTGACCTAAGCGATTGAAAATTCGAATGGAAACTCGAAAGCGACCGCAAGTAGACCATTGACCAATACAGAGACATCTCCTATGTTGAGCCTCGTTACCATGCATGTCGCGCGCAAATTATTCTTTTACCTTACGTCACAAAGGAAAGTGTCCACAGAAAGCAGATTGCAGTGCTTCAGGAAATTGTCTTAGCCTTAAGATAGTTTAAATCAAAAAGGAATATAAGTTTCAACGGGAGGAAGAGCAGGAAGAGCAGGTGAGTACATGTAACGTAATTGTCTTGGCCTTAAGATAGTTTAAATTAAAAAGGAATATAAGTTTCAGCGGTAGGAAGAGCAGGTGAGTACCTCCTCCGTAACGTAATTGTTTTTGTTTTGAGCCAGTTTAATATCTATAACACAGTTTTAAACGCCAATTTTGAGAGAGCTTATTTACGCCACTTTTCCTACAGTTCGCTCAATCTCTCTTTCCAGTTTCAGTAGAGTGTCAGGTTTGTGTCTAACTCGCCTCTTTTTGGTTCCCATCATCTACAATGCGGTGTTTTGCAAGACCTCGCGTGAAAAGGAAGTTAAGATATTTGAGAAGCAAAACTAAAACTCTGGATTCTTTTCTTACCTTTGTCAGATTTATGCTTAACGTTAATTAATACAGCGCGTCGTCGTAATATTAATTTTTATCTCTGTATTTTTTCTTTCTATACTAATTGTCTCTAGATGTGATCCGACCCATTTCGGTTCGAAAAATTGATTTCCTTCAAACTTTGCCCATGAATCTGTCTTAGTCTTAAAGTAGTCGAAACCACCTTAGTCTTTCAAAATTTTGCAAAATAAATTTTTATCCGAGTGAAAATCGCTTCACCCTCAAAGACCCATTTTTGACGGCCCCAATCATCAAAAATGGCACAAACTCTGGTTTGAGAAGTTCTTATTTTCGCATCTCATATTGAGATCAATCCTTTAGGAGAACAAAGAAAATAAGTTGGCTCTTTTAACGTTTGCTTACATTGAAAACGATTTTTCAGTTGGACACCTAATTTGTCGCTGCCGCATGTGACCGTTAAGATGCAACTTTTAATCTCGGCTCAGTTCAAAAGTCCAACTTCATTCAGACTAACTAAAATAAGGTAGAGGAGTACAGAAATATGAAAATTTGTTTTGGTTTCGACCAACTTCTGACACAGCCGGCGAACATATGCACATTTTCGAAAATTCCACTTAACACTGAACAAAAAAGCGGACTTAATCAGATGCATACTTTTCGTCGCCAATTTATGGTTGACCCTGGAATTGAGCTCTACAAAGGTATTATGATCGATGATAAGTAAGTCAAAAGAAGAAAGGGGGTAAATTTCTAAAGAAACTGTGTTGCTGCTTCGGTGGTAGAGTGTAACAAGGTAATTAGGTATTATCAACGGAGTTGATAACGTGAATTTGAAGAGTTTCAAAGCTGACGTTTCTAGCGCTAGCCCTTCGCTGGAGCAAATGGAGAAATTGTAGGTTGTGTAATTGTTTGTTTGCAGAAAATTGAGCCATGATATTGGTTTGAACATGTTTACGAGAAAAATTAGAATAAATTAGAATAAATTTGATACCGTGGGGATAAAGAGTGCCGATTTGAAAGATAAAGTTTTGTTCTAGAGTTTTGTGGCTTCCCGAAATGCCTAGACGTAGGAAAAGGCCGCAAACTGCCATATGCTGCTAAAAATGACTAGGGAATTTAAAGTGTTTAGCGACTTGTTTGGATGCGTGCTTGTCGGACAGGCATGGATTCTTCTCCCCATGTGCAAATGAATGCACAAGCAATGATAGAACAACGTGAACAAATAAAATAGCGCGGAAACTATAAATCACCTTCACTTTTCCCATCTTTTATTGTTATCAGTTTATTGTTAAATGCTACCCAGAGTTACAATGATTAACATGTTTCCATTTTTTTGGGAAGTCTGTGGCACGGTCGGTTGTGCTGCCAAGCTACCTTATCGCCTATCAAAAGAAATAGAGAGAAAGGATATTAGCCGGGGCTCGCTTCTAGATATCTGTTAAGAAACACCATTTCACCATTTGCGGTAAATTTTAAAGAGATGTCGAAGGATAATCTCCTTTAAAACCATTCATGATTTGGTTCCGGCATGCTATGTCTTTGAGAAGTTTTCCCTTGGTATCCCTTTGATGGCGGAATAGGAGACAAAAGAACACTAATTATTCTTTAGGAAGGCTGCTTACCCAAAACATTAGGAACTACGTATACTCATAAGTGATTCCCTGATTAAGAAGGACCTTCACAGGGAAATTTGTGAAGAGTGCACCTCGCTAGTACAGTATGGTGATGAGTTGAAAAAAAGTGTTCACGATGACTCGGCAAGGACTCTAAGTATGGATTTAAGGAAAGTTCTACTTCAAAAGTTTTCCTTCAAGTGTCGTTGATAAGTTTCTTATACTGGAAGAAAGGGTAAACGAATTACTTCCCACTGAAATGTTATTGCGAAACAATTTTACTGTAAATAAATACGGCCTATGCTTTTTCTCTTATACGTGTGTTCGCTTTCTCTTTCTCTTAAATGTCTTCATATAGTCCGTATATTTTGAGCGCTTTGTTTAGCCAGAGGCAAGACGCATTTTTAACACGCATTTGTTGGAAAGTCTCTCATTATTTGACTTTTCCTCACTTACAGAGTCCTTGAAGGCTTGAAGCAAAATGTGCTCGTTAGGAAGTCAGTAACTTTGATGCCATTAAATAAATTGCATATCATAATGAAAGAAGCCTGCCTTACAGAAGCAAAGAGAGGCTGCTCTATAAAGTACTCGAAGCCAGGCAATTGAAAGCTACCACGTTAGCATGAAAGTTTGGTCAGTTTGAGGAGCAAACAAACCTTTAATTAACAAGCACCACAGGAAACAGGGCACTCCCTGAACATCGCTTCGGGGTTTTTATGACATTCGTCATGGGCTGCCCACTGCGAACATTGAGTGGGGTTTCTATCCTGACACTCATGTACTAGAAAATGAATATAGATAAATAATGAAATAAGTAAATAAAAAAAGACAACAGAACATTATTTCGGTCAGTATTCTCTTTCAAATTACTTAGACTTGCCTCACTTGAAATTTAACTAGAGTCGAGGAATACGTAAAAAAAAAAAAAAAACAACGAAGAGCAGATATCAGATAAAAAAAGAAAAATGAACAGATAGCTAGGTAAAGAGATGAATTTTTAATAAATAAACTACTGGGTAATGTAGCGATTATCATAATTCCAGTGAATTGAATTTTCTCCCGTATTTGATTTTGACGTACAGGATACTTAAAAAATGAAGGCATTAAATGATATATTACGATAATAATAGTAGTAATAATATAATAATACTAATAATAAGTAAAATGAGTAATAATGAGGATGATGACAACATAACGATGATTATAACAAGATGAGTTGACCGTCATTCTTACTGTCACAAGTAAACCTGTGAGTTCTTCATTTTCCCACTAACAGTTAAAAGTTGAACGTTACTACAAGCTTCTCACCGCATAAAAGCAAGCATGCTAAATTATCGCCCGTTTCGTACTTACCGCATATGCCACAGGACTTGGGGCAATTCTTCAACGTTGAATATGGGTTAGTACGACAATCGCCTCGCCGTTTCAAATCGTCACAATAATAAAGATTGTCTCTACATGGACGAGTAGGATTATGGTCGGACATTATTTTCCCTACAAACAAACATTATGAACCTTTATTATAAGCCTACCAAAGAACAGTGCACCGAGTTACTCTCAACTACCTTGGGGGAAGTTGAACCACAAAATGAAAATAAAATCACCCACTAGCGGCAGAGGAACAGAGGAGGATGTAAATTATGGTCCAGGGCAGAAAAGGGACATATCGTTAAGGCTGTTTAGCTGAACGTCAATGTGTTTGCATAGGCAAGTACATGATTGAGCTCTGCAATATTACCACAAAATAAAAATAAGAGAGGGGAAATATCGTTATGGCCGTTTAAGTGAACGTCAGTTGAAAATGTAAAGTGGATAAAAATGAAAATCAATGATTGT